ATAATTAATATGGAGAAAGGACTCATTTAGAAAGGACTTTGCATTGACAGACATGCAATTACGATTTTTGCATGTCTACTGTCACAGTCATGTTCATCTGTTCTGTCACATGTCTTCCTTGTTCAGTTTTTCCATGTTCAGTTGTTAGACACCTACGTGGGAAGAATGTTTTTTCCCCCCCCATTTTTCGCCATTGTATTTTGCACACAACTGTCAACGGTTCATAGAGAAGACATTTTTTAGATACGCAACGGCGATTTTAACAGGTGTGACGCCGAGTGATTCATGTGGGCCATCTACAGTTTTCACAGGAGCAAACCTAAGAACAGCCTATATGACATTAAAAACAGTAACCTCTCATTTGCATGTCTATAATAAAGCGTAGGCCATTTCGACACCTTGTCTATGTGAAACAGTATGCGCCTCTACAAACTGGATTAGCTTTTCCTGAACACGGCACCCAATCAGCAAGGCACTGTGGGCGACTTCTAAGAGATGTGACACTGAAGATGTGGCGCATTCACAAACAGTTTCTAGAACAGTCAGAAACAGTTCGCTTGTTTCACACAGGAATCACAGGCGATTCATCTGATTTTAGGAAATCGTGCTATTTTCCATCTATTTCATTGTGTTCTTGTTGCAAAACATGTCTGTTTTGAATGTTCTCTCGACTTCTCTTTATCTCCCTCCATTCCCCCCTCTCTCTCTCTCTCTCTGTGATATTCAGTGCGTGGGTTGAGGCAGCTCACTCTCTCAGAATAGCACTGCAGTAGTTCAGACTTGTATTGAAGGAGAGAAGGAGAAAGAGAATGATAGATAGGATGAATAGACCCCCTTTACCCCTCTAAACCCGCTCTTCTCTCTCAAAAGACAAATGGTTTGCCCTTTTCCTGCAAACCCCTATGACACTCAGGGCTATTCATGGACAGTCCATCACCTCCTAAAGCTTTTATGCATCTATAACATTCTATTAAAAATGTATATTATTTTTAAAATGTATTACATTGGTCTTGCTCTGGTTAAAATGCTGTCAAATGAATGAAATGAGAAGTGAAAGAGACAAAAAAAGGCACTTTGTTTGCATCATGGACCATGTTTAGTTCTGTAGATCTAGAGGAATGAGATGAGTAATTATGACAGAATGGGAGAGACTACGGCTTGTGTCAAATGTGCCTTATGGACAGCAAATTTCACTTACGCCAATTAGCAAACAAGAAAACCAGCTTTATTTATATGATGAGCTGAAATAAAGAAATCAGTTACGATATAAAAATAATGATAATTATAAATATTTGCTGCCTTACAAGTACAATCAACTTGGATGTTGAAGTCATTCCACCTTAAATTACATTAAACTGACTCAAAAATTAGTTGAATATGGTTTAACTTATAAATAACGTTGAAAATTGCTTAATTTATTTTGACGAGTTAAAGCAATCTAAAAGCTTGTGTTGTCGTAACTTATATACTTTTTTACATTACAGTGATTTAAATGTTAAACATGGCAGGTCTAGCACATTATCTTTAGCAAAGGTTCACCTCATGACTGAACTCTATTACTTCTGAAACTGTTTGGCAGGGCCTTGGCCCTTTTTTCTCTGTAGTTTAAAAAACTAAAACTAGGCGTTGTATATAAAATAATTCAGATAGATAAAATTTGTTACCTATAGTTTAGTACATCTGTGCTTTTCACCCACAATTATACTTTAATAGCTGCCACCTATTGTGTGGTTTTCCCCCAAAATGCCATCAGGCTGTGGTTCTTCTGTCAACGTAACATAACCTGTATGAAAAGTCCTCTGCGCAACACACCTAACATATCGAACTTTTGTTGCTCTCGCTACAGTCATATTCCCCAATAATAACAACAGTTTTTAAAATAAATTTAGGGTTGCTTCGAAACTGTCGTATATCGAAGTGTTTCAGGAGCTGTATTTCGCACGAGGGTGAGTAGGTGGACATGACAACCAGCGCGAGAGCAATGAATGGCCGTCTGCGTAGGCGTGAATGCATGTTTACACGAAGGGTAATGTGGAGCCACATTACACTCACATATGTGTGAACATCTTCCTCCGGCCGCTTGCAAACGATTGAAAACATAAAATATGACATGAACATGTCGATGTTGTTTTTTTCCCCCCAGCGCAAATCACGAAACTTCGATAAACATAGAGCGCGTGAAACATCTGCGCGTGAACGATTGATCAGTCAATTAGATGACATGCAGCAATGTAGTTCAACTTGAGAGACTTACCTGAGCTGAATTCTGTTGATCCTCGCGGCAGTCTCGCATCTTACTCAGCCCTGAGCGACGATGATGGCTGGGAAATTATTTCCACAAACTGTTGCAGCACTCCTCTATTGACTATAGTCTCGTCTTTTGGCAACAAAACAACAGCTACAGTCACTAATTTCTTTCAGGGATTTTCTCTCACCTACCCCGGTTGTTTCCATGTTCGTAGCTACTATAGAGTAAGCATCGATTTTTACCTGATCGTGCACAACTTTATTTGCGCGTAAACGTTATGTACTGAGAAAGTATTCCAGGTGAGATAACCTTTGCCTAAGTCCCTCATATATTTTTTATAGCGCTCAGAATAACGTGCGCCATGAATATTTCCCCCCTCTGTGTTGCTCCTTAACGTTGCCGTTAATCGACGCCGCCTGCAAAGTGTGCACACAAGAACATTCCGACTCTGTCACGAAACACCGGTGGAATGAGGCGGGTGTTCTCACATAGGTCCGCTGCGCTGAATAGTGCGTTTATTGGTTTCGCGAGACGGTGTTGATGAGGGTTTGATTCCAGACCGCTTCAAGTGTTTCCTTTCTCAAACTACTTCTCATCCTTGCCACGATTATGGCTGGCTAAGCAATATGGTGTGAGTGTGTGTGTGTGTGTGTGTGTGTGTTGAGGGGAGACACACTGATCGGTTGCCATGGCAACGATGTCATTTGGTTTGTGACTCTAATAATCTTGATTCCTTTTACACCCTTAAACAAGAATGGGTTGCAGAAAAACAGTAAGGCATCGAAATAAAGACATAATAGCGTTTTCCGAATGTGTCAGTGGAGGATTTAGCAAAGAAAATGCTAATAAAAAAAAAAAAAAAAAAAAAAAAAAAGCCAACCCTGCATGATGACACAGCCATATCCTATTGTTTGCCACAGCCTATGGTAAAAGCCGAACCTTCACATATTAGGCTACTTATTAGAAAAAATAAAGATGCCCAATGATTTAAATACACACTGCACGCTGCCAAATGGCTGTAAAGAGTTAATTAATTCAAACTGATCATATTCCCGCATCCATAAGCTATATAGGCCTACTCATCGTGGATTTCTTTTCAATAAATACAACTTTGTTTTAATTAGTCCTAAGATTAGCCTACCTATCGAGTCAAATGCATGCATGATTAAATCGGCAATAAATATTTCTTTAATTAATCTGCACCTAATCTAGTGTCTATAAATGAGTTGAGTTAATAATCACCCATCCACTGCGGCGGTGCTGAAAGCTGAACCTCTGCCGCCGGCTAAACGACAGCCGTCAATAACCATTTCAGCACCATGGAGAGCGATGCAATCAACTCTCTGCACACAATCCACGGAGGACATGAAATATTAACTACTCGGTGCGGTTCATTTGTTTTTCTTGACACAGATTCTCACAGGTGAAAAGGGCGAGTTTTGCAGACTAGGCCCATACAGTCTGCAAGAGATTTGGAACCTATTTTTTAACATAAATAAATAAATATAGCTACTATTTGAATTTCTTCGATTGTTTTATATGTGTAATTCAAACTCATATCTTCCCCCTCATCAGCTTTACTTCCTACAGACAGCAATTAGCCGGTGTGCACTCAGCTATTCCTATACAGGTGGGTGGGCCGTTCAGGCAACCTGCGACGAGAACCGACCATCCGTTCATAACCCGCTCGAATTACAGCCCCCAATGCGCTCTCTGAATAGGAGTATGGCATAAAATGTTTCAAGGGGCGAAATACACAACATATCGTGTTTTTTAACGTCTCCATCATTATACAATGCTTTAAAAGTAAACGTTGTGAATGCAGCCTGAACGGAAAGATGCCAAAAAGGGATCAGTTGACAACTTAAAAAGTGAGGAAAGCCGTTGGCTTAAAAATAAGTGAATAAACTTCATGCGTAATTAAAACAATTAAGTTATGTGGACTTGGCAATTCCACATAAATAATACCCCCCCCCCCCCCTTACTTTAAAGTTACTTTTTTTTTTTACTTTTTATTTACTTTAATACAACAGGTTGTCAAGTGATCACTTTTTACAGCGAGTGATATGGAATAGCTAAGTGTGCAATACTTGATTTCTGAAAACCCTTTTTTCAACACACATCAAAGAAAGAGCCAGACCGATTTATCGGCAGGCCGATATTAGGCATTTTCCAAACTATCGGTATCGGCAGTTATAATGGCCGATGAATTAATATTTCAAAAATAAAATAAAAACGGACGAAACACGTTTCAACCATGTCATTAGTGTTGGGGTTGTAGTTTGTCCACAAGAGGGCACGCTACACCATCCCTGTTGGCAACACTCGTGTATAACGCACCACACATCCTTTAATCTGTTGATCCAGGTTGCAGGTAGCTTTTAAGGCAATGTAGGGACTAATTATTATTTTGATGTTCCTCTGTTCTGTTGTGACAATAAAAGAAACGAGATTCTTTTTAAAATTCATTATCATATTATCTCATTTAAAACTCATAAATAACTATTGTTAGGGAAATCTGTTAATGTTTTGTTGCGCATTTCTGAAAAAATAAAATAAAAATATTGGCCAATATATCGGATTTTAAAACCAACAAATATTTATATCGGTCGGGCTCTAGAAAATATTCAAACTTTCTCAAGCAGTTTCAATTGTTCAACAAGCACATATAAGCATAGAAGTATATTTTTTCCCTACACCAAATGAAAGAATGAACCAAATTGCTCCCTAAAATTCTTTTATTTCTTATTAATTTAAATAACTTAAATGGCCACAAAATGCCCCATTGTTTATCCACAAGTTTTCGAAACACTGGCAAACTGTTCCAGCAATGACCTGCCCAATGTTCATACGTTAGAGAGGATCTTTAGGAACCAAAGGCCCCATAAAGTGTAACAATGGGCAACAACAGACTACCAGAGAGGATTCCTTAACAGCCTTTTGATTGAGAGACCAGTAGAGCCAGAGGAAAATGCAGCTGTATTCATATAACAGCAGGCGAATGCTCTTATTCATAACAAGTATAACTAAACCATTTCTAGGATGAGACCAATTGAACACCACTTCCGGCTCATTTCATGATTAACTATTTGCCCCATTGCTCTACCTCAGCTGGCCTAAAGGCTATTAAGGATTCTCTCTCAAGCACCAGTGTCAGGTAAAATCAGCCTTTCACTTGAAAGCAGAAAAAGGTCTTTAAAAGTGAACTACAAAATATAAAAGAACAGACAAATTGAGTAAAAACTGGAAACAAATAATAAAAAATAAAAAAAACACACAAATATGCACTCACAAAAAAACATTAAAAACAGATTTTTCATGAATAATATTCAGACCACATTTGAACCCCCCCTCTGTTAATCCTGATCTTTCATCACAAACACAACGATCATATCCTGTGCAATGTACTATTCTTCATTAAACCCCTGAAAATACCTCATCTGTAACTTAATGGGTTCAGTCCAAATGCAATAGGACAGAATTAAAATATCCGTCCCGTCACACCCGCTACTTAAATACATCACATCAAAATCCTGCTGATGGTCATTACATAATGCTAGAGGCCACAAATTTAATTTGTCCAAAAACTTTTACTACTTTTTTCATAATCTGAACAATTGTAAAACATTTGACAGACAGATGAAAACCCCCTTTTGTCAGTCAAACAGAGAAGTGCCACAAGTCCTGAGAGTAAGTTGAAAGAGACATCCGAACAAAAACCAGGAGTGATCTGGTAGGAGCATGAGAAAATTAACGTGCTATCCTAAAACGGTATAACAGTTTAAGGAGGTGAAAAGGGGGTCTGCACACTTCAATATTTATATGTACACAAACACAGATTCATTCTCTTTTATAGCCGCCTCAGAGCTCGTTTTTTATCCGTTTTCTTCTTTGCGACTATATTAGTATTGCTGCTACTTGTGCTGCTGGAGCTGCCGTTTGAGTTGTTGACGCCAGCAGCCATTGATGCCAAACCAGCCCCGGCTACACGTTTGTTTGGGTCTCCTGCATGTTTCTTAGGTTGGGGTCCATCAGCGGGCTCCTGAGGGGCCCCTGAAGTGCCTCCCATTGCATGGATCTCTGTTAGAAGGTGAGCACGGGATGCATACTCCTTATAGTCCTCCAAAAGTAACCTTCCAGCCTCTTCGTTCAGAGCCGACTCTGGGTTAGGATGGATCAGAAGGCACTTGATGGTCTGTGACAGAAACGGATAATTAGAGGGGTGTGGGTTAGTTAAGGATAGTTCACCCAAAAAAGGAAAAATTCTGTGATCTTTTATTTACCCTCAAGTTACAAAACTGTATAATTTCTCCCGTTGAACATGAAAGATGATATTTTCAAGAATGTTGAAAAAAGAGACAATTTACTTGCATAGTATTTATTTTCCTAATACGGAAGTCAATGGCTACCGTCAACTGTCTGGTTACCAACATGCTTCAAAATATTATCTTGCGTTCAACTGAAGAAAGAAAATCATATAGGATTGGAAACACTTGAGGATGAGTAAATGACAAAACTTTCATTTTTGGGTAAACTATCCCTTTAATGACAAAATCATCTAATTGGCATTGCCAAGATGTTAGAGAGGTTTTAAAAAAAAAAATCCTTGGTTACATTTAAGGGCATTTTTTTTTTTTAAGCAAATTAGTCTAGGTTTACAAAAAGAGTCAAACGGCACTTACTAGCAATACATGTCTCAGGCCCAGTTCTGCCTTCCAGTCCCTCTTCAATACATTAACACAGATCTCACCCTTGTGCCCAACATTAGGATGAAAAATCTTTGTGAGGAAATAGCCTCTGGGAGGTGCAGCAGGAAAATCCTTCCCAAGGACCAAACGCATCCTGAACACACCTCCTGCATATGGAGTTCCTTCTGTTGTGTAAAAGAGGAAAACAAAGTTCAAAGTTTAAAATGTAAGCCAAGGACTTTATAAAAACAAGAAAATACCTCTTATAAACGGCACTTCTTACCTGGTCCCTCAATGGCAGTGTGCAGTTCTGTGATATCCTCTTCACTGGGGTAGATTTTGATCCCCTCCGGTGGGTCTGCTGCCAAGGCGGAAACCTCTTTATACACGAGTCTCAACACTTGAGGCGGCAAGTTCTCAACGTTTGAATTCTACAAGGAAAAACAAAACAAAAAGAACAGCTAATGAATGTCACAAACGATTACAGTATTAGTTGCTACAAACTGACATTTGCTGGTAAACTGCACACCTTCAAGATATGACAAAAAGGACCGTTCACCCAAAAATGAAAATTGTCAATAAAAAAAAACGATGATATTTTTAAGAATGTTGGTTACCAGACAGTTTACAGCATCCATTAACTTCCATTGTAAGAATTATTTTGTTTTAAACCTATGGAAGTCAATGACTACCGTCAACTGTCTGGTTCCAAAGGTTCTTAAAATATCTTCTTTTGTGTTCAAAATTAGGAAGAAACTCACATAGTCTTGGAACATCATGCGTAAATGAGAAAATTTGCATTTCTAGGTGAACAATTCCTTTACATTAGTACTAATTTGTAGTACATTTCATAGCACGAACCGCAATACTGAGGACTAGTGCTCAGCGAATGGCACACGATCAGTGAAATTTAGCTAGCAAAAGATAGTTTGACATCAGTACAGTGAAATCGGTTGTAAACTCAAGACAGTGATAACAGTAACGTTATAAATAGAAGTCAAAATTAGTCGACAAGAAATTAAATCTCTATGTATGAAAATTCGAGTTTCAGTTGCACATGAGGTTAAAGCTTGTAACGTCTGCTAATGAACAAAATAAACTGCTAAAAAGTAATGAAAATAAAAAGAAAACATTGTTTCTTATAATAACCCAATAGTTGAAAGCGTCACTCATCGGCGCACATATAAAACGTACCATTTCCAGCGGTGTGGGGTTTTCGAATAGCCTCAAATGAGAAAGCTCAGTAAACTGCTAACCAAACCAGCAACTATACTGATCCGGTTATCTATAACTAGATAGACGGAAACCACTTACAACGAATCTAAAAGTTGCAACCAATCAAGATTGCGAAATATATTAAGACAATTAAAGACTAACGTTATACAAATGCTCAAAATCTAAATTTCACTATAATGTCGGTCGGCTTGCTAGTGTTGCTATCAAACCAGGCTAAGCTAACGGTGAGCTTGCTAAGTAATGTAGATGTCTGGCTATTCTTCAGAGCTTTCCCTTGTGAAACTGCTCTCCGACAGTTGTCCTCATAAGAAATCTGCCATGAAAAAGGTTTAAAAGTCCAATGTGTTGTCAGTTTCGTCTCTGATAAAGTTGATTTGCTCGATAGCTAACTGTCACAGACGGCTACTGTAGCCTGTTACCAGCTAGCAGTCTTTGACACAGGAACAAAAATACAATTCGTCTAAGAAGCCGTTCGAAAGAGGTTTAACCAATCAGAATGCAGAAAGACTGCATGTGCTCAACGATCAAATTCCACTAACCAATCAAAGGCTTTTGTTTCGCTGACGTAGCAGCCCTTTGAGACCTCACGGACCAGAGAAAGTTGAGAATGCGAAAAATGCTCTTTGGTAATAGGTGCGTTTGAATAACTCGTGCCCTCCCAAAGGCAGGGACACATGTTGTTTCAATTGATGATCCAATGAAAGACTTTAGCGTGTAGTGTCACTCTGCTAAAATGTCATTTAGCCTAATTTATTTGTAAATCTAACCTGCTATAAAGAGCCATCTCTTGTAGTGTGTTGTGAATTACATAATTAGATTCGAACACGATTGTACTTTGATAATGCACCCAAAAAGTAAATGCAAAACTAATTGTAAAAGCCATATTTAACGATTTACAGTTTTTAAGTTACATACTCAATATTGATCATTTACATGATCATATATATATATATATATATATATATATATATATATATATATATATATATATATATATATATGCATTTATCTTGCCCACTGGCACTGAAAATTATTATTATTATTATTATTACTACCCCATTAACCCATTAATCAGTTTAGATCGTCATTATTACTGATTTAATCAAGCCTGGTAAATACGTGACTGAGAACCAAAACAGTAAAAGCTGAGATTGAGAACCCACAAATAAAATAAGAAAATGTAAAAATATAAAGACAGACTCTATCATTTAACAGTTCTGCATAATTGATCTATTAATATTATTTTTAATAACAAACAGATTTTACATGTATACAATGCACTATTACAGTAATGCTTTGAAAAAAGTAGGGGAAATTGTTTTGTAGCCAGACCATTTTTATTAATATACTATATATTACTATAGATCTTCCTCGATAATAGTATGTCTATACAAAATATGCATTTCCTCATTCTATCCCAATTCTGTTTAAAATATATAATTTCGCTACGGAAAAAGAGGATTTGTATTTACATAGCAGTATTTCTACAGTATATGTAATAACAGCGCCCCACTGTGGAGCTCACATGAGTTTTGCATGACCTCACGGGGCGTTCCCTTTCAACTCAACAACAACACAACTTCCGGCCGATCCTCACGAACAACAACAACCGACAGAGTCCTACTGTCAGAGATTATTGTTGGTTTAGTTATCAACAGGGGAGGTTTAATGGAACAATAAAGATTAGTTTCGTCTCGGTGGTAATAATTTTACTGTAAATAAATCATTGTACTGCGGATTCTGTCTTCCAGAAGGTATGATTATGATGATATTCAGTCATGTGCTGTCAGCTCGCGTGAACGCGACTACATAATGTGTTCTTTCTTTTTATATGTTTAACGTTATATGTTAATCGACGGCCTGAATGTACTTATAATGGCAGGGCGAGTATGAGCGAGAGGGAGGTGTTTCATGAGAAACAGAGACTGGAGCTGTGCGCCATCCATGCCTTGAACAACGTGCTTCAGGAGAGAGTGTTCACCAAGGAGACAGCAGATGACATCTGCAAGCGGTGAGCGGCGCGCTTCACAGCATTTAAAGTCACCAGGAAATCTAAATTTACCGTTCTAATTTGAATATATATTTCAGTATTTATTATAAAACAACACAATTTATATAAATAAATATTTATCCGTGTACTACTCATATTTCCTGGTAATCATAAATTAAAAATAATTTCCTCTGATGACGTGTTTACTGGCGCGAGGGTGGGACACTCTGTCACTCACATGAAATCACAGCAATAGCAAACAATCAATCAATCCATCAAAAACAATAAATTCCTTATGGACAAAATCAAGGCCGCCTTACAGTTTTTCTTGTTTGAGAAGCCTCTTCACGCGAATATATATATATATATAAATTGCTGGAATATGGCCATGATGTTTCTTCCGACATGGTTGTTTAAGAAACGAGAAGATAGACACAATTAGGGTTAAAATAATGGTTGCCAGACACAAAACATTTTAGAAACTGTAATAATCACTGCAATATTAATGCAATCAGACGTCAGTGTACGTATATGTCACAATGGGGAAGAAAAGTCTATTGCAACTTCCCTTACTGATTCTATTGTCTCTTCTCAATCTTGTGCTATCTTCTCAAACTCGAAGTTGTCTGATTTGTTTCTTGCAGACTTGCCCCACAATGTGTGATGAACCCACACCGCTCGGTGTTGGGCACAGGAAACTATGACGTCAATGTCATCATGGCAGCTTTGCAGAGTCGGGGGCTCGCTGCAGTTTGGTGGGACAAACGCAAGTGAGTGTGACTTTATTAATCATGAGCTTCATGATGATCACAATTGGTGCATTCACTTTTCCCCATTTATGTCACACACTGTAGGTCAATACAGAATTTGTGCCTGGACAAAATTGAAGGATTCATTTTGAATGTCCCATCAAGGGTGTCACTGGGATTTGTGTCTCTCCCACTGAGACGCAGACACTGGCTGGCGGTACGGGACGTCAACGGGCAGTTCTATAACCTAGACTCTAAATTAAAGGGGCCTGCCTGTATAGGTGGAGAAACTGAACTCAGGTCAGACTTTTTCGAAATGACTTAATCAATAAAAAGTGAAAGTGACATGGCAATCCATACTTGGAATTTGTCCTCTGCATTAAACCCATCCAAGTTAGTGCGCACACAATAGGACTACTGAGTAATGTCTACACTCGTGGTAACACTGACTATCGAAGCAAGCCTAACACACAGCTCACATCTCTGTCTGTGTATTTTATGGAATTGCAATAACTCTTGATCTTTGTTTTGATTGATTCTTCATTCTTCTCCCTCCCAGGTCTTTTCTCATTGAACAGCTTTCTCAGGATGTTGCAGAGATGCTGCTCGTCGTTCAAAAGGAAGTAGACGACGATGGGACGTGGCTGAAACCAGATGACACCAGGAAGTGATTCAACCGAACATTCTCTCTCTCAATGCGGCGTAATCGTGAAAGAGAAACACCGGAGCGACGAAAAGCTTTATGGAGAGAGCGACACTACAGGAAGATGGAAGATTCATTCACAGACACTCACACACAAAGGGGAGTCTGAGAGAATGATTTAGTGTTTAAAGGGACATGTTTTCTCATACGAAGGGGCCGTTTATCTAAAGTCACACTGGCTGTGTGTTTGTGGGGAGATGCTACTATAGCTGTGCCAGTCACTCTTCACTTTCTCACTCTCTTTCTCTCTCCTCTCAGGAACTACCATCTCTCACTTTATCTTTATCTATGCACTCCACTGCTGAAGTAGATCAGAAACATGTGTCTTTGCTACAACTATGCACAGAAAGGGTACTCTAGTGTTCAAGTATATATCGTTCATTGCCTTTTAGACATCAGTGTACGTCTTACTATGCATAAACATGGGAGATAACAAGAGATTGTAGCTCTCTCACGCTCACGTCCTTTTTACTCTTTCAAGCTTTATTGCAAACTGCCTCATTTACGTCGACTCAGTGATGTAACCACCATTTTAAACCACCAAATGGAGGGAAACTAAATGCATTTGATTTGTGTTATTTATTTGAATTTTATTGAATTTCTACTCGACTGTTTTTGCTCATGCAGTGCTTGTGGTAGTGTAGCAAAATGGAAGAGCTGTTTGAAATCTTCATTATGGCTACAAACACTTTTGTCATGTCTGTGCTGTTGCTTTTGTCTGATTACTAGTGTTTGTCGATTAATGTTGTCCGAGCTGGATTTTAATGTCATATAAATGATATTTAATCCAAGTCAATGATTCAGTCAGTTGAATTTCACAGAAATGATCACTTCAAGTGCAGAGCAGGGTCTGGATTTTAACACAGTTTAAGGCAAATAGGCCACAAAATCACCAAAAATGTATAAAATAAATATAAATGTATAACACATGGAATTTTTAAAATCTGCAATCTAACACTTGATTATTTTTGCCCCTTATAGCTGTCAGATATTTGTGTTGTTGAATGTGTGGATAATATGATGGGGTTTTTTTTAATTGGAAAAAATCACTGAAATTACAGAATGTGAAGAAAACACTTTAAAATAGACTTTAAAAAACATTATATATATATATATATATATATATAGTATTCTATATTAGTATTAATTACATACATTTTGAATTTGCTCTTATTTTTATATTTTTAATTAAAATAATTATAATTAGATAAAAATAGATTTAATTAACAAAAACAAATCTTTACAATGTATTAAATCACAGTATTTATATAACATATTTTATGTTGTTTTTTATTGACTTAATTTAATAGGCAAAAGCTGTAATTTATTTCATTTAATTAAGCTGAAATAGATTAATATTTAATTAATTTTTTTAATATGATTTAATATAATAAAATATAACACTTTACAATAAGGTTGCATTAGTTAAAAAACTAGTTCATATTAAGCTCACCATTGAAAAGTTCTGTCTGTTAACAGTTAATGCACTGTTAACAAATATGAACATTTTTAATTACTAACATTAACAAAGGTTAATAAATGCTGTAAGAATATATTGTTCATCGTTAGTTTATAACAAATGAGACCTTATTGTAAAGTGTTACCAATAAATTAAATATCATGTGAATTAAATATTGTGTAATATTATATAAATTAATATTATGATTGAAAACATTGCCCTTAATATAACAATTTTTTGATTTCTGCCCTTTTTCAAACCCACTACAGGTTTATATAGCGAGATGCTTGTAGTGCTTTGCAACAAAAACATTTTCAGACATTCCACTTTTGTTACTCTATTTTTATTTCATTTATATTAGACTCTGTAGTGAAAAAGGATGTCATTCAAAAGGAGCATTAAACCATAGAAACTCATTTTTTTTAAGGATTAACAACAGGTTGATAGCCAAGAGAAGGGACCAATGCAATTTCATATATATATATATATATATATATATATATATATGATGTCTTCAAGACCTCTGGCACACACAGACACAGATGGTGTTTTGCAAGATGTCCTGATGATTATTGCTGCTTACATCGTGGCCATTGCATTGCAATTGGCAAAACGCAGTTGTATTGCACAGAGCCAGCAGAGGAAACACACACTAGCCCTCAACAATTTTTTACAGGTTTTTTTTTTTTTTTTGATCATCAAAATGCATTAACAATCAAACGTTTATACAGTGACTATATATATTCATATATTTATATTATATAAATAAATAATTGTATAGTATCAGAGGGTATACAAGGTAATACAGAATTTCCACTTATAAAATAGGGTCCTGTCAAATAGTAAAAAAAAAAGAAAGAAAGGTGAAGAGAAAACTGCATAATCATACAAAGAAATTGTGCCATCGCCACTATGCATCTGTGACTACATATAACAATATAAAAAACTCCAAAATAAAGTGGTTATACATTTAAAAATAGACCACTACTGTAACGTCAATACCATCTTGTTTCCACCAGCTATATGTACAGCATGACACTAGAGGGAGAGGAAGTGACAGGATCGTACGACTAAATGAAGCGGATGGCTTTATCTGTCACTCACTTTGTAAGTGTGTTACACCCAAAAGACTCAATGGTACTGACGTTACACACAGATATTTAACATCTAGAGTTTTAAATTAGTCTCTCATCTCATAAAGTGTCCATCCATATGAAAACTAAACCTTGCTATATATCTTTCTTTTCCTACTATACAGAAAAATAATTAGTGCGAGTACAGGTTTCTTGAATGGGAGGGGTTGGGGTGTGATTGACTGGCGCCGTAGCCGGTCAGCATGCTGGGAGAGTACTGTACTTTCAGAGAACCGCATCCAAGTATTCGGGAGAGCAGAGCCAGATCCACAAGAGGAGGAGCACAAAGAAAGGAAAGAAAAGTAAATATTCATTTTAAAATTAAACAATAAGTGTATGTACAGTATATATCGTGTATATATATCTTTATAATACAATAATAATATATATCTTTATATATAATATAATAATATATATATCTTTTATATATTGTTTACTAAAATGTGCTTTTAAACTGATTTAAATGAACCGGAAACTATTTCTGTACGACAATGCAAATGTTTTACTGTAAATTATTAAATTACGTTTAAACAGTACTGTTCTGTAACACTTAAAGGGATAGTTCACTTTGAAATTAATTTTTTATTTGTTTTAGCTTACCTCAAGGGCATCCAAGATGTAGGTGTCTTTGTTTCCACAGTATTTTCAATTTTGACATTTTTCAGTCAAACCGTTGATGTCTGTCAGTCATATAATGGAGGAATATGGGGTCCACCTCAAAGAGCATGCACAGAGAAGTCCAAATTAAACATGATTTAATGACTCATAAATGTAAGTACACATTGATGGCCTAAGACACGAAACGAGCGATTCGTGTGAGAAAACGAACCGTTTTTATATCGTTTTATACCGTTTTTACCTCTTTTAACCACCGCCACGTCCAAGTGATCTGAAGGTACAGGCGCTTCGGTCTATGCAAGCGCCGGAAAGCGCCAGGAGTGATCTCTTGCACGGTTGCGTAAAGAAAATCAATGTTGTCTGTTGACATATCTGGCAACACTTCTGAAATCTCTGTGTAAACAATGAGTGACGTACACGAGCAAGAGATCATTTCCGGGGCTTTCCGGCGCTTGTGCAGACAGAAGCTTGGACGTGACTGTGGTTACAAGAAGTAAAAACGATATAAATACTGTTCGTTTTCTCACACAAACCGCTCGTTTCGTGTCTTAGGCCATCAATGTGTACTTACATTTACGAGTCATTAAATCATGTTTAATTTGGACGTCTCTGTGCATGCTCTTTGAGGTGGACCCCATAGACCTCCATTATATGACTGACAGACAAGAACGGTTTGACCTAAAAATATCAAAATTGAAAATACTGTGGAAACAAAGACACCTACATCTTGGATGCACTTGAGGTAAGCTAAAACATATCAAAAATTAATTTCAAAGTGAACTATCCCTTTAAGTGTTCAAAAGTTTGGGGTCAGTAAGATTATTAACTTTTTCCCTGCCATTGATGGAAATTGATGGAAATTTCCAGCTAGAATAAAACAGATTTTCTTGTTTGTTTGTTTAAAAGCTGAGGGTCTGTTCTTTCTTTTGATATGTTGCAAATTCAATATTCATACAACAAAATATTCTGGAAGCCGTGAAAATTATCAAAAATTTTGCCAGAGGCAGGCAACTTTTTTTCTTAAAAATGCTGGCGGGGAAAGAGTTATTACTTTTATTCAGCAAGGATGCATTTAAATGATTAAAAGTGACATTAAAACATTTATAATCTTACAAAAGATTTCTATTTCCAATAAATGCTGATCTTTTGAACTTTCTCTTCAAAGACTCGATAAAAAAATGATATCAGTTTCCACAGTTTTAACAGTTTTCCACCATAATAATAGTAAATGTTTCTCAAGCAGTAAATCAGTATTTCTGAAGGATCATGTGAAATTGAAGACTGGCGCAATGATGCTGAAAACATAACTTTACCACCACAGGAATAAAATACACTTTGTTACATGAATATATATATATATTTTATATAACAAATATATTATAATTTATTTCACATATTAAAATTTTTACTGTATTGTTGATTAAATAAATGCAGCTTTTTGTGAGCACAAAAGGCTTCCTCCAAAAAAACATTAAAATCTCTTACCAACCCCAAACTTTTGAATGGTAGTAGTAGTGTACACGTTCCACAAAACACGCAGGACTTTTATAGGATTATATTAAAAAAGAGCAAAAGCTTGTCTGATAACATGGACAGATTGCGATTGGTCAGTAACGTTTTGAGGCGGGGCTTAGCGAATGGTCATTCGGTCTGATCTGTCTGTCAGTCTGTTGGTGAGAATCATGAGAATGCCACAGATTGCAGTGATGTCACAAAGACAAGGGAACTCACAGAGGGGGGTGGGGACTGCCTGTCACTCAAAGGCAGGTTCTCATAACCAGGGTTGCCATTGGAGGAAACGTTTGGAGTCCTGCATAGAGAAAGAGAGAGGTGCAGAGAGGAACAAGGTAAAGGGGACAATGGAGAGGAAAGGAAGCGGACGGCAAAGAGACGGAAGAATGACGTGCCACAGTACAGGACAGAGAGCAGGGAAGGACGAGAGCCAGGATCCAGGGTGGAAACAGGAAGAGAAAAGGTGGAAGAGAGTTAGAGAGATGTGACATTTTCACTTTTAAGAACCTTTAGAATCTAACAGGACAGAGAAGGATATTTAAAAGGAGACGAGAATGTAAAATATATCAATTTAGTATATAAAATTTGGATTTATGTCATTTTAAAGCACATGGAAATGTGAATGAAGTGAGAGAAAGTGTTCGTGTCAGATCTAATGTTATGAAAATAGCACATGATCTTTACAAACCGAATAATTGAAAGCGAGAGAGAGAGAAACAGGGAATGTAATAAAGCAGGGAGAGAGAAACTGCCATAGATTTGAAAAGAGCGATGTACTTTTGGACAGCATGATTTTTGACAGCGGACAGAAATATCAGAGGGGGCGGGACTTTACCTATATTGTGGATCGTCTCAGATTGGTGGATCTAAGTCTGTCTTGTAATGACGGACAGACCAATAGACAGACACACAGACAGACAGACAGACCTCTGGACTCATGTCTGTTTTTTTTTTTTTTTTTTTGGCTGGACTGTGACATATACACCTGTCTGTGTGTCTGTCTGTGTGTGCATGTGTTTGTGTGTGTGTGTGTTTGTCTGTCTGTCTGTGCGCTCCATCTAACACCTACCTGTCTACCTGTCTGTGTGTGACTGGAGCTTTATGTGTTTGTCTGCCTGCATAACACTTTCTATATTTGTATCCATGTATGCCTATATATGTGTATATTTTATAGTGCAAAGGTCATTCATAACACAAGATGCTGCTCAAGCAAGGAACTAGAATATGTGAGTTTCTAATGCCTAGACATATGGAAGACTAGAAGTGTCACTTAAATTTTTTTATTTTTTTTTTTATTTAAAAAGTTTTTATTTAATTCAGGTTTTTTAAAAAAAGTTTGGGATCGCAAAGTCTTATGCTTACTAAGTCTTATCAATAATACAAAACATTGTAAAATATTATTCTAATTTAAATCAAGTGTTTTCTATTAATACATTGTCAAATGTAATTTATTCCTGTGATGGCAAAGCTGAATTTACAGCATCATTACTCCAGTCTCCAGTGTCACATGATCAGTGTTAGGGAAATGTACTTTTAAAAGTAATGCATTACTCCCTAAAAAAGGTAACTAATTGTGTAGTTAAAATAATGTGTTGTGCTACTTTTGCATTCCTTTCGTGTCACTTTTGCGTACTTTCACACCAATAGTGCACAAAGAGCCCCCTGTCTGACAAGGGGACTTAAAATCGTCCTAAGAGAGATTATTCTTATATGCTGATTTAGTTCTAAAGAAACATTTCTTATTATTATGAGTGTTGAAATCAGTTATGCTGCTTACAACTTGTAATAGTTGTGGAGGCCAATATTTTTTTCACAACTCTTTTATGAATGGAATTCAATTGAATGCATCCTTGCTGAATAGAATACAATGGTAGTGTAGTGACAAATGCTAAATACTTTTGAATTGGTTAAATTTATTATGCTTTAAACTTGATAGAAAAATGGATAAAGAAAATGTAAATGGCAATGTCATTGTATTTCATTACATTTAGTTAACATTTTAAACTTAAATTACATATTTTTAAATATGTCTGTTTAATTGTCAGTTTGAAAAGTTATTTATTCATTTTGTTTTATTGTTAAATTTAACTACATTTTATATATGAATTGAAAACTGATTTATTTATTAGCATTTTTATTTTTAATTAATTCATTGACATTTGATTCCTTCATTTTGTTTTTAAGTGGCACTCCTAGTACTCTACTAGCATTTACTTAAGTAAATAATTAAGGAGAAAAATTGAGGTTCTGCTGTTGAGCTATGTGTGAGTGATGTACACAACCTTGTGTTGGTTTATGGGTAGGGTCATTCTGTCTGTCTGTCTGTGTGTCTGTGCATGTGTTACTCACGGTAACGGAGGCGCGCTAGAAAAGGGGGGAGTCCAGCCGGCCCCCTGGTAACTATAGAAGGGGGGCAAGGCCCCTCGCTGGGAGCCCGTGGTCGTCGGTCTACGTGCCTGATGAGAAGTGAAGGGGTCCTCGCTTTCGCTGTCGGAGTCCTCGTATTCCTCTGAATCACTGTGCCACCCAGCAGGAATTATGGAAACATGAAAAAGAGTGGCAAAAAAATGTCATGAAATAAGTATATGCTTTATGTGCTTTCTATTATGTGTGCATTTGCGAAAAACAAAGGCTTTAAAGACATTTACTGAAAAATCTCTCTTAACTACATACATGTTGATATTGTCATGAAATAAAATAATCCCAGTCAGGAAGGTAATCCTTTAATCTGTCCCGCTCCTCTTTGCCATTTCAGTAATCTATGCATCTGCCATCTACTGTCTGTGCAAATGGAGTTTGTGCTCTGAACACAATTTTACTGCAATTAAGGACTGCAGTCACCTCTGTTACTTTAAACAATTTGATTTGTCAGCATCAGGCACTTCGAGGGAGTGTACCAAGTCAGGCTGAATCAATAGTAAGAGACTGAGCTTTCTGAACTAATGGTAATAGCGACATTAATACCATATCCAGATAAAAGAAGTGAAGTGCATTTAAGCACTAATGCCCTTAAATTGAGATCATATTTCTCTCATCTGTGCTTTGCTGATAAGAGCAGTTGTCAGTGTTTATTCTGTTACCACAGGCCCATTTAAGTCAAACCGAACTGGACCTCCATTAACGTTCGGCTGCATTTGTAGTTGAGGATGATGGAATCATGTCATTTGTTTTGCATTAAAAATCTGGAGTTTTTCAGGTTCCTAGCGAGCATTAATCTCTATATTTACATCACACATACATAGACTATGCATTCCTCAGTCTTGGACTATTCTGAAATATTTTTTGTTTGTTTGTTTTTTGTAAAAAAAAATAAAAATAAAAATAAAAAAAGCATTTTCCAAACTGGGAGTTGTTTGTGAGTTGATGAAGCAAATAATACTAACTTTAATCTCCCAAGTAAATTTTTGAGGTCAAATGGGTTTGGCTTAAAAAAAAAAAAGTTTGACAATTATGACCTAATAACCCAAAATTGCAAGTTTACATCCAAGGAAAAAATGAAAAAATTCAGAAAAGTTAAAATTATCTCAAATTAATTAATAAATTAAATTATTATTATTATTTTTTTTTACTTGTTGGCAGAAACAAGCTCCCATATATACAATATACAATACTATATATATATATTTTTATTATTATTATTTTTTTAACTTTTCAATAACTTTTTGTTAACTTTTGTTTTCGTTAACTTTTTTTGTTAACTTAAATAGTTATAGTTAAAATATTCTATGATAGAATTTGTAAAAAAAAATGTTTAATTTACTTAAAGAAAAATGCAAAATAGAAGCAGTTTAATACTTTTTTAAAGGCAAGTTTCTATGTTTCTTGATTCATAACGCTCTCCAGAAATAATGTCTATAATAAAATTAATACCAATTAAACAATTTATATATACAGTATATATATATATATCACTATAGGCTATAAACGAATATTTGTGCAACACTACTAGTTTAATGTAGCTCATCCATCTTCGGACATTGTCAGCATGACTATAATCAGAAATGCCATTTCTGAAAATAACAGCAGATGGGACGTTTGACAGGGTGAAGTTCACCTAACCTGTGGAAACTCCTCCAGGCTCCAGGGAGGGAGCAAAGAATAGCTGTGAACGCCAAAGCGGAGAGAAACGAGTACAGGGAAAGATAGAGCAACCCCTCCATCCCATCATAGCACAGGCCTTTCAGAGAGTCAACATAATCCTGAGAGAGCGACATAAAAACAGGAAGGAGATTGAGACAGTTTGTTTTAATATAAAAAGTATAGCTCATCAACCTCACTTGCAGTCAGGCTGAGGTGGAAAACAGGTTGCTATGTTTACCTTGTTCAGCCCTCGACAGTTGAGGAGTGCTACCAGCTGGTGGAAGTTCCCCTCAGTGGTGTTGAGGATCTGCTGTACCTCCCTGAGTGACTTCTATAAGGGAAAATAACACCGAAGCTAAGCAGTGTGTTGTGATCCACTTTACTGTACGGCAGCTATTGATCTTTCCAGTCGGTTTGAAAGCAGTGTTAACATACCTCTGCCTTTGGGAACCGTGGGAGGGAGTCTCTCTCCAGACTGGAAAGGTGAGAGTGGATGCTGGAAAGCGCTCTCTGGGACTGGGTCAGTATCTTATGCCCGTTCAACAAACAGAATTTCACTTATTTAACAGAATTTCACAGGCTAAAACCTGTAACTGCATTTCTGCTTTTAAGGCATGATTCATACCACATGCATTTCAGCCTCTTTATGAGAGAGAGAGAACATACTCAAATAGATAGCAATATAATAATTTCCAACGGCTAAAAAAAATAATTGTATCATTTATGGACTATATTAAAGGAAAAATTCAATACAGTAACTCAGAAATCATTTTCTTTCCACTAGAGCGGCAGTTCTATTAAACAGTCCGTTCGAAACTGGCCTTTCATTTTCACATAAATATTGTTATTTCACTGTCCTTATAATTTCATTTATGACATCAAATTCCTTCATTCATCAGTCCCTCTAAATACACTGTCAGTCTAGGTCTTGATTACAAAATCTTGATTACAGTTTCATAATCCTCTTTATACTGTTCATCCCCACCGTGACATAAATGGCATTGCTTTTTAATCTTAATCTGTGCTTTGTGACATCATTATAATTCTTTATACTTGGGGAATTCTGCCTCGTGATATCATCAACATTCTATTTTTTGCTGCTTTAGTAATCTCTATGACATCACCGGCATGTAACAAGATTGCGCACCTGTTGAAAAGGGCTGTTCATTTTCCTGCTGCAGGTTAGGTAATAATCCAGGATATCTATTTAGAGAAAAGAGAGAGCGTGGAAAATAAAAAGATACAAGGCGTGGGTAAGACTGTGTATGCGTCAGAGATGAAGGCAGATGGACAGGTAGCTCTGTTCCAAAACTTATTGAGTTGCCTCTCTGCCTATACATATGCAGCTACCTTCCAAGTGGCCGTTCACACAGAAGCATTTTTGCATTCCACTGTGCTGCTTTTCCATTGTTGACTGTAAAAAAATGATGGACGTAGTATCCCTGACGTTAACCGTAGATTTCTGAAGAGGGAAAAGTGGGCGGAGCCAGCCGTCGCCATCTTGGCTGCGTCGACCAAAAATGGGCAAAGAGGCGGGATTATCTGAGGTGATGTAACGGCTAACAGACAGCAGATAAACGGCTGGTAGTGACAGCAGCGGCAATCCACCAGGCACTCAAGTGGTCACGCCCGTAATTAAGCAGAACTTTAAGGCATAATATAATTTAAACGAATGAGTTATAAAAAAAATTCACCCCCCTCACAGTGGTCATGAAGGCCAAAATTATCTATAAAGACCAAAACCACTTTTTGAAACATATTTTTTTCTGCTGTAAAGTTGGGCATTTTCACATGGGGGAGATGTGGGATTGACTCTCTTTTGGAGCCTGTCTCTAGAGGCCAATCGATGAATTGTAATTTAAGTCACTTTCGAGTTGGATTCAAGAGAGAGACCGGATGATTGCCACTTGGTCAACATAAACTAGACGGACACGCTCGACAGATTTTATATTGTTTGATGAATTTTCACAATTTTGCATTCAACTTTTCTGCATTTTGATTGTTTTCTATGTCAACATTAACTAGACAGACACGCTTGACAGATATTTTAGTACGAAGCAGCTAAAAATTAGTTTACACTTACCATTGTTTAATGACTTTTTCGGAAGCAAAATTGAAGTAATTTCATAAGGAATCCACAGGATCAAGATTTTCCCATGAGGATGAACGATTTCACCACACGGATTTTGCAATGGGTTCAAGTTGGTTACAAGGATTCGTCATGTCAACCTACAGAATTTGACTTGTTTTAAAAGTGACTTCTGTGTGAGCAGGGCTTTGTGTATCACTACACTTTTGACAATGGACCTTTTTTACCCACAATATCCTTAATTACCCCAAAGTTGAAAATTTGCTAATGACACAGATTGTGCCTTTTTGAACAGTCCTCACTATAACTGATGCCCCACAATGCTGCCAATGTAGGCAACTCAATAAGTTTTGAAAAAGAGAACTTGCGTATGAAAGATCTTTACAGCACCTGTGCTTGTCCTAGAGTTGAAGTGAGTGGAGTTCAGTACAAATGTGTTTGGATCAAAGCAAAAATCACTCAGGGCCTGAGAAAGACAGAGAAAGGGATCAAAAAAGAGCAAGAAAGGGAATTGAGCAAAAGCAAATACAGAAGAGAGATGTTAACAGTGTGGCCCAGTGACCAAGTGACATACTTCCCTCAGTCTCACTTGTCCCATTGCTCTGACTGCTATGGGCTATATGCACGCATAAATTCCGCATTTGACGTAAGGATGCTCGTCCATTTCCGGTTGTGTAGATTAAAGCGGAGGAAAACCGGAGAAAACGGGATTATGGCAGAGTCTTCAATATTTACTGTCCTCCCGTCTTTGAAACGAAACGTACATACGTTTAGATGTAATTTTATATATAGTTATGTTTATTTAATATAATTTAAAAAAGAAGCATAAACACAACGAGGGGTGTCTGTTTTATCTGTTTTTGTGACTAACGTTTCATTAGTATAACCATGGAGTATAAAATTCAATATAAATTCTCGGTATTGCATTGGACTCTATGATCGGCGGAAGTTATCGAGCATCCCTAATGCTTCACCGGAAATAACGCCGTGCATAGAGCCCATTGATCTAGAGAATTCACTGTCTGACACATATGCAAACTGCCTTATCCTCATCTTTTTTCTCATCCCTCAACCAGTTTTCCGATCTTTCCTCTTGTCCACTCTGCACTGTCTGTCTCCTTAACACACACTTTAATTAATCAAACTGAATAGCACTCAATATTACCAAGAGATTCACAAGAGGACTAAAGAGAGTGAGCACTGGAGAGAGGACAGGAAAACTGAGAATGTGTGGGTGTGTGTGTATTATAAAGGGGAAGCACTAGGCAATTGTTCCTGTTGGCTGGAACGGGACAATGAAACTCTTGTTTTGAAGGCCAGCAACTGCCATCTCGTCCTGTCACTTTTCTTTCTTTCTTTCTTTCTTTCTTTCTTTCTTTCTTTCTTTCTTTCTTTCTTTCTTTCTTTCTTTCTTTCTTTCTTTCTTTCTTTCTTTCTTTCTTTCTTTCTTTCTTCTTTCTTCTTTCTTTCTTTCTTTCTTCTTTCTTTCTTTCTTTCTTTCTTTCTTTCTTTCTTTCTTTCTTTCTTTCTTTCTGTACTCAATGCTGAATTTTTTCAGCATCATTACTCCAGTCTTCACTGTCCCATGATCCTTCAGATATTTGTCTGATTTGTGGCTCAAAATATTACCAAAGTTAATATTTTTGTGGAAATAGAAATATTTTGTGACACTTTAAATGTCTTTACTGCCTTTATGTAATGTATTACTTTTTTGCTGAATAAAATTATTAATTTCTTCCCCAAACGTCCCTTACTTACCATTTTGAACAGTGTATTTACATTTGTAATTTTATATTCCTCTCAGCCCACTCACTCACTCTCTTCTTTTTGCTTTTAAGATCTCTTGTGCTCATCTTCAACACAGCATCCATGTTTCCCTTCTTTTTTTTTTTTTTTTTACAAAGAAACACAGACACTCAGATTCACAAGCATTGAAGCTTTAATCTCTGCCCTAATTTCCTCCCTTTTTGGGATTGTGCCATGACTGCTGAGTTCCCAGACTGGAAAACCCTTTTCATTATTAAAAAAAAAATGCACAAACACACTCTATTCCTCTCTTCCTCTTTCATAAGCTGACAATAAGTGACTGCATCTTGGCTGGTATGACCTTTGAAAACTTAAAGTCACATTCAGAAAGCTTTGGCTGGACACAAATGCCTCTGCGAAGCGAGCTGACGCACTCATTCATACACAGATGGCGGTATTCTGTGCTGGATGTCCGCTTGCGGAGAGCTGTTGTTGTTTTTTTCGGGCTAGACGTTGCTTGAATACTCACCACCACTGTGGCCGTCTCCAGGCCGAGAGAACCCCAACTCAGAAACAGAGCCAACCAGGCCAGCACTGTCATCCTGCAAATGCACGCACACACACACACGCACATTTTCACCATCTGCCTCTCTGTGGCTGAGTGGGTGTCAGTAAGCAAAAATAAAACTACCCTTTTTCTGTACACATTTTCTATCTTAGGAAATTCAGAAACATAATATACTGTACATAATAAAACATTACTATGAATGTTTATGTTCTTTTTACATTATGCAGGAATGCTGTGTGCATATCAGATACCAGACACTCACTTAAAGCAGTTCAGAAATGAGTTTTAATAACTCACAGAATAAGTAGCCAGCGGGCCTGTTTGGCTAAACCCAGAAGAATAAAGAAACACACCACCAGATCCAGTAAAAGCAGGAGCACGTACGACAGCCACCTAAACAACAAACACAGAACAGACAGAACATCTTCAAAACAGTGCTTTTCAGACGGTGAAATCTCAAATCCTACACACATTTTTGCAACACCAGCCAATTGCAAATAAACAGAAAAAAAATAAATAATACTAGTAGAAACCAAATTAATTGGCACTATTTTTTATATATATATATATCACACACATACACACAACATTTCAAAGTTTGGTGTCAAGAAGCTTTTTTTTATTTTATGTTTTTATTAAAAAGTGTTTAAAAAAGTTTTTTGTCAAAAGTGACAGTACATTTATGATGTTAAAAATATATATTTATGTTTCAAATAAACGCTGTTCATTTGATCTTTGAACTCTATTCACCAAAGAAATCTGACAAAAAAAAAAAAATGATTTCGGTTTCACAAAAAATATCTAGCTGTTTTTAACATTGATAATGATAAGAAATGTTTCTTGAACAGCAAAACATCATATTCGAATTATTTCTGAAGGATCATGTGACACTGAAAACTGCAGTAATGATGATTATAATTCACAGAAATAAATGACATTTTAAAATATATTAATATAGAAAACCGTTGTTGTAAGAACATTTCAAAATATTATAGAGTAATGATGCTGAAAATTCAGCTTCGTCATCACAGGAATAAATTGTATTTTACAAGAGAATAGAAAACATTCATAATTAATAAACATTAATAATATCTCACATTATTACTGTTTTTACTGTATTTTGATCAAATAAATGCAACCTTGGAGAGCCCAAACTTTTGACCTGCACAGGTCAGAGTATCATTCTTACATTTCAATATTTTAAAACAGTTTCAAAGGATTGTATTATGGACAAACAAGATTTTCTTTACTCTTTCACAACAAATAACTTTTTATGGACTGTATATATTTATGGACTGTTCTATTGGCATAGAATATGGCCCTTTTGAGCTTACTGGTATTGTTTTACGATATATTTTTATCAACATCTATCAACACTGAACACACAAATCTGCTCACCTATAGTCTTCATTCACCATGAGGGTGTTGGCTGCCCAGCCTGGGGAGAAGGGCGCAGGAATACTGTTGGCGGATGGACTGAGAGTGATGGCTACAGAAGGTGGGGCTGGGGTAAGTGCTCCTACTATGCTTTCGCTCCCATTCGCCCTGTAAAATCCATCACCGATGGGAATCAGACCTCTTCCCAGAGTCAGGTTGGAGAGGATAGACACGACCCGCTCTGAAAGACGCCTGCAGGAGCGTGTGGACACAAGCGCCGGCTTATGTCCTCCAAACACATCCTCCAAAGTGGTCAAGGGTCCTGAGACAGACTGCTGAAGCCCGGCCACGGTGTCTGAAACCTGGACATGCAAGAGGAGAAGATTATAATGAAATATGTCGAACCCAATGCATTTGTACCCAGATCTGATTTATGAACATACTGTCTTAAATACAAAAGAAAAGGGTAACACTTTACAACGAGGCCCCATTAGTTGACATTAGTTCATGCATGTACTAACATTAAAGGGTTAGTTCACCCAAAAATTCTGTCATCATTTACTCACGCTCATGTTGTTTCAAACTCATACAACTTTTATTCATCTTCAGAACACAAATGAAAATCTTTTCGATGAAATCTGAGACTCATGGGACTGGGACTTACTGTCCCTCCATTGACAGCTACGCAACTACCACTTTGACTCTTTGAATAATTTATAAGGAAGTCGTAAAAAAATAATCTATATGAATTGGATTAGCGGTTTATTCCAAACTTTCTGAAGAGATTCAGTGTCTTTATATGATGAACAGATTAATTTAGGCTTTTTTCACATATAAACCTTGATCAGAAAACATAAACATTCAACCGAACCTGCTTGAAGCGCGAAAAACAAACCTCATTGGTTCTTGCCGAAGCACAAGCGTGCTGAGTAACACGAGAACGAACCTCGTTGTATTCTCGCACGTCAAGCGAACATGCTTGAGCTTCTGTTTATACAACTGATGTGTGAGATGGTGAATATTTAAATGTGAAAAAAAATCCTAAATTCAATCTGTTAAGCATATAAAGCGATTGTGTCTCTTTAGAAAATTTGGACTAAACCGCTCTATTATGGATTAGTTTTACAATCTCTTTATGAACTTTTTGAAGCATCAAAGTGGTAGTAGCATAGGCTGTCAAAGGAGGGACAGAAATCGCTCAGAATTTAATAAATGTGTTCCGAAGATGAACAAGATGGGTTTGGAACGACATGAGGGTGAGCAATTAATGACAGAATTTTCATTTTTGGGAGAACTAACCCTTTAACAATACGCAATACAGTTACAGTGTTTATTAACCTTTGTTGAAGTCAGCATGAAACAAAAGTTGTGATAGTCTATTGTGACGCATATACAAGTAAACCGGCTTTTCGAGCAAGAAAAAAATATTGGGTGGGACTTGATTTTGTTCGTCAGGATTTGATTGGATCGTTGGACTGTTGTGGCTTTCTGTTGCTGTGATGTCATGTGAGTGTCGTCATCAGAGAAGAGAAGAGATGTCGCTGCAAGAGGGAGGGGAAGTTGTGTTTTTTTATTAAAGATAACGACGGCACATGAATTTATAATAAATACTGAAATATTCCATAAAAAATAAAAACATGAACAGTCAAATTTGATTTCATTGGGCCTTTAATGTTATTAGTTCATTGTTAGTTTGTGTAAGCTAAGCTTAGCCCCATATTATCACAAAATTTGATTTTAATCTAATGATCTATAGTAAACGTTGAAATATAAGATTACTAAATGCTTTACAAGTGTTTTTATTTTGTTTTGTTTATGTAGCTAACAAATGGAACCTTATTGTAAAGTGTTACCAAGAATAGAATAGCGGAAAAGATGTGTAATACATAGAGGACAATGGAATGGAGTGGGAAAAGTGGGAATGAATAGAGAGGGTCTTATAAAAATACAGTAGAAGTAAAGTAGGTCATTAATCATATTGACACACATTCATCGATTGACCATATGAGCAACCAGCCAAATCAATAGCTGGAGAGGATTTTATCTCACACAAATGCATTCAAACACTCTCTCCGTCCCTCTCCCTCTCACACAAACACATTCAAAACAGATAAGACTCATCTGAATTCCCCTGTTCGGTTATAGCAATCACAGTGCAATAAGATCATGGAGTGTGTTTGCTGAACATCCTGTATTTCGTTTGGTCCCCTGGCGCTTCAAAAGGAGATTGATGGAATAAGCTTTTGTGTATGTATGAGTGTGTGTACGCATTTCTGTTCTCACCAGAAGATCGATGGAAGCCAGCGTGTAATTGGCAGTGAGCAAGGATGAGGTCAACTGATACATCCCATCGTTCGCCTCACTGTTGCCGTAGAAACCGATGCCTATGGCAACACTACAAAAAGCAGAAATATGAACAAGGAAACAGGGAGAGGAGACAAAGAAGGAGAAAGTGAGAGGGAGGAAGACAGCATAAATAAAGAATAAATAAAGGAGAGATCATTAAAATCATTAAAAATGATCCAAAACACATATTTGAGAAAATACATAACCAGCCAGTGTTTAAAACTATCTGCTTGCCTTAGCTCGATTCAAACCGGTAAGCTTATAATAATGTTTTTAATTCCAGTGGTACTGGTGGATTTCCGCGGGAGATTCGAGCGTGTCTTTGCGTCATCACATCATATCTAAACACATAAAGAAGGAGTCTCGGCTAGTAGGCTATATAGCGTGTGAGGATGTTTGAAGTGGAGATTTATTGCCGTTTCTCACAGCACTTGATATAATTAAACTTAGCAATTTGATGGCGGATCCAGAAAGGTTCAAACGGCAATCACCAGTGACAACAGATTCACAAGAGGGTGTTGAAGTCCAACTCAAGTAAAGTTGATGATTCCGCAAATGACTGCAATTGCAGATTTCGACCAGAGATGGCGACAAAGAGGAAAAACGCCGGACTGCAACTTTAACTGTTTTTTATGCAAACAGACTAAAAATCATCAAAACTGAAAATCCACTCATTTACATATCTATTTCATATTCAAATATTCAGATTAATGCTTGGACCAGATGCTTGTCCGATCCTTTCCGACCTGTCAAAAATAGCACGGCCCAATCTCTCGCTGTTTGACCCTGATTAAGCCAAAGAAAGCAGAAGAGTGTGTTAATGTGTTTTAAATGATAATTAATATTGCAATAAGAGCAGTAAAGGTGTTTATATGGCTTTATGCAGTCCTCGCTGTAAATCAGCATGTAGCTTTTGAATCACTCAGAAAAAGAGGTCAACATGGATGGGAAGGGGGTGATGTCATGGGGAAGGAACACGTGCCACATCAAAACGTTTGCATCATGAATCACGCACAGAGAAAACCAAACCAACTATTATAGAGACAATATTTTACACAAGCAATTTATGTGAGACATAAACAGCACTAATGCATCATGCTAATGGTTTAGATCAATGAGGCTTGAAAAAGCATTGTGTTTCATATTCATGAATATATTAAATGGGATGTTACTGTGTAATTGAAGGAAACCATCCTTTGCAATTGTGCATATGAAACAGCTTGACTTAGAAGAAACCATGATATCTTTATCTAATGCAAGTCTAGAAATGGGAGAGGGAATACTATTTCGCTTAAACAGATAAGGGCAGTTGCTAATAATAGAAGCCCTGAACAGTTTACTGTTTCTGCACTCTGATGTGTGAAAGCACAACATGGCGCGAGTTAAATCCAGTAGGGAGCATTTCTCTTTTTCACTCATCAGTACTTTCCCCACAGGGACTGAATAGATGATGTCGGGTGCTAAATGTCATCTAATCTTTAAATGATGCAAATCGTTTTAACAGCAGTCATAAACAAGACACTAGTGATGTCATCAAAGTCCTGTTGTAAAATATAACACAATACATACAGAAATTATGGAGAAGCATTATACTATATATATATATATATATATATATATATATATAAGCAGTCTTTTAAGCTGACTTTATAGACTTAATAAATCTAAATTTTGGATAAATCTACAAATATTGCAGTCAATGTGTTTTAATTTTTTTTTTTTTTTTTATTGAGCCAAGAGCCATTTAGATTTTCAGAGTTCTCCAAACTTTTCTCTGGTATTCTCTGGTCTTTTCTCTGGTAAACTTTGTATGAGCTTGTGTTTCCATTCTCCATATTTGCATGTGTGTGAAGTCTAGTGTAACCACATTTTGACGCACACAATATAGATATCATTTTTTTGTATTGCATGATTATGGTGCCACAAGGGCAAAATATAAATTACAACTTAAAAATTTGAATTTTGGCTATTGAACTAAAAAAAATATCCTCAAAAGATAGTAATCACTAGCATATTAAAATTACTGTCATTAACAGGTATTACCAACACAATGTGACGGCTGCAACTGATACCCATGTGACACAGCAAATGCCCCGCCCTTTTTTGCCACTGTATCCATGGCCACCGCTGGCATCATCGTCTTCCTCCTCTTCCTCTGCATCCCTGCCCCCCTCGCCACGATGGCAGCAGCAGTAGTGGATGAGGAAGGAGAGAACGACAAGCAACGAGAGGACGAGAGCAATGGCGGAGAAGCTGGAAAGGACCAGGAGAGTCTGTGAAAAGAGAAGATGGAAAAAGAGTAGGAAGAAAATACTTTCTACGGATTGATTTACAAAGTACAAGCTGGTGTGGCGCATGACATCAGTTTTTTAGATGATGTCTTTGGTCTAAGAAACAAAGAGCGGTAGATTGTGAAGTCTTGAATCTGATCATCATTCAACTCATTTACGACTTGTCAAAAAATGAATTATCTAAAGATTTTGTATAAAGTTACACCGTAAAAAATATGTTTTACAAGAAAATTTCAGTCGTTCCACTTCAAAATGTCACGTTTAACTCAATGTTTTTGACTTTTTTTCTTCAAAAGTATTTGTGAAATTTACTAGCAATTTCTGAGTACGGATTGTTTAAAATAAAAGTAAATCTTACTTTGGTGAAAACATCAAATTGTTTTCACAATAAAAAAAAAGCAGACTATAGGCCTACATACTGCATAGCTGCATCCCTTTAAAGCACATGCATGTACTAGATTGAAACCAGTGTGATATAATCTTATTGGCAAATACAGCATGGATGCTCCACTCAAAGAGAGAGAAAGGGAAGGTATAATTAAAGGTTGCTGTCAGATTCACACACATATTGTCCATTCAGGTTACATAAACTATATATTTGCAATCTGGTTCCAGTCCATCTTCCTCAGTTTCTCTCACTATCACTTTCTCCCCATGATCCCCTTCTCCTTTCCCCATGGTTTCTCTCCATGCTTCCGCTCACTCATCCCTCACTGTTCTCCCCCTTTCTTTCTTTTTATCCACGCCACTGGATCTCTATTAATAATCTGTGACCTACTTAAATACATTCACTGCTTTTCCCTCTGATATTCTCTCTTGTTTTTTTCATCTCCCGCTCTCTCTCCTCTTCGTTGATTTCTCCTCTCTTTGCAATTCCCATTATTACCCAAAAGTATTCCGCTCTCTCATTTCTCCCCTCAACCATCTCTCTTGCTCTCTCACTGTCCGTTACTTTCAAGCACATCTGTCTCTTATCATCTCCATCTCATCTTGTAAATCCATTCAGCCATCCAGCATAATCTGACTTTGTCTCTTCCACCTTTATCCATTTGTGGTGGTGAAGCTATCTCAATGTAGCTGTTTAATTTCTGCATGGATAATGTTGTCACCTCTAGCCTGAAAAGACAGATCAACCATAAACTCTGAGGCTGTTTATCAATTATATATTCTTCTGTAAGAGTCATTGGTTCATATTATTTTATCGTATTGTTTCACAGTGCAATTCCTAGTGAAGGAATATCCTGGAGAAATATCCATCAATCATAGAATTGCAACAAACAAATGGGCGTCTGCATTGACCGCCCGCTACCATTTTTTATGGTTTATATGTAAAGCACTTTGGTTCAACCATGGTTGTGTTTTAACAGTGCTATATAAATAAATAAAAGAAAGAAAGAAGAGAGATAAAGCACTGAAAATGATGTAATCAGTAGTAAATTACTAATATTTTACTTATAATCAACAAGTGTTTGCACTTGTTCAGGCAGTCGCCTACAATTTCAGTGTGACGTACTTATAACAAAATAAAAGATTATACACACTGAAGCAGAAGCATCAAACAGCATGCATCAATGACTACGTTTACATGCAGCCAATAACCCGTTCAAAACTGGGATATTAGCAATAACCCGGTCGCGCACGGCCACGTAAACACCGGCAATAACCCGAATATGCTCATATCCCAGATTTAAAAAACCCGGTTATGATCCCTGGGGTGACCCTTTTCTAACCCAAATTTTTGGTCATGTAAACGCGTTTCAGCATATCCCCATAAAAAGGGACATTGATTTGTGTTCTGGGCATGTTCTATTCACAAGGAATCTTGGTTTTTTGAGTAGAGGAACTTTTTGTATGCGAGAATACAAAAGCCTGCATGCAGTATACCGGAAGTAAGCAAAAAGTAGAGATAAACATGGCGAGTTGACACAGTAGAGGCAAGTGCTGCTGGTGGGTCAGTACCAGCACCAAAGCGCAAACAAAGGCGATCGCTATCTGCCCCAAACTATTCATTATCCATATGCAGCTGCTGCTGTTGTTTTCTTTGGATACAGGAAGAAGAACCGGAAATGCCGCATATTGCGTCTTGAGATTGTCCGTACGTCCAGACGCTAAACGTGCGTCGCGTTTACATCGGGATATTGCCAATTGATTACATATTCCATGTATACAGGAGTAACTCTCTCTGCTTACACATGTAAACGGGTTATTCCGAATGTTTCAGAAACCCGAATAGTGACCTTAACCCGACCATAACCTGAATATTGACAACTTGCAAACGTAGTCATTTTTGTTTCTATTTAATCTCTTAATGCATATATATATATATATATATATATATATAAGAGAGAGATAAGCACAACACACAGCACAAGAGCAGTGGAGCTTTTATTATGCCGTAAACCACTTCCGCTTCTTCCGGTCATGCGTATGTGGGGGGACGCAGCACTGTTTTATCATATTAGAAACATTTGAGTGTGATGAAAGTTTTTATAATGCTATCGATATTAGGCATGGTAAATATGGTACTTGCACTACACAAAATTAGATTTAAACAAAAAGACTGTGTTGAGCTGTATAACAATGATTAGTTTTCTGTTGATGAATGTATCCAAACAATTGCTCACCTGTGTCTAATAAAACAGATAATATATTAAAGCAACGTTATTTCCATTGTTTCTACAAAATAAAATCGATGGTAATGCAAGTATGTCGTCATTGATAGGCGACGCACGTACATGATCCGTGTCCTGGTTACAATGTTTTTCTCTGGATTGAAACTTTCTTAAAAACACTTTGGATAATGCAAGTACACAAATCAACAAAATATATAACATTGTTCAAAAATTGTACATAGTGTTCACATGTCACGTTAGAACTAACATTGATAGTTTAGAAGGTTTCTGAGAAGTTAGTAAAGCAACAAGGAAGCAGCTTTTAAACAAGAGTTCAATAAAAAACAAGATATTAATATTTTGTAACTTGTAGGCACAATATTGCCATTTACTCTCTCTCTATGTTTTTTGCTCTGTCAACAAAGAAAAGCTCCAAACAAAGCCACAACACACACTAGTTTTGTTTCATTCCTGAATGCTGAATAATTTGGATAAATGAATGATTCAATGACTCATTCATATAGACTGTCACATGATTTGTTCTGGAATCATGTGGTTGAATGAATCTGTTAAATAAATGTATGCATGTTACTGAGAAATTGCTTCCGTAGACTAGGAGTCTGTCTGACTTGGAGTCAAATTTGAGAACCGAAACTAACGGTAAATAAAAGAAAATTACTTATTTATTAATATTTTACATATTTAATATTTTCTCAACGAAAATGGAATGTACACATCCTCATTTAAGCCACCGTCACTGCTTCATGGCAACTTTTCTAATATGTTGGACATAGATAGTCATATATCTTTTATCAAAATGCAAGTGATGTGGTAACATACAAGTAAACGGATCTCTGTCATAATGGAGTTTTCATTTTTTTATCAGTCCATCATGCTTTTAGTCTCTGATACTGCAAATCTATGGTTCTTTAGCGACTGACATTAGATGATTAGAGAAACAAATTTGAGTCAATTCATCTTTAAACTGCAGACAGAAAAGTGCTTTTAATGGTTTTGACTATAACACTCCAGTTTAATCTCTCTGAGAGTGTGTTAGAGTGTAAGAGTGCCAGAGAGAGAGTATGTCATGCGAGTCAACGAGTAAATATTTCTGACAGCAAGAAAAAAAGACATTGCAATTATTTTCATGGAAAAGCACGGCTAAAGTAGTTTCGGGACGGTCTTGACCACATGACAGTTCCATATCACCTCGCACAGAAATGTGTTATCAGCACTGCTCTGGCGATTTTATCAGTAAAATAGTTTGACAACTTAAAAGCTACATGAATCTCTCACTAGCGAAGTAGATGAACACAGTTTCCCTATTAGAAGAGACGCTGCTGCCGAACATTGTTGAGAGACGCGTCAGACTCAGGTAATTCACATACGCTTTATCTCTCACTCTTTCTCTCTCTCTCTCTCTCTCTCTCTATTTATATATACTGTATATATATATATACATGTTATTAATTGCATTAGCCTGCAATAAATGGCTCGAGCCTCCGTCACTAGCTCTAAAATTACGTTTTGGAATTAGCAAAGCTTAACAAATTAATCCGACACACAAGAGCATTTTAAGGACAAAAACCTGACAAATATCTTGAAATTCATCATCTGAAAAATGTTTTGAGGTGCGGTAATCATAGTATAAGCAGAATATTTGACTCCGGGCCGATAAATAAAATAATATTTTATTTAAAATAATATTTTATTTAACAAAATGATGCAATAATTCATAGCCGGTGTGCAATTCAACGGCCCATCGTCAATTATTCCATACATATTGCATGATATAACTTAGACAAAATGACAGGGTGCAAACAAAGGAGAGAAAATAAAGAGCGAGACAAAAATAAATGTGTCTCTCCAAGCCTACCGCCAGTTGTCAGATGTGAAAATTGTTTCTGAGAGTGAGAAATAGGGAAAGGGCAGAGGAGAATTGAGTGTGCTTGAGAGAGTGAGAGTTACCTGCTGGTACTCCCAGCTGTCTGGAGTGAACACGCTGTCTCGGGTCTGCAGGGTCAAGTCCAGGCGAGGAATGGCATGGCATAACCGTACCCATACCGATGGGGTGTAGTTGGGGACAGTTGCTATGGCCGCCATGAATGCAGTAAATCACCTCTGTCTTTCTCAAATGTCTGTAATGGTTGAGAAACAATTATTATGATTATTAAAGGTGTAGTGAATGATTTCTGAGAAACTCTGTTAAAAGTGTACCGGACCCAGCACCACAACACACTTGTAGCCAATCAGTAGGGGGCGTATACACTAAAATGCGCGGATGGGCTATTATTTCATCCGCAACCACATCACAAAACCCATCATCCGTCTGCCGTCCATCCGCACCAATGCTTTTGACCCGCCCGCCATCCACTGATTGGGCGATACAAGGCGCTGCCAATGACAGCCGCGAGACCAGAAAGCTCTCAGATTATCAGCAGTGAACTCGGCCTCCGATTGGCAAAAATAAATAAATAGCCTAAATTAGACGCAATTCGGCAAACCTGACCTTATCTGATAGGCTACTGTACACTATTTTCATTGTAGCCTAATAGAAAACACATTTTGGCACATAAATTCAACATGCTGCTATATTGTATGGGGCGCTGTTCGTAAAGCGGCTCACGCTGAGAATCACACTGTCTCGCCAACCGTGCATCTCTAGAATACACTTATGATGGGGGAGGAGAGAGAGAGTGAGAGCGAGGTGGAGATTTGAAGAAAGACTGTAGAAAGCAAGATGGCGGAGAGACATTACAACAGAGAAATCACTGAGGAAAAAAGGGTTATGATCAGGCAAGAGCTTTAGGACCCTCATTAATATTAGAAAAACTTTCAAGAGCTGGAGTAAACTATGCGGGAAGGCCACTTAGTAATATTGAGTAACATTGGCTTTACTATGTTTCACATAACATTGCTGTTATTGTAATGTTAGCTATAGTAACAGGACAGTTTTGAGTATCATTGTTTGTCTGGAGCTGGTGTGCTGCTAGTGTGTAAACAACAAACTCTTGCTTGTAATTAATATATTCTTGTGTACAGTGTTTTTTTGTTCTTCCTTGTTGTTTGTTCATCATCTTGCAGTACACAAGATCCAGTTGTTGGATCCGGATCTAGGGGGTGGAGATGGGTAGGATTAGGGGTGGGGTTAGGGATCAGGGGGTGGAGATGGGCAGGATTAGGGGTGGGGTTAGGGATCAGGGGGTGGAGATGGGCAGGATTAGGGGTGGGGTTAGGGATCAGGGGTGGAGATGGGCAGGATTAGGGGTGGGGTTAGGGATCAGGGGGTGGAGATGGGCAGGATTAGGGGTGGGGTTAGGGATCAGGGGGTGGAGATGGGCAGGATTAGGGGTGGGGTTAGGGATCAGGGGGCGGAGTGGAAGGAGTTGGATCTGGATCTAACTCTTCTCTCTGGATTTCCAGAAGCACCTAATTGCAGTACACGAGATCCAAGGGGTGGAGTTGGATCCAGAACTAAGGGGTGGAGATGGGCAGGATTAAGGGTGGGGTTAGGGATCAGGGGGTGGAGATGGGTAGATTTAGGTATATGTAAGGTTAGGTATATGTAAGGTCCACCCCCTGGATTTCCAGTAGGACCTCATTGCAGTACACGAGATCCAGGGGTCGGAGTTGGATCCAGATCTAAGGGGTGGAGATGGATAGAATTAGGGGTGGGGTTAGGGATCAGGGGGTGGAGATGGGCAGGATTAGGGGTGGGGTTAGGGATCAGGGGGCAGAGATGGGTAGGTTTAGGTATATGTAAGGAGTTGGATCTGGATCTGCAGTTGGATCTGGACCTTACATATACCTAAACCTACGCATCTCCGCCCCCTAACCCCACCCCTAATTCTATCCATCTCCACCCCTTAGATCTGGATCCAACTCCGCCCCCTGGATCTCGTGTACTGCAATGAGGTCCTACTGGAAATCCAGGGGGTGGACCTTACATATACCTAAATCTACCCATCTCCACCCCCTGATCCCTAACCCCACCCTTAATCCTGCCCATCTCCACCCCTTAGTTCTGGATCCAACTCCACCCCTTGGATCTCGTGTACTGCAATTAGGTGCTTCTGGAAATCAGGATCCAACTCCACCCCCTGGATTTCCCGTAGGACCTCATTGCAATACACGAGATCCAGGGGGTGGAGTTGGATCCAGATCTAAGGGGTGGAGATGGATAGGATTAGGGGTGGGGTTAGGGATCAGGGGGCAGAGATGGGTAGGTTTAGGTATATGTAATTATGGGTTTCATGTCCTGCAGTGAGGACCATCTCTGGATTTTGTGTTCTGCAGTGAGGACCATCTCAGTTTTCCTGCCCTCAAACCAGCAAACAAGCTGTAAGAGGGAGAAGTTCATTTGAGATTACTAGGGGTTATTTTTAATAAACTGCAATATTCCATAAACAATAAAAATATCAATCTTGATTTCATGGTGACTAATTCTGTACATTATCTATATTATGTTCACATGTATGTGAATAACTGCAGTGTGTGGACCACAAGTTTTCACTCATCATTACACTTGTGTACAAGGTTGAATGACAATAAAGTGATTTGATTAATTTACTTGATTTTTGTCTTTTGATGTGGGGGAAAAAAAGAGGAAAAATCATTTATATGTCTCTGAACAAACTAGAACAAGGAGGAGGAGAATATAGCAAAGAGGAAAAGGGAAATAACAGGGGAAACAAGGAAGAGGTTGAAAGTAGGTTAAGTAGAGACACACACACAAATGTTTTCATTACCAGGACAGAGGTCCACTGGGAAACAACATGGATTAAGTGATTAGATCATCAATGTTAAGAAAAGAGGTTTCTAAGAGGATACTTGAGCAACTGTTAGATCTTGATACATTTGAAACATCATTATGGGGTTTTGGGGCTGGCGAGTGGGTGCTACACACAAAATCATACCATTCATCAAACACACAAAATAATTTCGACCTCACCTGGGGCTATATATATATTGAAATCTTGTTCTCAAGATGATATAATCAGGGTCATTTTTACATTGTATTTAAATTTTGATCTCTTGATAAAACATTTCATCAGATTCTGTTTTTTCAGTAATAATTCATCATAGACCAAATGAAGAGTTCAGATGCAAAAGCCTCTAAGTGCCATTTGAAATTTTCTTCTAAAATGGTCATTTTTATCAAGCTTATATATTCAAGTTCAGTAATTTCACTTAAATGACAATTAATAGGTAATCCTAATTGCAATTTAAGTGAAATTACTGAGCTTAAATATACAAGCTTGATAAAAATGGTCATTCTAGAAGAAAATTTTAAATGGCACTTAGAGGCTTTTGCATCTGAACTCTTCAAATATTCCTTATGTGATTTAATACATGCATTTATAACTTGAAATTGTAAAATTCAAATGACCTGGCTAGGTTTTATGCATTTCTACATCACTATGACTTAGTGTCTTCCAGGTATACCAAACTCACTAGTGTGCCTTTTGCACCACCCCATGTCCTGCATTGTTTGGACAAACAGAGACCCAGCCCCAGTTATCTAGATCTTTTGGTTAACAGAATCCTTCCAAAAATAATGTCTGTCAAATGTATGTCTTTCATACACTTAATCCCACCAAAACATGTCACATCTCAAATCAATAAATTTACAAGAAACTACAAGCTCCATCACAGATATCCCTAATAGTGTCTGATGTGTTTTTGTTCATAATTATGTCTGTAGACTATTCATTTACTCTTAGAGAAGACTACCAGCATGCAGTGGGTCAAGCCAATAAGCTGATGAATAGTGGTTTATGATTGGTACAGCATTATCACAAATCTCCTCTTTCCAAATGCACATGTGAATAAAAGACAAATTAAAGTGAAACGGTGATATGGAACGGTTAAACATGCAGACTGTGACTCAGACTGGAACGCTAGCACATTTGAACATGATGCATTCTGTCAGCTTGTTATAAGAATGGTTCGCATTGCATAACGCAAGGAAAATAATGTGAGTTTGGAAATCGAGGAAGGAAGGACAACTTTGTGCAGAACAATAGAGGGACAAAACATCTTCCATATTTTTTTTCATTCTTTTCTATTCTAGACTGAATAATGCTTAACATAAATCATCCATTATTTAGCTTCACTGTTATTAACCACAACAGAAGTATGCTAAATAAAAAAACAAAACTGGTTTCCAGGAGTAATAATAATGGTTTGTCATCCAAAGCAAGCTATTTTAAGCTCACTGTTAAGTCATTCGATTTGTTGGAGTGGCCAATTCATGATACTGTGACGAAGCATTCATTTTTGGCTTAGCTCTTCATGACAAATAAACCATAAAAAAATTACATTTTAATAGTGACATGAGTATGGCAATGATATGTGTATCCTAAAAATGGTACTATTTCCTTGAAATATTTTTCCAACAAAATTTTAATAACAGTAGGGTTTAAAAATAATGAATGCACTTCCCAGAATTTTTTTGCCAGTGTCGTTAATTCAGTAGTCTGATTTAATAAAGAATGAATGAACTGATCATTGGTCACAAAGACTGAACTATGCTATTAATAAATACATAAATAAAAACATTTTAATAACTTATGAGTCTGGAATGTCTCTAGATGCAATAAATCTGAAATAATTGTCCAATAAAAGGCCAATGATGAGGGTATGATATAGTTTGACACCATTAACATTTAAAAACGCTATTATAGTAGGCCTACTCTGATGAAATAATTACTTAATCTTGTGTTTTATACACATCTGATAATGACTTTTTTCTGCTTTAGTGGACATGTTTTAGTGCTACTGTGGCCCAAAACAGATAGATGGCCCAAAGGAAGTTCATAAGGTCACTGGAGGCCATTGTTTGTGTTTGTATCCACTTGTGTTTAATGTCAATAACTAAAGGAGCGCATTATGAAGGTATTTTAAAATATACAACAATCCACACACAACAGAACGGATCCTAATCAAATAGATATTGATGAAACCTTCAAAATGACCAGAAACAAAATAGGCCAGAACTGATTGATTGCACTTATGTGAGTTGACCCAGTGCGAGAGACCAATCGATCTCTCTGACTGACTTTACTTGTTATGGCAATCATATTCAAGCTAGCGCTTTGTCTGGGCGCCAAGACATATTACATGGATCTTTTGTTTGAATGGACTCATAATTCCCTCGCATAATATATTAACGTTAACTGTCATTCATTTTCGCACAGACTGACACGGCAAAAGAACCGCACAGCAGGCAATAAAATGTTATATCGCACATTTAAAAAGGGTTGCCCACCTTAATTTGCAGCAGCCTAATGTGATGCTTCCACGTATCTCACGTTCGTGTGATTTAGTTTGCGATTAGATGTTATTATTGAGACAGCTGACCGTTAAAACGCTGACCGTTTACTACACCTGAGTGATGAGATATTGGGCTTCAAGTGAAAACTAACGTACAGTATTTTCAGATCCAGTGTGCGCCCAGTCTTTCTGTTCGCTGATAGATGGGGAACAGGTCTTCAGAGAGAGACCGAGGCGAGAATCCCTGAGGGATGTTTTACGAGAGAAGGATGAATCCTTCAAATCCCGACGCCTATCCGTCGGTTTCACTCTCTTTATTTGAAATCCGCTGAGAACTTGAATCACCCGTCCACAGTCGCGCGAAAAAAAAACTTCAGAAATTGTTCTCTGTGAGAAGAATTCGCGTTCAAACAATCCACAACTATGTCGTCGATGTCGTTTCCACAAAAAATAAATGTTCAGTCTGCAGAAGTAGCAAATCCATAACATCCAGGGCAAATGAAATCCATTCAGTGTGTTCGCTTAAAAATACTAACTTAGCTAACTACGGCTATTAAAAATAGGCTAAATATTTTGGGTGTGGGAAATTGTGTATTTATTTTAATTGTCCCATTTTAAAAACTCAATAGTCTAATTTAAGTAAGTGAATGACAGAAAATGGTGTGGTCCTGAGGGTCCCAATGATCAGGACTGAACTTAGCTCTCTCTCTCTCTCTCTCTCTCTCTCTCTCTCTCTCTCTCTCTCTCTCTCTGAGTGTGCGTGTGTGTGTGTTTGTGTGCAAGAGACAAAAGGGGATGGAGGGATTTACACATGTACTGTATTCAGAGTGCACAACAACTCATAATGACAGAGAGTAAAAGAAAGGTGATTGATTGTGAGAAAACCACACAGGAGGATCTGGTCAAATTAGAGTGAAAAAAAGACAATAATGGTTTTTGCAAATGTAATCCGTTCAGTTTAGCACAAAATTTTCAGGGAATTCCCAAAAATGCTTATGATTATTTACCAGAAATTAAGTAGGTGATGGGTGGTGAAAGAAAGGGTTGAAAGGATGCTAGACTCTCCGTGGCCCCAGAGGTTTAACCGAGATATGAGGATTTAAAAAATACAATAAAAACAACAGATCGAGTGAGGGATGGAGAGATGGGTATTTGTGTGCCAAGGGAGGGGGGTATGTGAATGCATGAGAGAGGGAGGGTGGCGTTGGTTTTTTCTGTGTCACTGAAAGAGAAAGCGAGTGAGGATGGGGGAAGGGTGCTAAATAGAGAAGCACAAAGGGAGGGATGGAGAGACTCCACAAGCATTCATATATGTGGGCATGTATCCAGGAGGAAAGAGAAAATGATGTTATGTATGCAAGACTTCCTCACTGACATCTCAGACAGAGCTGCTACTGTAACACACGCATGCATGTAAGAAAAAATATTCATAAAATGTATCATTTAGGTTTTTTTGTTTGGACATACTAGGTCTCAAGACATTCCAGGGGCTAAATGTTCAGCTGTTCTGAGTTGTTTGTTTGATATTGAATAATTGAGAGGGTATGCTATAAAAAAAAGCTGAAAATAATACATGGTGTATTACTTATTTATATGCAGTCCACTTTCAAAAAAAAAAAAAAAAATACACACTCACCCTCACGTCCAATTCCATTAGTCCTCCAAAAATAAGTCACTTAGCAACATTTTGCATTGAATGACTGAACAGGACGTGAAGAAATAGTATTAGGTGAATGCTGTATGTCTTTACCTAAGCGAGGGTCAAGAACTGCGCACACAAACCTCAAGTAAGAGAAGACCTTGTTATATTTGTACAGAAATCTATAATAAAATAAAATACATTTTAAAATAAAATAAACAGTTTCAAATTCAAGTGTCAAAGCTACTCAGTTATTTGGCCATTCAAATCAATTTAGCTTCTGCGTTGAAATATGACTATTGTACATAAAACAAGATATCAAAAGATGACTAAATATAAAGAATGTCATTAATGATTGTGTTGTCGAAATTTGATTGACTTTGTGAAGAAAGAATATAAACAATAGTGTCTGCTTTTCTCACGGCAACAGAGATAATTTAGATATTATTATTAAATCTTAAACATATTTGTAAAATGCTTAAATTCATTGTCTTTGCAACTATAAGATAATCAGTCATGCTGTAGAATAATCAGAATAATCAGTCATGCTGTAGGAAACCTGAGCCCGATCTCATGAAAGTTCGTATCTATAGCACGAATGTCATTTCTCGTGCCATTTATACGCCAAAAACAGTTTTTGCGTGTATATGGTACACGTTTTTTTGCGTGCATATGATACGCACTTTATTACGTATAATACGCACAAACTCCCCAGCCCCCTCCCCCCTAAACCTACCCCAGGGTTTTTTAGTGCGTAGCATGTGCACGCAAAAATCATTTTTGGCGTATAAATGCCACGAGAAATGACATTCGTGGTATAGATACGCATTTTTATGAGACTGTGTTGGAAACCTATGGAAGCTTGTTTCCGCCACTGAATAAAAAAAATAAATAATAATTGCAACTTTTTATCTCACAATTGCGAGATATAAAGTCGCAATAATGAGAAATAAAGTCACAATTGCGAGAAAAAAAACAGAATTGAGACTTTTTATCTCACAATTCTGATTTTTATTCTCGCAATTATGACTTAACACATAATTGCGAGTTTATAGCTTAAATTCTGCCATCTTTTCTCAGAATAATGAGATATACGCTGATTTCACGCAGCCGCCATTTTGAAATCAAAAGACAACAATGGCAGTTTGGCAGACTACTAGCCTGAGGCTGCTGCTGCGATTTACACTATTGGATGTTAATATCCAATATTGGATATGTATATAGTTTGTTCCTGCTTCTTTTTTTACGTTCTGAATTATATAAATAAAAAATATATTTTATTTATAAATGAATTTCACTGTATATAGTCTAAAGTATGAAATAAATGTATGTACATTTTTAGAATGACTAATTTCTACATTAAACACAATACGCCATCGCATCCGCGACTCTCCTATGATTTAAAACGACGCTTCCGGTTTTCTTCCCACCGGAGCCATTTCAAAATGGCGGCTGCGTGAAATCAGCATATAAACTCGCAATTGCGAGTTATCAGGCCAATTCTAAGGAACTTTTTCCCCCTCAGAATAGTTTGTCACAAATCTGACTTTACAACGCGCAATTTCGACTTTCTCCGAAAAAAAGTTAAGAACTGTGAGAAAAAAAAGAAATAAAGTCTGAGAAATAAAGTCTGAATTGCAAGATGTAAACTCGCAATTGTGAGAAAAAAAGTCAGAATTGTGAGATAAAAAAGTCGAAATTTCCTTTTTTATTTTTCATTCTGCGGCGGAAACAAGCTTCCATAGAAACGTGTTTGTCTAAAATACATGTTTAAAGAAGTATTTGATGTAGTCATTTAATAACCATCATCTCTGACACATTTAGATATTGGGCAGTTGCACATCACATACAACCTGATAGAAACCGTCCTCTGTGTTAGAGTGACCATTCACGCAAAGATAGAGTTTATTTACTTCAAGCTTGCCGAAATTCACATCTTTGGACAGTTTTACAGCCCCTATCCCTTCAAATATCTTGTCTGTCATGGGCTTCCTCACTTTGGCCAGGGTGAGATGGTACGAAGGGCATCGGGAATGGCGGTGAAGCCACCCCTTCTCATGGAAGGCTTCTTGGAGAGGGGAATTCAGGCTCTGGATATCTGATAGGGGTTGTGGGATCACATGAAGAACAGTCCCATTAAAGTGCCGTAGTTTTAGGGGGAAAGACACGGATATAGGGGGTTTGTGGGAGTTTCTGACTGTGGTATGCAGGAGCTCAGCAGCAGCGCAGACTTCCTCTGGGCTATTGAGAACAAGCAGAGAGAGAGTGATGTGTAAATTTTCCGGGGTCACCCATAGCGGCTCTGACTGAGGAAGGTGGGAGAGAACCTTCCTCTGAACGCGCTGGAAGGCCAGGAGAGCAGCGGGAGAGTCCACACGGAAGCAGATGAAGTGAGTGGGTCTGCGTGGTGGTGGACGTCTCGGTTGTGGTTGTGGCTGAACGAATGATACCGGCTCTGGTTCTGGACCACTCACTCCATCCCAGCTCTCCTTCCATTCTTCCACCATTTCAGCCGGTTCTTCTTTCTGAATGATGGATAGCTCCTCTGACAAATGATTCAAACTGAGATCTTCAGTAGCCGCCATCTTTTTGTTTTCTGGTGCAGATATTTGTTGCAGCGGTAAGATGTCATCACTGGTTCCTTCCTTGGCATTTCCGGTTAATGGGAGATCTATGGCATATTCCAGCTGTTGTTTATCATGTGTTGTTGAAATTGTAGTTACAACCTCATCCTGTTCTTCAGAAAAGTCAGTTGCTTGCTCTAGGTCATTTGAAACATCTGATGTGTTGATGGTATCTTCATGTTGTCCAGTCTCAGGTGTGTCTGAGAATTAAATATAATTCCCAAATTTTACAATTAAGTGGAATAATGCCATTGTTTTTGTCTAATACTTATTAAAAATCAGACGGTTTTAATTTCTGTATTAAAATTCATTAGTATATATTTTTGAAGGCATGAAGTCCTAATATCACAATGAAGAAAAAATGTAATTCTTGAAAAGAAAACCTTATTAAGTAGAATTATCATTACCATTACTGTTATTATTTTTCCCTGCTTATTAATTTTTGAGAAACGTTTGTCTGCGATGTTTTATTAATAATATAAGTATTGTAATTGAATGTGTCCCAGGCCAGTCTATTGCAGCCATGAGGTGTTATTAAAAAACACATGGTCCAACTAACAGTCATTAGTATTACTTTGAAACCTTTTTTGAAAAAGGTATTAAAGTTATTCATAACCATAAGAAACTGAAATGAATACAAAGACATCTCTAAGAACTTGGCACACGTTTTAAACTGGATTTTTAAACTGGATGACTTTATTTTTACTGTGGACATTCTAATATGGCATTGAACCAGTAACCAACTGCTGGACAATACAGAACAAAACACTGGTAGATCCGGATCTGTCGTTCTATTGCGCATGTGCAATTTTAACTGCCACTTTGTAACATTTTACTGTAACCATCTACAACAGGAGAATAGCTGATTTGCTGTAGTCATTAATACGTGACAGATTAGATCATTAAATGTTATATTTTATGGTTATGTGGCATTTGAATTGTATCTGTATATCATATAATTTCAAAATCAATCCTTCTGTTGATGTTTTTATTACTTTTTTGGACTAATTAAATAATTAAATGATCCGAATAATTAAATGATTGTTGCTTAGTGATTTATGTGTTCTTTAAAGTCCCTACAGTCGCTCACCTTGCTGCTGATCCTCACCGCCAAAAGGGGGCAAAATAGTCTGCCCAGTAGAGCCGAACACCCTGTCAGTGCGACTGTCTCTATCCCACAACCGCTGGCCTTTGTAGGTGAAGTACTGGATCCTATGACGAGGGAGAGCCAACTCCTCAGAGAAGTCACAGTCACACACCTAACGAGGAACAAAGGAGTGTTAAGGCTGGTTGTGACCATACATGACACATGATAGTGAACCACATTTGTACTGATGTAACACACCTGAGTGTCCCATGAGAAGTCAGAGAATGGGCGTTCCAGCACCCCAAGGAAGCGGTCCAGGTGACCAACTACAAAATCAGCTGGGTCCACTGAGGCGTCCCATATAATTCTGGAGATGACATCATCGGCTGTACGCATACGTGGCTTCTTCTTACACCCTGAAACAGAAAGGCATCTATTTGTAATCATCCCAAAATCTATGCACTTCATCCCAAAATCTATCATCACACCTTCTCTCTCAGTTTTTACATGCTGCTTTTCAGCATTAATCTTTTTTCCATTTTTTCGGCTCTTGCTCTGCTTTTCTGTGATGGTTGTATCATCTTCCTCTGAGTGTGTGCTTTGAGGGACGTCAAGCATGCTGTGAAGTCAGGAAAGATCAATGCATTATTTATCCACTAAGCTTCAAATGAGTATGCCCAACATCTATCAAATTTTACATCTTTTAAGGCAGCTACAAGAGGACAATTGCAGTACACCAACTGGTGTTTAAATGGAAATATACAGATAATAAAGCATGTCTACCATAAGGCTAGTTCGCTAGTTTCATCTCTACCATCCAGACAGATTGACAGACCTGTGAGACAGTCGACATCTGTCTCCGAAATGACATCTGCCCAAGAGGAAGTGCTGGCAAATGTTTTGGCTAGTTTCTTGTTTCATCTCATCTGGTATGAAGGGAAATGGAAGAAAAGGTTCAGTAAAATCATTCACACAGCAAAGGGAATTTACAGAAGAATGATATGAATACATTCATGCATCAACTGATAACACAAGATAAGGCTAATCTATAACTATTTGGACAATAGAATTTAAGTTCTCCCAGAGGAGTTAAGGTAGACAGGATGTAGTGGTTTGTGAAGATGTAAATGGTGGTAAACAGGCAAGTTTTCAAGGGACAGAATAAACGTCTAAGGGTAAAATGTTGGTTTCAGTGCAGCATGTCCTTCAACTCCACTTACCACCTACACTTTTACCTTTACACAGTTCGAAAGTTGGGTGCCAGTAAGACTTTTATTTTTTTAAAGAAAGAAAGAAAGAAATGAATATATTTAATAATATACTTATAAAACGTATAATATATAATATATTTTAATATACAGTAAACCTGCAACAATTTTGTTCAAAACAAACCTATACTTGACGAGAAATTATGAATAAATTAAAAAAGGCTTTTCACTGCCATCTTCAGGTCATTTGCATTGTAGCCTACACCCTCCAGTATTTGTTATAGGCGGTGACCTACAGGTTTTATTATCAAAGTAGATATATTTGTCATTTTCAGCTCAGTTTGAAGTAATATATTTTTGAAAACTAATAATAATGACAACAAATAAAATAGTTTACTAGCACTGCGAACCATAAAATGCAAAATATAACCTTTAACACGGTTTACATATTTAATCAGTTTAATTTCCCGATGACATGTAGCTCAGTGCAGTGTAAATAATTGTATCTTATGTTATGTCTTACCTATGAGGATTTGTCTGTCAGAATCCCCTGTGATGTTTTCCTGAGTTCTCTCTTCTTCAGACTCCATTATTTGACAGCTTCAACTGAGCTTCAAAAAAGTAGTTACGTTAGTTACATTAACAGTCCTTTAGAAAGCAACCAAAAAACAATAATTCTGCCATATTGCACTATAGTCGATAAGACAATATATATATATAACGTTATGTATAATATATATTGACATAATGAAGAGCATGAACCATCCTACCTCAAGAAGTCGACTGGTTAGTGTTACTGTTGACCTGTAGGCGACATGATGAAATCATCTGTTAATGACTCATATTCATGCGCGAATGTCTTAACCAAATACATTACACGCCAAAACAATGTTTGTTGTCTGAACATACTGTTTTTTATTGTTGGTTGTAACATTCACAGTACATTTTATAATGTTGTTCTTTTTCAAGTCTACTTACTATGCTGTTAGGGCAACGTCCACAAAAGCCACTTCCGGTTTCAGGTCCTGGGTATTGTAGTTTTCGCCATTGGCATTGATTATTAATGGTTGTTCGACTCATTTCCGCGAATCGATTCTTTCGAACACTTTTGTTCATAGAAACCTGATTCAGACGCATAATAAATACTATATTTATATGGGATAGAGGCAGGGATAGAGACAGTGTTTCAGATGTTTAATTAATATAATGTAATGTCCCAGGTCAGTCTATTGTAGATTCCACCATAAAAACATTTAATGTAATTTACATTTACAATGAGCAATACTATATCTCGTAAATCACTTTTTGTTCATATTTTGGAGTTGTTAAAGATGGTTCACCAAAAATGGAAATTCCGTCATCATTTGTTCACCTTGCTTTAAAGCAACACAATATAATGTTTTCAAAATCGTTTCAGTGGTTCATCAAGTCGTGACATGGTGAAATGCACGTATGCCACCGCTTTGCGGTTCTTATGTGATATATCCACGCTGTAATAAGATAGCCAGATCGGGTTTCTGTAGTGCGAATGAGACATAAGAAAACTACAAATTTGTCTTGCTTTACGGCAAGCACTTTCCTAAAATCGTGCATCATACCCATAGGATCATACCCAGATCAAAGCATCATACCTTGTCTGTGGCAAAGCCGGTGCTGGATAAACTTACTTGCTGGATAAAAGAATCTTACACAAGAAATTAAACAACATGAGGAGAGTAATAGAATTTTCATTTTTGGGTGAACTATCCTATGATTCATGAACGATTCATTCAGACCGGTTTTGTAAACCGGTTTAACTGAATCGTCGAAAAGATCCGATTCCTCAAAAGATTCTTTAATTGACCAGTTATCTCAAAAGGCATTCAGCGGATTACGGAAGAGCTCATAATTAATTATATCACTCGAAATAACAAACATATTCATGGCGCCATCATGTAACTACAACAGAAAACCGTATTCATGGATTATTTCCCCTGTACCGATGACCACTGAACGATAAGAGCAGCTGTGTGAGTCACGCACACGTTGTTGTGATCTTAGCGCGTGACTTCCCCGTCACATGACATAAGACTGAAAAAGGACGATAAACTTATTATTACGATCGCATTTAGTAAACAGTAAATCGGCGAGAATATTTTGCCATCGACTTACAAATTACATTGTAAGTAACCTTGATAGCCATACAAAACCCGTAGTTGCTCCATTGCAATGTTTTGCTCTTGATAGTTGACGGGCAGTACCAGTCGGTGCAAAAGCTCTACCCAGCTGATAAAGGTAAGGATATTGTGTTGTTGTTGTTTTGTATATATAATATTTGCTTGCATTTAGATTTAGCTAGTCATGGTCATGGTACCACATGTGAATAAGGTACATTTTTTAAACTAATATGTCACCATATTTCCCCAGTTGATCACTACACATTAACACTTTAAATTTCCTGAAATGTTATGTTTAAAAATGAAAAAAAGGCATTATCTAGTTAAAAATGCCCTCATCTGCATAACAGAAATCTGAACATTGGATCATGTTTCATTTTGTTGACATAGGCTACTTTTTACAGAGAGGATTTTAGATATCTTTTCATCACTCAAGAAAAAACACCATACTTTTAGGAATAAAATATTATATAAATAAGTTGAATGTATATTAACAACCCCCTATGTGAAAAACTAATATATATATATATATATATATATATATATATATATAGGAATAAAACAGGAAACTTGTAAGTGTCCCTGTAGTGGAGATTTCTGGCTCAGTGCATGAGGAAAAACAAAAACAAAAAAAAAACACCAATTTTGAGAAAACAGCCTTAAACATGTTTTATTGAAATCTACAGACACAAATGGAGAAAGTGTAGTAACACAGGATGTTTTCCACTAGTCTGGAAGAAGATATGTTATGGAATCAAAATCTCAAAATGTTCAATGGTTTTGCCTGTACAGTTGAGAATGTTATGTTTAAGATTAATGCCATAGTCATTGGTATGCATCACTGTTAGGTCCCTTTAACATTTTGCATTAAATGTCTGTTGTGGTTTATAAACATCTAAAACTCCCCCTCATTCTATCACAATCAAAATGTGTATATAATATATATATATATATATATATATATATATGCAACATATATGATATTGCATTTTCACATTTTCTGTTCCTTTCAATTTCCTCCAGATGAACGCTTTAGTTGCCCTTTGCCACTTCTGTGAACTCCATGGCCCCCGGACGCTATTCTGTACAGAGGCCGTCCACCCTCCATCCCCATCTCCTGGTTCAGTCATTCCTGGTGACAGGGATCGAGAAGGGGACAGAGAGGGCGAAGGTCTCACCATGAGAGCTAACAGCTCTGCCACACAAAGAGCAGACATGTGTGAAGTGAGAAATTATTCTTGTCACAGCCCAAATATATTCAAAAATGTCCTTCTCTCTAATATTGTATAATATCGGTCTTTCTCTCACCAGGGCTGTCGCTCCCTACCTGCGTCTCACCCAGGCTTTGTGAGTGTGGACAGTGAGACAAGAATCCGCTATCTGAGCCATCAACATCCACGCCAGCCACAGCTCTTCAGTGTGGTGCGACAGGCATGTGTGCGCAGCCTCAGCTGTGAGGTATCTATAAACTTGTTTGCATCATTGAATAAAGAAAAAAATGCATCTTTGAGATACTTTTATATATCATCCGCTATTGCAGGTTTGTCCTGGTCGCGAGGGGCCCATCTTCTTTGGAGACGAACAGCATGGATTTGTTTTTTCTCATACGTTTTTCATCAAAGACAGCCTGGCACGGGGCTTCCAGCGCTGGTACAGCATTGTCGTGGTAGCTATGGACAGGATCTACCTCATCAACTCCTGGCCATTCCTGTTGCGCCACCTGCGGCTAACCATTCAGAGTCTACAGAACACAGCACTCAAGGTACTGGACTGCAGACCCACTTTAGTACCGTGATTGACGGAGTGCCTCTTGGAGTGATGAGTTGCTTGCAGTGTTGAAAATACAATATTTTGTCCTGTTTTTTACCCTGCAGGTGTTTGACAGTGAACAGTGTGTGTGTCCTCAGAGGGCTGTGCGTATGAACAGTGCCTTCTCTCCGGCAGTGTTCCCCCACCAGCGCAGCGGAAACGCAGCCCGTTCCCTCACATCTCTAACCCAGCACCAAAACCTGTGGGCTAGTCTGCACTCCTCATTCAGCTGGTGCGTAAAACTCTGTTCTGAATATTTTTGACCTTATAACTCATATTGTGACTTTATATCTCACAATGTTTCTTTATTTTCTCATAATTGTGACTTTAGATCTCATAATTGCACCTTTTTCTCATAATTGTCACCTTATTGTCTCACAATTGTGACTTTCTATTTCAAAATAGTGACTTAATTTCACATAATCGGGACTCACAATCTCACAATAGTCGCATTTTATCTCACAATTCTGACTTGATATTTTACAATTGAAACTTTGTCTCACAATTGTAACTGTATCTCTCAATTACAACTTTATTTTTCATAATTGTGATTCACAATTGTGTCATAATTGTGACTTTATATCACAATTACAACTTTATTACTCATAATTGCACATTTGTCTCACAATTGTCAACTTCTCACAATTGTAATTATATCTCACAATTATTTCACATAACTGAGACTTACAATTGTGACTATTTCTCATAATTGTGACTTTATAGGTCAAAATAGTGACTTTATAGCTCACTATTATAACTTTATTTCTCATAATTACAACTTTATTTCTTATAATTGTGACTTAATTACTCAAATTGCTATTTTATATCTCACAATTTGACATTATTTCTTATTTTACACTTAATTTCACTGCACTGTTTGAGGTATCATTCATGTACCCGGGACAAACATGAGCAATAGAAATAGTGATGCTTTACATACAATTTAGGCCTATATATTTTGTATTTTTAAATCATAATAATTTGCTCTTACTTTAATTATCTGTACAATAGGTTGCTGAAAGCTTGTGGCAGTCGGTTGACTGAGAAGCTTTTAGAAGGAGCACCAACAGAAGACACACTCGTTCTCATTGAAAGACAAACTGGTAAAATGAATACAGAGTAAAATAATTATATAAAAAAACATTAAAGGAATAAAGATTGAAATTTAGTTAAAGTGTTAAAAATGTGATAATATTATGTTTCTCTACATGGCTTGACTTTTTTATCATGGGATACTATTGATTCTGTAGCAATATTTTAATTAGTGTATCTGCTAACAAATTGATTTTTTAAAACAAATTGATTTTTGAACTGTTAACTGGGTGTCTGGCCCAGATTTTCCTTTTCCAACATTCTGCTCCTGAGACTGACAAACAAACAGCTCTCAAGAGATTGTTCAACTTTTTGCTTATCTTTTGTAGTCAGAATGATGGCAATGACTCTAACCTAAGGTTATACTGAAGACTTCAGCATTAAAAAAGGCTCACCGCAACACTGTGCATAATTCTCTCACAGAGCAAGAGGAAGAGATGAGTGGTTGGGATGGTGCTGAAGGGGGCGGATCTAACTCACAGGCCAGCCAATCAGAGAGTGTACAGGCTAAAGACTTTCAATTTGATGATGGAAGACAAGAGGACCTTATTGGGCCGAAGTTCAAATCATTGAGACATTTAAGACAGGCAAATAAATGTTTACTCTGCTACCAACATCAATTTGAAAAATATATATAAATATTAAATTTGACTATGCTATTTTGGATTAATTGGCAGATCCTGGGTACCACAGATTTCAGACAACTCACATGGCATGTTCTCATGGGAAACCAAGTCATATGGAGAGGTGCAGACCCTGGCCTTATCCAGTCAGCTTTTAATGTGCTGAAGGTCAGCTAAATACCTATTTCCATCACACTAATCAAGTGATTCCAGGTCTACACCATAAAGCACACATCCGTGTTATATCTATACACTCTTATGATCTTTAAAAGCATATCCTGAATTCAGTTTTCTGACCATTTCGCAGGATTTGCTTCCGGTTGGCTGTGTCCGAGCAGTTCCGTACAGTCCTCACTATGAGGAAGCATATCGATGCAACTTCCTTGGCCTTAGCCCAGATGTACCAATCCCAGCCCATGTCAGCTCTTCAGGTACTGTACTGTAAAATAATCTGCTGTTTCTTTTCTGTTTCGCTGCAGTCCCTCTTTTGAATATTTTTGCTTGATGCAGCTAGTTCGTTTACCTATCGTATGTCTACACCACATTAAAAGTCTCCTAAGAGCCAAGCCCTGAGGGATTTGAGCCCCATTAACCTATTGTATTGTGATACCATCTTTTTGCCGTAGCTAAGATTACTTTAGGTCAAACATACACAAACAGTAACACTATGCATATGTGACACTGAGAAATGCCAGCAGTGCTCTCGTAATCTTTATCCATCAAATTCAGGGGATCATATTGTTTTTATAACACGATTGTATTATATTTTAATCAAGACAAACACACATGGATGTAACAGCGGCCTCAAAATAAGTGTTTTGGTGTTTTCTTTGTCGGAATGTGATTTACATCATGTTTCTCAATTTCTGTGTGACTGTTTTCTTACTAAACATAGTGAAATTGTTTCATAACTCCGTGTCAGGTTCATCTCAAAGTTCAACACGCGTTAAGAATCCTAATGGTGTAACCCCTTTCCCTCTTTCTCTGTCTCTCTCAATCGGTCTTCCAGAGTTTTCTGTGCTGGTGGATGTACTTAACGTTGAGCGCAGTTGTGTAAATCCTGTTTCGGATGATGACATTGTCTCACTCTACCAGTTCAACATTAGCAGTGCCAATGCACAACCAACGGATAAAGGTAAACGCATGGGCACATGTAGGATTGCCACAGTCTTTAAATATGTATACTCTATTCAAACAAACACACTATTTATAGCATTTTGCATTTGTACTCTGTGAATTCATTTATAATGTGGCTTCCTCATGGTTTTTCTTTCTCTTAGGTCCAACTCTGTTGAATAAGATCGAAGTTGCTCTTTCTAATGAGAATCTGTCGGTGGAGGTGGTCTCTCTCTGCCTCCTTTGTCTGAAAGAGGAGTGGATGAAGTAAATTGGCACTTTTTATTCAGATATATACAACCACTGTTTCTTTCAAATTTATCACTTTAGAAACAGATGACAGTCTTTATTCAAAACACAATGTTTCCAAAATGTCTACTTATATATCCAAAATATTTGCTCAAAACAGAGTTGCTTTTCATTTTGATTTCTATTATTTTGTCTAATTTATTAAAGGAGTAGTTCACTTTTAAAAAACTTTTGCTGATAATTTACTCACCCGCATGTCATCCAAGATGTCCACGTCTTTCTTTCTTCAGTCGAAAAGAAATTAAGGTTTTTTATGAAAACATTCCAGGATTTTCTCCATATAATGGACTTCAATGGGAACCAAACGGTTCAAGGTCCGAATGAGTTTTAGTGCAGCTTCAAAAGGCTTTAAACGACACCAGACAATGAATAAGCGTCTTATCTAGCAAAGCGATCGCTCATTTAAAAAAAAAAAAAAAAACTTTATGTTTTATAAGCACAAATGCTCGCCTTGCTCTGTTCTGCGATAAGCGTTCGTGAGTCCTGTTCAAACTCGTTCATCAAAATGAACAAATCTTTTTTCGAGTCATGACTCGAAGGGTCCTAGATAAGACCCTTATTCATCGTCTGTTTTCGTTTAAAGCCCTTTGAAGCTGCACTGAAACTTTCATTTGGACCTTGAACCGTTTGGTTCCCAGTAAAGTCCATTATATGGAGAAAATCCTGGAATGTTTTCATCAAAAGCCTTAATTTATTTTTGACTGAAGAAAGAAAGACGTGGACATCTTGGATGCCATGGGGGTGAGTAAATTATCAGCAAATGTTTTTTTTAAAAGTGAACTACTCCTTTAAGTTTGTTTGTATCTGTATATACAATATACACATACATATATATACACACACATTTCTGTGAATTTTCAGCATCATTACTCCAGTCTTCAGTGTCACACGATCCTTCAGAAATCTTTCTAATATACCGATTTGCAGCTCAAGAAACATTTCTTATTATTATCATGTTTGAACGCAGCAAAGTGAGATCTTTTTTATCAAGATTATTAGAGGAACAGAAATAAACAGCATAGTATTGATTTCTTTCAAACTTTTGAATATAAAATGAAAAGTAAAAGTTGTTGATTGAAATATGAAGTACTGTTACAATATTTAAATACAGCACTTTCCACAACTGTGTACAAAAATAGGGCCTGGAATTTTGGATTTTTTTGGGGGGTTGTGCCAAAGATTTAGGACCACTGATGCATAATACTTTTTTGGTTGGTAAAATTAACGAATAATTAAAAATAGCTGATACCACAATGAATGAACGCTTACCAAAATATACTGCATTTGTGGAATGTGCCATTATATTTATTTGAGGCAGTTGAGAAAAGCAATGTAGCATTCACAAAGTGAAATATTTTGCCTTTTCTCCTTTTTCCTGTAGTTTCCAGTTCACTTACTCGCTTCTTTCCAATTTCCTTTGTCCTGTTTTTTTTCGTTTTGTCTGTTTATTGTTCCCTTGCTAACCTTCTGTGCTTCCTCTCACCACATGCTCTTCTTTTTCTCTCTGTTACAGCAAAGTAAAAGTGCTGTTTAAGTTCTCCAAGGTGGATGGCAGAGGTAAAGAGGACACTCAAAAGGTTTTAGCCCTGCTGGGGGCCACGGGGCCCGGGGAAGAGGACAATGTGCGTCTTCTTAAGTTTTGGATGACAGGACTCAGCAAGCTCTACAAGAGCCATCTGATGACTGCAGTCAGAGGTGGAGAAAGAACTTTGAGCCAGTGAGAAAGAGAAAGGGGACAATTATAGGCTCATTGCTTTGAGTTAGCAACATTGAGTTCGATGAAAGGAATGCGTGTGTGCGTGTGTGTGCGCGTGTGTCAATTACAGAAAAAGGGGCCAAGCCCGAGTGTTTTTTTTTTTTTTTCTGCATGGTACAGAGAGAAAGTAAAAGATACTTAAGGCATGTGCATTTAATGGAATGTTTTTTGTTTTTTTTACTGTCATGACTAGACATGTCCATTTTCTGTCTTTTTCACTGTGTCTAATATAACGCATGGTCCACTGACTTCATGGGAACTAGGAGTATTAGTTGACATGATGCTGTTTTATGTCCTTTGTAATTGACGTAATCACAAATCTGTTCATCTGACATATCTGAGAAAAAATGTCTGTTTTATCCGCAATTTTATTTATCCTTATTTGTTAATTTATTTTAAATAAATGTATTTTAAACTCATTCGTGCTAAATGGACTGTATGCTGCTTGTAAATCTTGTAATGTTATTAATTAGTGCAATGTGATTATTCCAGCTACTGACCACAATCTTGATCATCTTGTGGTGAAAAATTTTCATATTTCTTTTGGAACACAAAAGAAGATATTTTGAAAAATGTTTTTTTCTCCCTGTGCAAAAGTTTTGGACTCTCCACTGACTTTCATTGTATGGACAAACTAGTTATTGACATTATTATTAAAATAATTAATAAATAATAACATTATTAAACATGTATTCAAAATATCTTCTTTGGAAGGACATGATAGTAAATCGTAACAGAATTTTCATTTTTGGGCGAACTAGCCTTTAATTGCTGAACGTTTCTGAAATATTTAGCAATAACCCTAAACTCAGTACAGTTTTTACAACTTGTTTCAAAGTGCTACAAGAAATGTAATAAACATTTGTAACATGTACCCCCACCATAAGCACCTCTTACATAAGGCCATACTAGTGTTTCACAGTTGCAAGAGCGTAACTTAAAGGATCAGGTTATTTCCTCCTATGTTAATTCACACCGTACAGAGCAGAAGTGATATATCACCATACACAAACACACACACCGTATACATATTTAGGTATCTTGAATGTGCAAAATCATTTAAATTAAAAAAAATTGTAACAAGTCTATCAATGCTGGTAAAATAAATCAAGTAGGCCTATGTGTGAATGTCACCCTGAAGAGGATTGCGAGATACTCTTTCCTGTCTGCACAGGTTGATGGATGGCAAAGTAGGAATTGCTGGATCATTGCCACGATAACTATTACATTCATTTACTTATTCAGATGGTAAAAATCAAGCTTTATATTTTGCATTTTTATTTTTTGCTTACTTATTTTTTTGTAACATTACTACACTATAAAAATGGGTTTTCATTAATCATTAATTACTCATTAATTATGCACTAAGAACATTTCTTTCTTTGATGCAATCGTTCATGTTTCAACTAAATGCAACACAAACTGACTGCTTTGTCTACAAATTTTATATAGTATCATTTTATGGGTATCACATGCCTGAGTCTGACAATGACTAACCAGAATGAATTATGTGAACATGATCAAATATAACATCCTTTTATTGCAGATGTGAAAAGCTTATGTGCTTCGTCATCATTTCACTTGGGATTGAGAAAACAACAGACAGGGATACTCTATTCTTGAGTGGAGGGAAGGGAAATTAAAACCAGACTGCCAGAGTGCCAGAGTGCATGACTATGTCTAAGCCCGGGAAAGGCCGTGCATTGAGTACTGATGAAGAGGGGGAGTGCATGCTGTTTAATGAGGTAAAGGGGTGGGAGCTTTAAAAAGAGATTGAACCACCAGGACTTTCACTTTCAGTGAGCAGCCTCCACACGGTTTGCTCCAGTCCAGTAGCCTCCAACAACAGATCAAATGTGCAGCTCGATGAGTATCTTGCCACTTGGGAATGCAAGCCTCAAAAACAATGGATTTATAAAGGAAGAAGGAAAGTAAGCAGACTAAAAGAAACAGGAAACTAAAATCACAGGAAATCTTGCTCTCCATCAGAATTTTCTCTTTAGAAGACTTTGGGAGTTTCCAAGTGACTGATTGGGGTTGAGCCAGAGAGGGACAGAACGCGGTGCAGCTGTCAACGAGGGATCGAGGAGAAAGTGCAGCAGTAAGAGGAAGAGGAGACGTTAGCTAGTAGTCACTAAACGAGGCAGCTGGGAAACCCACTGAGACTGAGATTCTTCCATATCTTTCCTGCTACAATCTGTCGCGCAAAAGGACTTGGTTAAGAAGAACATGGGGAATATGGGCCGCTTTGGCCGGTAGAAGCATGTCACCAACAGGTAACGTGATACGTGCGCAGCACTGACGAAGGTCCATCAATTGATGCGCGTATTCAAATAGTTGTATTATGTGTATGGTGTTCGCTACACTAAAATGCGTAGTTGTTTTGAATCTTACGGCTTTTAATGCTCTGGACCATGTTTACCTTTGCTTTTCAGTGCTGTTACTTCTATCAATATTGACTGTTCAAGGAAGTGGGTGCAATGATTTTATGAAGACGACGATCAGAAATCTGCAGGACACTGTAAACAATGAACGAACGAACGGATTCGTGAGTTTCATCCTTTAAAAAAAATTGCTCATTGTTTGCTAGAAAGTTCATTTATCTCTCGCGTGTCATTTTGCACTGACCTTATTGTTGCTCTGCGGTTTTGGTAACGTGTGAGAAGCCCATGCAACCTAAAGTAAAGATCAAAGGATGTAATGACATTTTAAATGTGTTGCAGCCACAAGTGTTTCCGAAGAACTACGTTGTGTCTCACTATTTCAACGACAGCGCGCTGTGCAATGAGCCGGTAAGAATGACAGTTCTGTCATTTCAGCGTCAATTTTGATACATTGTATGCAGTTCAGTTACAGACAATAATTGAAATATGCCTGATGAACATTTTTTTTTTTAGTTTTCTGAAATAAAAGTTGTTTTTGCCATTTAATGGGGTCTACAAAAACACAATAGTAAGTAATTCAATAAATAAATAACTGATCAAAGGAAATGAGATTGTAAGAAGATTATAAAACACGAACACACACACACACATACACGCGCGCACAATAATAATAATTAAGTAAATTCATAATTCATAAAAATAAACAAAAAAATTATATTTGTGAGTTTGGCATTAGTATGGCATTATCTTTTATTATAGTTTCTTTAAAAAATGGCAGCGAAGTAACATTTAAAAAATATATATTTTAATATCTAAAAAATGTTTTTATAAAAACATTTTTATAAGTAGGCCTAACCATATTATATTCGTAACTCAAACATTAAAAACCTACTTTGAAACTTGTTTGACAATAATGATTAAATTGTGTACACTCTATTTTTTTTTTACAACATTACATTTTTAGTCATTTTGAGTCATTAAATCAAAATGTTCTTTTGGATATGGTATATTTTCCCAAATGAAAGCATCAGGAATAGATAGATTACATTAAGAACTTGTCAGTCACATGTTTTTTAAAACTAAAATTTCTCCTGATTTATCATCTCAGCCATCCGTATTTGTCATTAACCCATAAATGTTTACTATGATAGTCCTTATTATTTTTTACAGAGAACCTATTTTGCTCAAAAATACATCTCTCTGTGTGTGTGTATGTTTAGTGCTGTGTGTTCAGTGCTGCCGTGTTTCTGTCAAATTCCTGGAGTCAGCTTTTCCAGCACCTCAGTACATTTCATTTCAAGTACAAGTTCATCGGAGAGCTGATTTACTCTCTGAACAGCATAGCAAAAGAGGTATATCATCATATACAGTTATTTCTTTCTAACACACTTTTATCAAACCATACTTCTTGCTACTACACTGTTTTATCAGATGATGTATCTGTAAGCTTGACAGATTGAACATCTGTATATCTGTCATCTGAAGTCAGTTTTTTCCGTATTATTTTGTAAACAGAAATTCCCGGATCCGCCAGATATTTCTGATTTCCCATCTGTCCAGACATCGCCTGAAGGACTTCTCTCCTTCACCTCATCCTTCTTCACACGATGGCTCGATTTGAATTGTGCTTTTGGAGAGCATAACTGCATCTTCCCCACACTAGGTGAAGAGGATCAAGAAAATCCAAAGGAGGGAGAGAATGTGGAGAACCGAGAGCCGGTGGATGAGCAACAGCCTGTGATAGAAGGACAGACTGGTAAAATACAGCTTGACCGGGGTCCAACCAACAGCTTTACTAAGACACGTTGCACAGGTTTCACTCACTGGAGCTTTTCTTTTCTATGGATAATATCAAGTCTGATCTGGTGAAAGTCAAGAAATCTGTTTTAAATATGCCACAAACCTTGGCCAGAAAAAGGCTTCACTTTGAAAGGACCGCTACTGTGTTGCCTTGTTTTTAGTCAGTTTGGAAGCTAATTTTGTTTTACACTGATAAATAAAGTTTGGCTTGAGATTTCGAAAAAATGCTCTCTGGATAAAGTGTCTGGATGCAGTTATGGATCAGTTCTGTTGGAGAAAAGGGATACTTTGAAAACGGACATATGGCTATCATGAGGTTGTTTTTTTTCTCCTTCTGCATCATGTCTTTGCACTGATTGTTTTTATCACTTATATAGTGTTTCTGTCATCTTAAACAGTGAATTGTGTGTCATGATGATTCAGGTAAAACCTGTTGACTGAATGTTTTATCATTGAATGTAGTGAAAAAGTAAAGAATAGATGAAGCCAAAAAGCTCCGCTTATCGCTCAGTGTTCGAGAGCGAACAACTACACTCATGTTATACAGTAAATTCAAGCCATATTCAATATAGGAACCACAGCACCTGCTACTTTCCGAAAAAGAAAAGGCATTTACAAAAGGGTTACACAATGTTTACAAGTATTATTGTCTTGTATAGAGAAGGTTACTACTACAAGCAATGTTTTACATAAATGAATTTAACATTTTTGGTGTACAGTACGTGCTGTCTGTTTTTACATGTAGATTTCTATACGTGAATAAAATCTTCTTAAGATTAATTTGTGTTTGCCTGAACTGTCTATTTGTTGCAATGTTTAGAGACTATACTCTTTTGTTTGTCAGAGTGTTTGCATGAGGACTCTATATCAGCTGGAAGGAGGGACTTGCAGATGATGGCACAAACAACAAGATGCCACAGAGACCTATTGTTCACACATTTTTGCTGCCCAATATAGGACTGGCACATCTCGAAAACACAATTTGCCAGTCAACACACAATATATTAAATTTTAGTTAGATATTCATAATGTTGCAGGATTTTGCCCATTGCATTTCAGCATTTGTTTGGATTAGCACAAAGCACCAACCTGTCTGGAGGGTAAAAAAAAAAAAAAAAACCTGCTTGAACCAGCGCAAGCTGGTTTGCTGTTTTTTTTTTTTTTTTTTTTTTTATCCACTTTTGGATTTTGGATGGATTTAAATGGATTTTGGGCACTTTTCAGTAGGACTTGAAGAGAATGCTGGTCATTTTAAGATTAAGATGGCCAGGTTGAAAGACGTATACCAAGACTTTAACATAAGGCCCCTTAAGTTAAGATTATCAGTAACTAACATTAACCATAGCTTAACAATACATTTGTTACAGAATTTATTATTCTTTGTAAACATTAGTTTGTATGTGAAAAATAAAGGTAGGCGTAGGCTACTTTGATAGTTAATGTTAGACCATTAGTCTAGCTAAATAATATTAAGAGATACGACTTTTGATTTAGATCATGTATTAGTTAATGCTGAAACTAACATTACACGCTTAGGCTAACCAATATCAACTACTGGAATGGAAAGGGTTAATGAATAATTATATTTCAATGCCCAGATTTTTAGAAGATTACTTAAATGTTAGAGATATAAAGAATAAGAAGGATTACTGGAAAACAGTCAGTCTGGGACAACAATTCCCGCTAGCCCGGGGACTTGGGTGCTTTCCAACTCTGTACAGGGCTAGGGTGCGCTTTAAACCACGTGACGAGAAAATCATCCAGTTAAAAATGTTTTAAGGGATTGTTGGGAATATAACAACTAAATTTAACAAGTTTTGGATGGATCATTAATGAGGAAGCAAGAGAAATAGTTAAAGAGGTTAATATTGCCAAATGTGTGTTTTTGCCAGCAATTCCTTATTGGTTTCTTCCAATGCCTTCTATAGATATACAGTTACACAAAGACAAACATAATGAGAAGATTATTTTGGATAGCGTAAAGGTACAAGAATACATCGATCATATATATTATAGTGCCATCCAGATATATACTGATGGCTCAAAGGATCCACACTCTGGAAAAACGTCTGCAGCAGTATTTATAGGCTACCACAATTTAGAGTTATTTTAAAAAGAACATCAGATTACATTTCGGTATTTACATCAGAATTAATAGCAATTATATTAGCATTACAGTGGGCTGAAGAAATTCAGCCAAGCAGATCAGTTATATGCACAGACTCTTTATCGGCAATTGAAAGTATAGCAAGTGGTATTTCTACAGCTAGACAGGACTTAATTTATGAAATATTACAAAGTCTTTTTAGAATCAAACAATTGAGAATCGTTATTAATTTTCTTTGGATACCAGCTCATATGGGGGTGGCAGGAAATGAAGAGGTAGATAGTTTAGCAAAGCAGGCCATATAATTCCAAGAAGTTGATATTAAAATTGCATTAAGTAAGACTAAGATAAAAAGTATAATAGCAAAGGGAATTAGGAAGAAATGGCAGAAGGAATGGGATAGTGGAAATAAGGGTCGGCATCTATACAAAATTCAAGGAACAGTTGGTTCAGTAAGGAAAAATTTTGGTAATAGAAGGAGGGATGTTATAATTTCAAGAATGCGTATTGGCCATTGTTTATTAAATCAAAGTATGGCCAGGATTGGGAAACACCAGACTGGATACTGTGACAAATGCAGTTTAGGAAATATGGAAAGTGTAGAACATGTATTGCTGAAGTGTGAGGCGTATACGAGAGAAAGATTTAAATTATTACAAGAATTAAGAGAAATAGAAATGGAAGATTTGTCTATCAAAGCATTATTAGGGAATGGCCCAAAGCAATTTAAGATATATGAATTATTATTTCATTTTTTAAAGGATACTCATTTAATTAACAGGATTTAGGTCAGTACTACCATAACGTTATCCACACTCCAATCCAGTAGGTGGCGGGAATGCACCATTAAAGTTTGGTTTGCCAACTGCCATTAAACCGGAAAGAAGAAGAAGAAGAAGAAAAACCACGTGACGACGTGAAGCGGAAACAGTCCGTTCTCTCAAAATGTCCGCGGCCGATGAAGACACGTTGCCTCAGGAGGATGACGAGTTTGAGGACATGGAGGCGAGTGGAAGCGACGAGGATGATATGGAGGGAGGTGGACAGAACGGGGACGTAGAGGAAAAAGTTTATGTCCCCGGTCTGGAAGCGCTCCAGCCAGGAGAAGAGCTCGAGATGGACCGCTCCGCTTACCGCATGTATCACGAGTGCCAGACTGGTCAGTTTGCTGAACATCTCCGATCACTTAACATACTACATAGACGAGCACAAGCATGAGGGACTTATTCACAGAAGTAGTTTCCTCTATGCAACATATTGCATACATCTACCAACAAAATAAAGTACTATGGCAATAATGTGTTGTTTTTTTTTGGAAATGTATTAGTGTCGTGGTACAACACTGTCAAGTGTCATTTGTATCACAGTCTGTCTTTTTGTTTGCATATGTGTTAAGAGATGTCTGGGTAACGTCATGTGATCCTAAAGTATATTTCACGTGTATCATTAAAAATGAGAATGTCAGGTAATTAAGTGTAATCTCCTGAAACTATTGTCACAGTATTCTAATGGCTATGTAGCCTTCGTTTTCTCAAAATAACAATAATTGTTTCTGTTATTATTATTATTATATTTTGAATTTAGCCATTATTTTTAGGACAATGTACAAACTCTCATTACACTAATGCATTCTGACACTTTTATTTTTGTTATGCTCAATGTCGTAATGCATACTAAAATACTAATTTTGCACAATAAAGCTTCAACGCTAAACAATTATATTAGTCAAAGAAATTGTATTGTCATAAATTGTAATTTTTGTCACATGATAGTGAGAATGGGAATCGGGGGAAATATGCTTGCAAATTAAGATGTTCATCAAACCGATTGTTCTTTGAACAAAATTATTTTTATTTTGTTTCTTACGTTATTATAATTTTTTTATATTCTTAAAATGAGTGAAATACTTATTTTAGTTAGAATGTTTTGAAGCCTTATTACCGTGAATTAAAATAGAGTAACTTTTATGTTAACCAGATGTACCTGTTCTAAAACCATACTTGCTCTCTTCTTAAATGCGCATGTATAATACCGGTAGGTGAACTTCTCTTTCCCCTGCAGGTGCCCCATGTCTGAGTTTTGATGTGGTGCGTGATGGTGAAGGAGAGGGGAGAGAGCAGTTTCCTCTCTCTATGGTGCTTTGTGCTGGAACACAGGCGGACACCGCGTTCAGCAACAGGTAAACTGGCAAAGCTTGTAACTTTTCATTATCTTCAGCAAACATATGATAATAAACTAAACTAAAGATAATAAAATTTCAATCTCTATCCAGGCTTATTGTCATGCGCATGCACAATCTTCATGAAACTGACAAAGAAAAAGATGAAAATGAAAGCAGTGATGGAGAAAGTGATGAAGATGAGGAAGACGAGGATAGGAAACCACAGTTGGAACTGGCCATGATGCCACATTATGGTGGGATCAACAGAGTCAGAGTAAGTCAAGTTGCTTTCCTATAATCTACTTCTTTATAAACACAGCATACAAAGAAACGTAATTTTTCAGTATGCTCTGTTTTAAAGATAATTCTGTAAAATCCAAATAAGATTCAGATCTTGTCAGACAATGTTTTTCATGCTTGTTCAATGTCCCATAAACAATTCTTGCATATACACCTGTGGGACAGTCCTCAAGACACTAACAGTTTACCGGTGGTAGACAAATAAAGTCACAGTTACAATAACAATACATTTAAAGAGACCTTTCTAGTACTGACTCAAGTACAAAACAGACTCAAGAAAGATGCCTGGGGTCCACAAGTATTGTTCTACGGCATGTGTATAAAAGCTTTTAAAATGTCTTAAATGAACTAATCCTATCTTTATCTAAACCCTGTCTGTGAAACCAGGCCTAAAGTTCATTTCTGTTTGTCCATAGTATGTGAAATTTGTTCAGTTTGTCTCAGTTGTTCAATCTTTTTGTGTTCATACAAAAACTGTATTTACACACACACAATTTGGCGTGAAAACAATCTTTTTTGCAGAGTAGATATTAGAAATTGAATCCAGACTAACCAGTTTAATTCTCTCACTCATCTAAAGTGACTATCTTAATACTTGAATAGGTCACCCAGCGAGGGGAACAGGCATTGGCTGCTGTCTGGTCAGAGAAAGGCCAGTTGGAGATTTTTGACCTCCGACCTCAGCTTGAGGCAGTACACAGTTCATCAGTGATGTCAGCTTTTATCAAGCAACAGAAGGAAGCCACGCCCCTTTTCAGTTTTACTGGTCACATGTCAGAAGGATTTGCCATTGATTGGTCACCCAAAGTACCAGGTGGGTAATATGAGGTGTGTTCGACTTGAAGCGGCGCAGTGCAGACCAATTGGTGTATGACATCACCAAAGTACCGTGAGAGCGATTAAGAGAACAGACGGCCATACACAGCCTTTTTAATCCCTCTCGTGGTAGTTTGATGTTATACACTGATCTGTCAAACTATGGATTGTGACTTTACACTGTGTTCCACATTATTATGCAAAGGACTTACCAGTAGGAATTCGGTACAATAGATTGTAGTTTTTCTAAGAAAGTGCCTGTTTGTTTTGTTTCTCATATCTTTTTAGATAACTGGTATCAATCTCAGACAGGTTTAAGTCGTTTTCCAGGTTTTCTTGGGTAAATGGAAACTACTTAAAGAGGTTGTTCCACATTATTAAGCAAGTCTCAGTGCATGCAATATGGGGAGGAAGAATGATCTTTCTGAAGATGAAAAGCGTGAAATGAAAGACTGAGTGGAGATTATCGAACTATCAAAATATTTGTGAGAAATTTAGTGGACCGAAGCACTCGGTCAAATAAAGGCTTATTTAGGAAAGTTTCTGTCGAACAAATTAACTGTATTAAAAGGGCAGCTATAAAAAAATCACTGTTTAGCAGCAAATATGTATTTGCAGGCTGGCAGTTGTGTATAACATTATAAATAAATGAATAGCCATTTTTAAAATGTAATAGAATTCCATACTAGTATTACAACTGATGGTCTGGCCTTTTAATGCAATTCATTTGACTTTTTTGACAGAAACTTTCCTTAAGCCTTTTTCTGACTGAGCACTTCTATGCTTAAAATCAGCTTGACAAAATATGTTCAGTTTCCACAAAATATGAGTTAACATTCCTTTTTCAAGACCTTTTTCAACATCTTTCATGCTTTTTATCTTCAGAAAGATCTTTCTTCCTCCCAGTAGTGCATGAGAACGGTAACTTTGCTCTATAATGTGAAACAACCTCTTTAAGAAGGTTTTCCTGGCAAACTACTGAGATTGATGCCAGTTATCTAAAAAGATGTGAGAAATAAAACAAACACTTTCTTTGTATAACTTAACTAAATATTTATTGTACTGAAATTCCTTTGATATGTCACTTGCGTAATCCTTTGGAACATGGTGCATATGACATACAGAACAGGGTCTTATCTCTATCTAAATTGATTTTTATCGACTAAAGGAACTGCTAAGATTCAAATAATTTAATGTTTACCTACCTTAGGACGCCTGGTAAGCGGCGACTGCAAGAAGAACATTCATGTCTGGGAGCCACAGGAGGGTGGGACTTGGAAGATTGACCAACGGCCTTTCAGCTCACACAGCAAGTCTGTTGAGGACCTACAGTGGTCACCTACTGAAGCCACGGTGTGTCAGTCAACGCAGTGAGATGATATTAATGGATATTGATTAATGGATGTAATTTCTAAATGTGTGTTTCTCTCGCACGCCCAGGTTTTTGCATCGTGCTCAGTGGATCAGTCCATTCGCATTTGGGACTTAAGGGCCCCACCTAATTCTATGCTTTCAGCCAATGAGGCTCATTCTTCAGATGTCAATGTGATCAGCTGGAACCGAACTGAACCATTTATTTTGTCTGGAGGAGATGATGGCCTCCTGAAAGTCTGGGATTTAAGGCAGTTCAAGGTGAGCATGAGAAAGAGCAAACAAATATAAAGGTTTTATTATCCAACTAAAGGAAACGACTAAAGTGAAACCGGTCCGGCTGGGATGATGTGAAGAGACAAACGCAATTGAGGCCATATAAACCCATAACTGCCTGGTATATTGTTCCAGGATGTTTACATTTACATTTATTCATTTAGCTGACGCTTTTTATCCAAAGCGACTTACAAGTGCTATGTATGTCTGAGGTTGCACGCCTCTGGAGCAACTAGGTGGTTAAAGGGTTAGTTCACCCAAAAATGAAAATTCTGTCAGTATTTACTCACCCTCATGTTGTTTCAAACCTCTATGTGTTTATTTGTTCTGCTGAACACAAAGGAAGATATTTGGAAGAATGTTTTAATCAAACAGATCTCAATCCCCATTGACTACCATAGTACTACCATTTGTGTATAGCAGAACAAATAAACACATAGAGGTTTGGAACAACATGAGGATGAGTAAATACTGACAGAATTTTCATTTTTGGGTGAACTAACCCTTTAAGTGTCTTGCTCAGCGACACATTGGTGTCTTATCCATTGTGCCATCACCACCCCACTGGAGGGAGGTTGTTTGGAACAACCTACCTGCAAACTACAGTACTGTGAAAAGTTATAGACACCTGTGAAAAATGCTGTTAAGTTTGGATATTTTCAAATATATAGCTGTAGCATTTCTGAAGGAAAAAAACCCTCTTATGCCCACCACTAAGGCTGCAATTACATTAATATTGTAAAATATTATTTCAATTCTAAATTTCAGTTTTATATATTGTGATTATTATAGCTGTATTTTTAGCTGTCATTACTCCAGTCTTCAGTGTCTCATGATCCTTCAGAAATCTTTTTAACATGATGATTTGGTGCACATAAAAAATGTCTTACTGTTATTAAAACGGCTTGTTGCTTAATGTTTTAGTGGGAAACATTATACATTCTTTTCCAGGATAAATTTCTCTTCCTGGTTGAATATAAAGGTACAAAAGAACAGTATTTATTTAACATAGAAATCTCTTATAACATTAGAAAAATATCTAAGTTTTGATCTATTTAATTGTTTTTTGGTAAATTAAAGAAAAATGTTTCTTGAGTTTTTACTGGTAGTGTGTAGATATGTGTTTTTTTACTGATCACGTGGATTTTTTTTCCCTTCAGTCTGGACATCCAGTGGCCAGTTTTAAGCAGCACAGTGCACCCGTGACGTCGGTCCAGTGGAGCCCTGTTGACTCTAGTGTGTTTGCCGCCTCTGGAGCTGATGATGTCATCAGCCAATGGGATCTGTCAGTGGAATCATGTGACGTGGGAGAACAGGCAGATGGCTTAAAACAGCTACCACCACAACTACTGTTCCTTCACCAGGGCCAGAAAGAAGTGAAGGAGGTCCACTGGCACCCACAGATTCCTGGAGTTCTCATTTCCACAGCACTGTCAGGATTCAACATCTTCAGAACAATTTCTGTTTAACTCTTTCTATGTGTGTGTGTGTGTGTGTGTGTGTGTGAGTGAAACAGACAGATTTGTTTCAGGCATAAATGGTGTGCATGTGTATAATTTTTAATGTACATATAGAAGGATGAATGGAACATCTTGGTATGCATGACTTGTATGCATTTCTGTCATTTTCCCACCCTTTTCTTGTGGAACCGATTTTTCAACTTCTTGAGACAGAAATTATGTAATTGTATGTGACAAATTACTAATTCGTTAAAACTCTGTTCTGAATCAAGTGTATTGGTTGTCTGTCAACTTTGTTTGTTTATTTTACAACCAGCAAATTTTCCAAAGAGCCACTTCTCCTTGGAAATCTGTTGAGTAAAAAAAAAAAAAAAGTTTAGAATTATTTTCTCAGGCAAATTATTGGACCTAATGGGAAAATGTTTCGGTCTGAAAGTAGACTGCAGGTTTTTATTAAGGTTCATTTTCAAAAACCACAGTAGCTTTTTCACATATTATAATAAACAGGAAAATGTATTGTTAGTTCTTATTTCTTCAGGAAAAAATTTAGAAAACTCCTCAATTTCTTCTTTATGTTTTGCACAAAACTATTTTTAGAGAACTGGGGGAAATCTAGTAAGTCTAACTACAAAAAATTGTGTTCTATGCAAATCTTGAATTCAAACAAGTTTTAAATACAATTTTTAGGTTTTTATGCAGCCAATGAGTGCTCTGAATTTTCCCTAAAGGCTCAAATGAAAACTGATGTCTTATGAATTCAGTGATTCTTGATGGAAAGGGGAAATGGTTAATATGAAAGGATGCCCTCCAGTGTAAGTATGAAGAAATAGCTTGTTTATAATTTCAACAAATTTCTTTAAAAAAACTTGGAATGTTTTGCAAGTACTCCACTTCTAGCAATTGTTTTTACTTTTGATATTTGGTTGACACAATTCTTGACTAGTGGTCATGATTGTGGCATTTGTAGATGGAGAAAAAAAATCCAAGACGTATCATAGAATTATTCTGAAAAGTTGTTAATAAAAATCTATCCATTCATCCACCTACATAAAAACAAACATCAGGAAAAGATAAAGATAGTAAAGTATTCATTTATTTACCTGATTTTAAAATAAAAAAAATATTTATATCAATAAAAATAGCATTACAGAAATTCATTTACCTTCCATCAGCACATTCTAAGAATACAAAATGCCAGATGGCAGTTTTATAAAACTTTACACATTTTGGTCTATACATTATTTCAATTGGCAGAGTGGTTTTGAGTGTAAAATAACTACTGATTGTCCGTTATAGTATTCAAATCATACAAATGTGGAAGCTAGATAAAAGCGATTGCTTTAAAAAAAAATAAACCCAACCTATTAAAGCTTTTCATGCTTCCCTTTATGAATCTGGTCAACCTACATGATCAACCAGAATATGAGTTTTGTTTTTCATTCACAGTTTAAAAACTATGCGTTTAGCACTTGTTAAGCTTTAAGACTATTTTGTAGTGTGTAACTATATTGTGTGCTTTTCATTTTTACACTTTTTAAGAGACTCCAAAAACAAAAAGCAGTCTGATTGCTTATTGCATTTTAGGATATGCATGTATGTATGTATGTATGTATGTATGCATATGTAATAATGAAAACTCCCAGGAGAAAATTCCAGCATTTGTGAATGCGTTCAGCAACTTCCCACAAAAAGAAAAGCTTCTTCGCTGGCTTTTCAGTGACACCAAGCAAGACAAATATGGAAAACATCTTCAGTGTCTTCTGTAAGGCACTGTATATAACCATAATATAAACAATAATTAATATGGTGTTTGGCTTAAAAAAAAAGAGTCTGTACTGCAGGTATTCACTCTCCATTGAGATTAAAGCTGTATCCAGTTAACTGAAGAAGGTAAAGTGTCCAACAACAGTACTAATAAGTTGAAATATTAAACCGTTTTATATACCTTGGGAATATATGCAGAAAATTGTCCTTGGGTTGTTCTTTAAGACGATAGACCATGGCCGTGGGAGACTCTCAAAATTTGTACTTACAAAATCCAATAAAAAGACAAACCGTAAGATTGTCTTTCTTTCATAAAATAGACTTGAAACTGAGCAAACACCATCGTAAACTTCAAAAGTGTGGAAAAGAGAGTTCCAAATAGTCCAGTTATTACCTCAAGAAGGACATTTTCATTATTTCTCTGCGTTTGGATTTTTTTTAAAGTATGATTCTGTCCACAAGTCATCATGATCCATAAATTCTGCTAATGACTTATTTTTGGTCCTCAAATCGCTCGCTATGTCCTCTTATAGGCCAATCTCATCATCAAACTCGTCCTCAAAAGTGTATCCTTGTTCTCCATTGACACCCTCCTCCTCTGAATCTGTTTCTGAAAGATGTTGGTTTTCTCTCCTCCGGTCCAACGGTGAGACTCCCTCATATTCTGAGCTCATTGAGGAAGAGGTGCTTGGAGAGTTGTCCTCCTTCCGATTAACCATCTCTGCTTGTCTTGGGTCTTTGTCATAAACTATTCTTCCACTAATCTCCTGCATCTCCTTATTTGGTCTCAAGCTCATTTCTTCTTCACCTTCCACGTCTAGCCCCTCAATTGCTTCCTGCCGGCCGATGATCTCATCACGCTTGTCGCTGAATCGCACTTTAGGCCTGAGCCCTTTTGATTTCACGCCATTCATCTCGTTCAGTTGCTCATCTTGTTGGCTCACCTCTTTGGTCACGCTTTCCATTCTCATCCTCTCATTCAACTCATTGGCAGCACTCCTTGGCGACATCATCCCATCTCTTGTGCTCTTGCTGGGACTAAACACCTCTTCGCTGTCTTTGTGAAAACCCATGGTCAGTCCATCCATCACTCCCAGCACATCTCCTAAAATCGAAGGCCCTAAATCGAAGTCGAGGTCAAAGGAGGAAACTGAATCGGCGTGCCGGAGCTCACTTGGACCGATATCTTCTTCGGCATATTCAGTATCATTATTATGGTTCATCTGAATGTCTGCGGTCTCTACAGTGGCTTCCCCGACTGGTTGCTCAGAGTTGGGATTAGGACCAGAGGGGCCATGGCTGGACAGGAACGAGGTGTCACCAAAAGCGTCTCCACCACGACCAATATGCATGGTGTGACGAAAATCCCCCAAGGGAGCAGAGATCATGGTGGGGTCCAGACGAGGGGTTCGAGATGATTTGTGGAGTGGCATGGTAGCAACTGAGGGAAAGAATATTGCAAAGTAAGATTAAGGGAAAGATGTAATAAAAACATTTATAGCCATTATATGATATTTTATAAAACGGATAGTTCTGGTTCTTGATTCAGATGGGTTGAGCCGCGTTCGAAGCCGTTATAAATTACCTAACAAACATACACCTGTGACCGCATTACATTAGTATTACTACACAACAGCCGTTTGTGATTCTTTGTTGCTGCATGTGTTGCTTGGCAACCTCTTTGGAACTAAACTGCTTGGCGGAGGAATAAATGTGTTATTGTTGCTGGTATTTATTTTATGAATAAAAATATTAAAATGAATATTTTTATGGAGTAACTGTTTTATAAAAGCAATAAGTCCCTTGAAGCAGTGTTTTACATGCATTACTAAATCTCATTTATTCAATATAAACTGTAATAAAATATAATAACACAGTAAAACATTATGATCAAAAAGTTGACAACATAATGTTTTTACATTGCTTTAACTCATCAAAATAAGTTTATATATTTTTAACTTTTTTTATAAGTAGGCTAATACAAGATTCAAATATTTTTTAAGTCAGTTTAATGTCATTTTTAAAAGTTGAAATTACTTAAACAACCAACTTGATTGTACTTAAAAATTTAAGGCAGCAACTTTTTGTTTTACAGTGAATAACATCTTATCTGCTGGTATTATAATTATTTGATGTTGCTTGATATCCACATTTCTAAATCCCCTAAAATCATAAATATAATATCAGATTGTATACACTTTTATTTCTTATATTATGGTTAATTATAATGTAATGTTGCTTGTTATAGACATTCCTACATTTCTTTCCTCAGACTGTTTTCTCTGTAAAAGCTGAAGTTGCTCAACTGCTGGGACTCAACTGCTCCGTTTTGGGTGAGGTAAGATTAGACCCACGTTCTTCAATTTGTATATTTGCGGATTTTATCAATAAACATGTATGAAATCATTATGTTGCACAAAAAGGAGCTATGATTGAGAAAATGTAGTGAAAAAAGAGGAGGTGACAGACGCCAAATCCAAGCTCGGACTTGTATGTGAAGAGCGTGCTTAAATGCATTCTTGCCTCGAGCATTCTCGCGAGGTTGAGACCTTTTTTTTTTTTACAGTCTGTGTTTGAGACGCAAAGTCTGAGAAACATTATAAATGTGGCCACGGTTAGTCTATATCTTTTTAACACTTAAATCGATTAGTTAATTGACAAACTGAAATGTCACTCGTTTCTGGAGGGAGCCTATAGAACACCTCTTAAGCCCAGGGATAGTTTCTAATACTACAAAATGGACCCCCCCTTTAACATTTAATAATTAAATAAAAGCTATATATATATATATATATATATATATATATAGAGAGAGAGAGAGAGAGAGAGAGAGAGAGAGAGAGAGAGAGAGAGAGAGAGAGAGAGAGCCATAGTCCTAACCATAGACTGGTCCTAACCTTTTCATAAACAACTGCAACAGCTGGAAAGGGTATTAGTTCTAGTCGTCTTTACCAGATCTATTTACCACGGGTTTACCAACGATATAAAGTAAAATAAATCATAGGTTTAACGTACTTTCTGAGGTAAAACACCTTTATACACATTTTATAAACATTCGATGAAAACGAAATAAAGTCATTTCAGCAACTTACCAGCAATGATATTAAAATTTAAGCAGAAGACCTGCCTGTTGCCCAGGAAAGCGTCGCCCTGCCCAATGAAGCTGTAATAGAGCAAAAATCAACGTGTGTATCAAATAGTATTTTTATTTTAATGCAATGAAGGTCTCTGAAAGTGGGAGTAACTGCAAAAGTTACGCGCCCAACGGAGTTACCGAATCGGTTTCCTTTAAAACGATGGAATTAGACTTACTTTGATCACCGTGTGCTTGTCAACGGGATTGTACCTATTTGCTCCAGTTTTAACCAAATTATTCTTTATATATCGCTTTCCTTCTTTTACAGACTTTTCTGGCGTCGCTCTTCTCTACGATATTTCTTTTTTTTCCTTTAGGGATGGGCAAGGAAGTGACGTGAGTTTTACATGGGAGCGCTTTGGCAACAGCTGTAATAATGAATGAAAGTGCAGCGCTGCCTATGCATTGTTTTCATTTCAGAATGATTTCACATGAGTTTTCCTTTTGAATTTTAAACCTCACTCAAGTGTAGAATCATGAGTAAAGGTGTTAGGGTTGAACAAGTGAAAAATTAAAAGCTGACCAAGGTAAAAGGTCATCTAAAAACGTAATGAATTTTTATTTTATTTTTAAAGTGAGGAGACTATTTGAAATATAAGAGCTATTGTCATACCTTTGTGTAGGACTGTTTGTACATTGTGTGTTTGAGTTTATTGCCATGGGTGAATCACAATGAAAACACATTTTGGAATCCCGTCTGTCAACATTTTGAACAGAGCTTGTCGAAGCAGAACCTGTTCTAATGCTCTGTTTTATTTTTGTATCATGCATGGGCCTATCACTTTCACCATCTATATTATAATAGAAGTAAAAATCCATAGTGTAAGTTTGATTTCTTTTGAAAAGCGAAACAATAGAAACATTTGGGAGAATTGAACAGTTTATTCATCCTTTAGACAAAATGTAAAAATGGGCCTTTATAAATTTTATATAGTCTATAAATTATATATAAACATTTTGTATCATATTTGATGCATCAGGCTTTTATGGCATGTATCATATTCTGATGATGGATCTCCATATTCTCAGTATCATGGGCCACATATTATCCTATGAGATCATACTGAGAAGATGGAGAACATCAGAATATGGAGTTTTTTTATGGGCAAGGATTAAGATGACATTTTGATTTTAATTTGAATCAATGAGTATAACTACTTACATAAAATACATATCAGTTATCACTCAATATCTACCAATAATATGTCTAAAAAATATGATATTTAAATGTTTAGTTTAATAAAAAAATAGAGAAATGTTATTGTTATTGAGAGTTCCTCAAAAGCTTGCATTTTAAATTCGATACATACATAAAAAAACAAGGAAAAAAATAAACTATTAGTAGCCTATTATTATTATTATGTTTACTTTTTCACATGGGCTAAGATTTCAAAGGACAGGTGACGTAAAGGGATACATAGGCCTATTTACAATACTAAAATGCCTTTTACTTGCTAAAAAGTATGAATTATCAATTAGAGGACAGAAAGTTGTAGTTATACAACAGGTTTTTCAGCAAAGTTTTAATTTTGTTGACAGTTTAAATTCCTTTCATGCATCAAATATGATGCCAAAGAGTTAAGAAAACTAAGATCTTTGAATGAATTGTAGATTAAAGGCTACAACTGACATTCTTTCTCCTTTGGTGGCCTACATATCCTGCCTGGAAAGAGAATTCAAGGATGCTGCAGCTGAGCCATGAATCACATCACATCACTTCCTCTTTCTTAGCACAGCTTATTTCACACACTATCACTGTGGTTACTAATACAATGATGAATGGCTGGAAGTGTTGTCAGTGTATGAGGTCACATATAAAACCCATCATTACTGAAGGAGTGGTTCACTGGATTAGAGAATATCCATATACAATAATGAAACAAAATCCAGCTACTTTTATATTTACAATGCCAAAATAAGTCTGAACAGTAGGCTCTATTTATACATGGATTTATATTTGCTCCCCAGTGAATTCTCTATCTTTTGAATGGAATACTTACCTTTAGTGCTGCACTCTGTGAGTAAATGTTAAGGGATAAAAAAAAGTCTGTGGAGTCAAGAAGTGTAGGCTACTTACATTTGAAGTGCAATGAATGCAGCACAGTAGATCTCTTTAATACCAGCACGCATAAATATTTATTCATCACTTGTCAGACCTACACACTAACAAAAAGCGTTCCAGAAGTTCCTATCTTATGTAACCATTCTTATGAAAATGTTGCCATCCAGTGGTTGGATTAGCATATACGGTTTCCTATAAATTAATCTGATGACACTAAATTAAAGCTAGTGTACTTTACTAAACTGAATTGAAGCTAATTATATAAACTTAATAAAATGTGCTTTGTAGCCTTTAAAAAATAAAAAATAAATAAAGGACGCCCTCGGAGACTTTTAATTTGAAAATTCAGCTAAGATCAGCACGCATGCGCAGTTTTATGGTGTTGCTGCCAGTTGTGTACGTCGAAGGATGTCTGACAACGCAGAATCTCCTACAGAAAATCAAAAAGATGAACCATCGATACAACAAACTGCCACTGAACACATTGGATTATCGGATGAGAAGAAAAAGAGTATGAGTTATATACATGACCTGAGAAACTGTTATAAATTAATTGCTAAAGGCTGCTGCAGTGTTTATTTCGGCAGGTCATCAGCGATCTACTTCCGTGATTTCGCAAAGATTGATAGCTCTGCCAGCCAATGAACATCCCGTTTGTATGTAGGCAGCCAATGGCTGGCAAGCAGGCATGTGCTTCTTTACCATGAAAGTGTTTGTAAGAGTTGTATTATTGTTAAGATTTTTTTTCGGCATAATCGTTATTTTAATTAACCGAATGGCCTAAAATATTCTTGTACAATCATTCAACAACAGATGACAAGATAATACAGAGTATTATAATAATCACAATTTATTGTGAAGTTGGGAACCCAATGGTGGAGCCTATGGCTATATCTCACCGTAAAAATGTATTTATTATATAATGTTGTATTGCAGTTTTATTGTTTTAGCATAATTATTGATTAATAGGGTAATATACCGATACATTTCAAAATAACTTATACATTACTTTACTTGCTTTAAATTTTTACAAACAAAGTAGTTTGTTTGACATCAGAAAGTTATTAGCTGGCCCTTGTGAAAATATGCTGTTCATTTTATTGGGTGTCTCACTTTATATTAGGTGTCTTTAGCTGTTATGTATGTCTTGCATACTTGCATAAAAATACTTTTTAGGTACAGTGTAATCATTGTTTTATGTTGTATTGCAAAACACTTTTGCTGGTATTGAGGCGGGATATGGGGAAGGTTTGGTACAGGTTTGATGGTCTGGTTTTGTTTAAGGGTAAATAAGGACACTGTCAGCAGTTTAATTATAGATGTAATTAGACTAATTACAGCTGTAATTACATTCATTTTCCTTTTTAAATATAAGTTCAATGTAAAACATGTATGTACGCAATAAACCGAAAAAATGCATGTAAAAGTTACTAGTAGTTAATGACACTTAATGTAATGTTGGACTGTGTGTTTGTTTGTTTTAAGAGTACATTTTCGTGTTTCGTAACACACTTAAGTACACTGTTAAAAAAGCAATCTGTAATAAGTTCAGCTTCTTTATAAGTATGGCCCACAGATGTTTTCTGAATATGTTGTGAATTATTTTGTCCTCATTTTATCTTTCAGTTGATGTGCTGTTAAAGGCTGTCGGTGATACGCCCATCATGAAGACCAAAAAATGGTCAGTGGAGAAAGGAAGGACCGTACAGTCACTCGCTCAATTCATCTCACGCTTTCTCAAACTGGAGCCTAGTGAACAACTGGTATGTTATTCACCCCACCATTAAAAAGCATTATTAAAGCAGAGTGGGCTCTCCCTCCTCTGCCAGACCACTGTGCCATCAACAAAAGAACACAACCACTCATTTTTCCCAGTTTGAAAGATAGTCTTAAAGATATTCATATAGAGACATAATTTTCACCATCAAGAAGGTGAATGTTGAGACAGAAGAGTCCAGTAGGTGGCAATACGCAACTGTGCATATATTGTACAGTTGTTGTACAGAGCGATACAAAACAACACGCCAAGAACAGTAAACAAAGCAGTATATCATTCTCCGTTGTTTTTTTTTTCTTGGTTCTTGTTTAACTTTAGCACACAAGCTACTTTTCTTCCTCTATCCCTCTGAGTGAACATCCTGTAAATGACACGACTCAATGTTGGCCTATGATATCCTCTAGAGTCTGGAAAAGCAATTGTGTCAAACGTGCCCTTCTGCGCTCATCCGGTTGAGTTAGTGTGCTTTTGAAAGCTGTGCGGACACGGGAAATGGAAAATTGAAGTACGCTCAGGCCTTAAGACTGGTGCAAGGGAACAGGTCTGAAAAAGGCCATGCCATTTCCATGCGAGTTATCCGTGGGCTTATTTTTTTTTTTACTCGTATGCTTCCCGTTGTCCAACACAATATTTGACGGCCATTTTAAGGGCTGTCTTAATCCAAAAACCAGGGAGCATCAATGCTCACTATGCTCCCTTACTGGAAAATTCGTCAAATTTCTGAAGCACAAAACATGAAACGCACAAGCCAACTGAATAAATATAATGACAATAGAAGATTTGAAAAGACAAACCGTTTTTTATTTATTTATATGTTAGCATAAACGCACATCGCTAGACAGGTAGTGAACAGATCTAGTTAGCATTTATTAATATTCACCTGAAATTTTGCAAGATTGCAACATTCTACAATGTTGTACTTTGGCATTGTATGTAGTCATGTTGCCGGAAATTGCGTTATCACTGTACCAATGTGTAGCGAACCAGGGTCCTTACCAGCAGCCGGATTTATGTACACAACATACTGATTCACAAGCCGGGGAGCTGATTGAGACACACCCTTGGTCAGGTGAATCAGGTGTGTTTGATTGGGGAGATGTCAATTATTAAATACCCCTACGTGTCTGATGGTGGTAATGGAGTCCTACCTGTCGTGACATTCCCTACTCTGCCTTCTCTTGTAAAATAACATTTCTATTGTAAAATCTACAAACGGTCACCAACAAAAGTATTGTTAGCCTTAAAACACATTGAAGATTAGCAGACTGTCGATTCATTAAATATAAGCTATTTCCTCACAATACAGTGAAGCCTCTCTCATTGACATCCAAAGGCCTCTTGTGTCCTTTTCTGCGTTTTTTTTTTTTTTTTTTTTTTTTTTTTGGACTAAAGTCACAGGCTTGCCTTCAAAGGGCTTTTTCTAAACTCTGCAGTGCTGTGTACTCTGGGATCAGAGTTCATTCACTATGCTATTGGGCCCTGGCCCTCAGTTGAGAACCACTGCTTTAGATCTACATTCGTGGACAATACATTTTGCTGTTCTCATAAATGTTTAATAAATACATTTGAATGAACCTTTTTATTAATAAATACACAAACATATATATATGAAGAGTTCAGATGCAAAAGCCTCTAAATGCCATTTGAAATTTTCTTCTTTAATGATGATTTTTATCAAACTTGTATATTTAAGTTCAGTAATTTCACTTAAATAACAATTAATAGGTAATCATCATTGCCATTTAAGTGAAATCACTGAACTTAAATATACTTAGAGGCACTTAGAGGCTTTTGCATCTGAACTCTTCATATATATATATATATATATATATATATATATATATATAGGTGTGTGTGTGTGTGTGTGTTTGTATGTTTAATTTAATTTATGTGATTTTTCTCATAAGTAATTGCATTTATGAACCAATCAAATTAATTTTTAATCATGAATTCAAACAGAAAAAATAATTATGAGATGAAGTAGTTTTTTTCTTATTGCTCTTCTGTACTGAATGCTTTACCTTTATTTTCTGCTCTTCCACCAGTTCATTTATGTCAATCAGTCATTTGCTCCATCACCAGACCAAGAAGTGGGTGTGCTTTTTGAGGTATGTTTTTGTATGTGTGTGTGTTTGCCAAATCCTCTGCCCTCCTCTGGCTTTTTAAGGAAATTGAAAGTAGACCAATTGGTTGCACTTCCTTTGAATGTGTCCTAGTCACAGTGTAATGGGCTATATGCACGCATAAGTTCCGCATTTGACGTAAGGATGCTCGTTCATTTCCGGTTGTGTAGATTAAAGCGGAGGAAAACCGGAGAAAACGGGATTATGGCAGAGTCTTCAATATTTACTGTCCTCCCGTCTTTGAAACGAAACGTACATACGTTTAGATGTAATTTTATATATAGTTATGTTTATTTAATATAATTTTAAAAAGAAGCATAAACACAACGAGGGGTGTCTGTTTTATCTGTTTTTGTGACTAACGTTTCTTTAGTATAACCATGGAGTATAAAATTCAATATAAATTCTCGGTATTGCATTGGACTCTATGATCGGCGGAAGTTATCGAGCATCCTTAATCCTTCACCGGAAATAACGCCGTGCATAGAGCCCATTATACATTTCAAAAGTATAGAGTAATATCAATTAACATGTACTTACTATAGGGTTAGTATTAAAAGCTGGGTATGGTTTAGTTGGAGTAATTATTCATGATTTTCTGTCATTACTACAGTCATGTAGCAATGTTTTGCTGACAAATCAGAAGACTTGAAACTAGCAACAGTCCTCTATATGCTAGTGACTATTTCTGTTTTTAACATGACCTGTGTAATGCTGTGTAATGAACATAATAGGTCAATGCAATTTTGATGGGATTTCTGTGAAGGAACGACGTGTTTATTGGATTTAATTGGTAAACCTTCTTCTTCTACTCTGTTTTACAGTGTTTTGGAAGTGATGGGAAACTAGTTCTGCATTACTGCAAGTCCCAGGCCTGGGGATGAGCGTGCAGCTCTCTTTCCCCCCGTTTCCGCCTTCTGTACACACGCAGTAACAAAAACATCCCATACGTATCATCATTGTTTTTATAACTTGTACATTTTTCATGTCTTGTTGTTTTGTAAATAATAAAGTGTAAATAATATTATGAAGCAATGCATCATCTCGTGGGACTTTTGTAAAGCGCAGTGGAGGTGGGAGGAATAGGTGGAAATCATAAGAACACCAAATACCTTTAGCAACAAATTCTGATGAATGTTTTTTTTTTATATTTAAGCTCATGTTGAAGTGATTTACAGGGACAAAGACAATATGTGATTCTCAGTAGTACTCGGTGATTACTTTTTACAGGAGGGGTGGGTAATTCCCCAGGACAGAACAGGTCACATGTAAGGGCCGGTGGAGACACCGAGGGGTGTAAAGAACAGGTGGGACAGAGGGTTGTTTAAAAAGGGTGGGATGGAGTGATGTAAAAGAAGACAGGATAGAAAGATGGAGATGGTGCTAACAGATGGACTGAAGGGGGATTATGGATGCTCTTGGTAGAGTGTGACACCAATTTCCAAGGAAAGGCAGGAAAAGGAGGAGATTTGGGAAGGATTTTACCAAAAAAGGGGAAAAGCAGAAATAATCACAGAAGGGTAAGGAGAGAAACTGCATGCTGAATGAAAGAGACGAGACATTTTGTTTAACAACTGCACAAGAAGGAAGAAAAAAAATGAAAATGAATGGATGGAAACGGGGGAATTATTAAGATGGACGTGATGTAAGAAGTTCAATGTGCACAGGTAAAAATCAGCTTTTTTAATGCAGAATAATGTTGATTTCCGCTACATTTAATTCTCGATACTGCAGAAATGAACGATTCAAGCATTTCTTTTGATTAGCACACACGATGCCTTTCGTATCAAACACATTCAAATAAAATTACATTTAGGATCTGTTTTTCTGCGAGAAAGAAAATGTGAAAATGTTGCTTTGAAGAACTGTTTTTAGTTGATCTGACTTTTGTAATCTATAGTCAGGTTTATTCAGATATATTAAACTTTAGTTTTATATTACATGCTCATATAGCTCTTTCAATGTGAGTTTAAGGATAAAAGTAATGCATAGGAATCCTTAAACGCATTTATAATTATATATAAAAACATGCACACCTACAAAGCCCAAACAGATTAAAACAGATTATTAGAGGATTACAAGTAAAGTTAGACTTAATGCAAGAGCTTAACTAATAATTTCATCACGTAACTTCAAACGTAATCCTTTGAATTCCCCCTCTTTCCTTTTCTCATTTTTAATCCATTCAGTACTAGACTGGATGATGCGTTAAGGAAGATCAGTAATAGTTCGTAACATTTATTCTGCATTTCATAAACATGTTTTACATTTAAATTACAGTTCTGCTCATAAATTTACACACCCCTAGCAAAATTGCATACTGTTCTGATTAAACATTATTAAACATTCCTGCACATTTGAACCCTTTCCAACAGTTACTGTATGATTTTGAGATCCATCATTTCACACCGAGGAACTACACAACTTTTACAAAAGGTGCAAACATTCACTTATGTTCAAGATGGTGCGGGGGGTGTAAACTTTTTGAATTGGATTATTTTGTATATTCTGGGAAATTTGTCTTATAGTCTCGGAAGTGCAGTTCTATATGAAATGATCTTTAAATTAAAAAAGAAAAATGTACACCTTATATGTTCATAATACATCATGGCGCCGCCTTGAACATCAGTGTATGTTATACCTTTAGTTGTGTGTACACTCTTAGAAAAAAGAGTTTATTGGGGTTCTATATATGAAGCGTAGGGTTCTTTACTCAACTCCAAAGAACCTTTTATGCTAAAAAAGTTCTATAATGACAAGAAAGAACCCTTTATGCAGGTTCTTTATAGGCTATTATTCATTCATATTACATTATTCTGCAACATTTTAGTTGTAATTAAATTATTGTTTATTAAACTGTTGTTGTAACTTAATATCACATTTCAATCATGCTTATTTTTGAAAAAGAAAAACTGAAAAGGCACTCTTTGTGTGATATTAACTACATAAAATGATATACATTTTCTCACCTCCTTATCTTGAATTTTGTGATCGTTCACAAGCATTAAAAAATACATAGGGTCTTGATGTTTGTAAATAATATGAAATATTTAATCTGGAAAGGACAAAACAAATAATAATGAATGAACCCAAAAGGTTCCATATAGAACCTTTTTCCTGGTTACAAAGAAACCTAAAGGGATCTTATTATTGAACCCTTAAAAAGGTTTTATTGAACCTTTTAGGGGTTCCAAATACATAGCACTGATAGAACCTTTTAAGGTTCTATATAGAACCTTTTCTTGTAAGAGTGATATAAGTTTCTTAATTGTTCACAGTGTAAAAAGATAGATCTCAAAATCATACGGTCTCTGCTGGAAAGAGTTAAAAAAAAACAAGATGCTAGAAAACAGAATACTTTGATTTTTCAGAAGAACAGTGCGTGATTTTTATTATAACTAAAACTAAAACCATTAAAAAAAAACATCTTTGTTACTTAAAATAAAACAAACAACAAATAAAATAAATTATAAAAACTTATTTAGCTCCACCATTTCTCATTTTCATTTAGTTTAACAAACTAAATGTATAGAAAACAAAAACACAACAAAATGACTTTGTGTAAATTAAGTAGACTCTCTAATCTGAAACAGTGCATGCATTTTATGACCCCTCTTATTTTATTATAATTTAGATTCTTATGTATTCTGCAAGGGTTATAAAACCATATGAGAATAACTTAATTGATATTGGAAGAAGTAATACATTTATTTGCCTTTGGTTTTCAAAGCAACATAACAGATCACTAATATTAAATAAAAATTTCGAATCAAGACATTTTATGACATGAAATGATTTGCGTTACATAATTTAGTGATAAAAAATTATAATGAAGTAAATTACTTCATATGAAAATATCAAACACATAATAAATGAAAATTCTAATTCATATAATAATGACATACGAATGCCAAAATGTATTGCTTAAGTAGTAAGATGTGTCTGTGTAGTTAATATAATCTGTCTTTTAGTTCTCTTCAATAATTTTTTCATTTGTTGCTTTGGTTAAACATCTGCCAAGAACAAAGTTTAAATCTATAAGACTGGGACATATGTTTTCTTTCCTTGTCTGACCCTCTCTTTTATTAAATCCACATCTTCATTTATCCTGCCATCTGTCACAGGGATCTCTTTCTCATTTCTGCTTTATATAATTTTCTCAATTTCATTCTCATCCCAAAAGATTTTTTTTTTTTTTTTTGTGCGTGGACACTGGCATCCCTGTTTGCCCTTCTCTTCCTTACCTCTAGGTAGCATGTTGGACCACATGTCCAGGCGCTCTCGCTCCCTGCTCTCTCTTTTCCTGACCTCCCTTGCCCTTGCTTTATCTGTGCTGGCTTTCTGTACGTCTTACTGGTGTGAAGGAACGCACAAGGTGGTCAAACCTCTCTGCCTTTCACCTGTCAAGATGAAGAACTGCGGTCAGAACAATAGTGAGCCTTACACTACAGGTATGATGTATCACATGCACCTTAATCTTCTGGTTTGATTTTACCAGTGTGACAAATCACAATCGTGATGATATTCACAACATAAATAGTCCCAAATTAAATGAAAGTAGATCAATCTTTGCGGATCTCCAAGCAACAGTAGTGTTTTTAGTTCCTGAATGAATAAGCCAGTGTTTTTTGGCAAAATGTAAAGGCCAAAAGTGAAATGAAAAAGCCTCAGGATAAAGGAAATACAAATTTGCGGCTAGGATGCAGGAGAGGTTAGTTTCTTTTACTGTCTATGGTTCAACACTCTTTCAGCAATAAAAATAAAATTAAACACAAATTTTTATCTTAATTCAGTTGTATCATGGAAAGTCAGCAGCAAAAACACTGGTTTATAAAGTGAGATTGAATACATAAAATATATTTGTGTTTTTTACACATTTGTTTATCACAGGTTTGCGTAATATTCTGAGTTTGCATTTAACTGTTTTTTATTCATTTTTGAGGAATACTGAATCTGTCTTTATGCATGTACGATGAGTAAACACATGCTCACATTTAATCTAGAACTATAACTATGATGTTTACATGGCGCACACAACTCTGCATATTAGTCCTGATTTCTCTCAACAATGGGACAGATGAGGTGTCAGTAAATGGGAAGTAACTTGCGTTACTTATTTGAAAAAGTAATCGAGATATTTTGTTGGAAATTTAAAAGTAATGCTTTACTAGTTACTTTTAAAGGGGTGGTAAAGTATGATTTCACTTTTCTAACTTTAGTTTGTGTGAAATGTTGCTGTTTGAGCATGAACAACACTATCAAAGTTACAACGCTCAAAGTTCAAAGCAAAGAAGGATATTTGCTTTTAAAGAAATCGTTTTTTAAGGACTACAACAAATGGCTGGTAGGGACTACACAAGGTTCCTCCCGGGTTAGTGACATCACCAACCCTAAAATGTACATAAACCCGTCCCCGGGAACACGCAGTCCATGTTGAAAAGAGAACTCAAGAGTTGTTGTATAAGAGTACGTTTGTGACTCAACTCAAACTTTAGCATCCATCTTTTCACATACGTGTGCATCTCACAACAGTTCCTATACGAGCGATTTATAGATTCCCATGACAGAAAGCTAATTGAAGATAGTTAACTCCACATCAGCAACATAAATTCATCAATTAACCATTCAGAGATGTCCTGTTGCATTCTACATGTTGTCACTTCTTCTTGAGTCTCTCCATCTTTGACTGACTCTGTTTTAACATTAAAGGCAGAACAGTTTCTGTCATTTTAGTGTGTCTGCGTGAGGTAATCGCAGCTGCTAACACACATGGGCTCTTGAAACCCCGCCCTCTGCAGCAGCTCATTTGCATTTAAAGGGTCAGGCACAAAACTGTGCGTTTTGTGTCTGGTCTAACTTTAACATGCTATATACAACGCATTCTCACCCCAAGGCGTCACCTTTGACCATGCTTCAATATTTGACGTTTTAGGCGCCCTTTAGCGTCACTTACATGACGCGATCCTACGGCGTCATCTAACTGGAAAGCGTCAGTTAGAGGACGTGGTTAGGTTTAGGTGTGGGGTGGGGGTAGGGTACACGCGATCCTAGGGCGTCATCTTACTGATGCTAAAGGGCGCCTAAAGCGTCAGAAATTGAAGCATGTCCAAATGCTTCCCAAGGCGTCAGTTAAGTGACGCCTTGGGGGTGAGAATGGGCTGAAATATCTGTGGCGTATTTTGTGTTTAAACTTCAAATACACACTCTAGGAACATCAGAGATTTATTTTACATCTTGTAAAAATGGCGTTTTACCACCCCTTTAAAAAGTAATCTGATTACGTAACTCACTTTATTTGTAATGCGTGACCCCCAACACTGTTTCTAAAGATGTTCGCCACCTACTGGTGTAATAATGTGTAATAATCTCCAATACAACTGACAGACTGTCTGGATTCTGGAACACAGACAAGCGGAGTGATACAAGCAGTGAAAAGTTACAGTGCTTGTACGCACTTATTTAGGTTACAAACAGGCTAATTGGTAGTCTTTTTTTTCTTTTCAGAAAGCCCCACCCCAGATCCACGGGGCACTTTACCACCAAAGCGAAGGGAGGAACTAGCCAGGATTCGTCAAAGGCAATTGGCCAACGCAGTTCACTACATTTGGGAGACGGGAGAAGACAAGTACACCTTCAGATATTTCCACACAGGATTTTGGGAGTCTTGTGAAAAACACGCTGATGGTAAGAAAAAGTCTAATCGAGAGACATCAAAGAGATAGTTTACCCAAAAATGGAAATTCTCTCACCCTAAAATTATCTCACCATCAAGTCACAATGTCGATTATGTCATTCTGGAAGGCTGGACTTTCACGCTGCGCTTTCCTGTACAATGAAACTGAATGGAGAATATGTGTTTGAATACATGCAAATGTGTATTTGCAAATGTGTAAAAAGATTTCAGAGATGCAGCAAAGCATTTTTTTCTTTTTCAAATCTTTAGAAGACTTGTACTAGTGCAATGAGGGTAAATTACACAATTATTATTATTTTTTTAAAATAACTTTAATACTAATTTTAGGACCTTGATGGCATTTTTCAAAAACAATCACTTGTAACAGGCTATCTAATGTTCAAAACATTTTTTTCACCACCACTTTTTTGGATTCTCAACCAGAGCCTGCACAGTAATGTGAAATCTGAAAACATGGTCTAGAAAAGTGGAACATGGGACCATAGTAACAAAAAATGGTAATGAAGTATTACATTCAAAATAATGTAGACCTGTTGGTTCATGTTCCACAGTAATTGGTGTAAGTGGATTTCATTATCCAGAAACTTTCTGATCACAGCATTTTCATAAAGCTATGCATTTATGCAGTAATGCAGCAGTTACTTATCAGTTGAGCAGTTGTTTTAATTGACAGTTAGATCATTGCAATTAAATGAAAAATGTGTATTTTGATTATTGGCTGGGAGTTTAATGTCTTGAGTTTTGAAACGAGTTTTTAAAGAAAGTGTAAAAACAAAAATGGCACACCCATTTTAAAATGCTTTATAAGCCATTAAAATAATTATTTTGTTGTGTGTCAGAGATTGGATTTCATTCTTGTTCATTCTGCTACATTACAGGAGAACGATGTCGCCGGTTCTTAGATCTTACTCCTGGAGAGACTCATGGTGAGCGTGCAGTGCACGTGTGTGTTCATGAAATGATTTATATATATATACAACGCATTCTCACCCCAAGGCGTCACCTTTGACCATGCTTCAATATTTGACGTTTTAGGCGCCCTTTAGCGTCAGTTACATGACGCGATCCTACGGCGTCATCTAACTGACGCTAAAGGAAAGCGTCAGTTAGAGGACGTAGAGGAGGTTAGGTTTAGGTGTGGGGTGGGGGTAGGGTACACGCGATCCTAGGGCGTCATCTAACTGACGCTAAAGGGCGCCTAAAGCGTCAGATATTGAAGCATGTCCAAATGCTTCCCAAGGCGTCAGTTAGGTCAGTGTTTCCCAACCCTGTTCCTGGCGGCACACCAACACTGCGTGTTTTCTTTGTCTCCCTAATCAAACACACCCGATTCAACCCATCAGCCCATTAACCCACCTGATTATGAGCTGATGGGTTGAATCAGGTGTGTTTGATAAAGGAGACAAAGAAAACACGCAGTGTTGGTGTGCCGCCAGGAACAGGGTTGGGAAACACTGAGTTAGGTGATGCCTTGGGAGTGAGAATGGGCTGATATATATTATGCAGAATGTCAAGTCTTTCTCTATTTGTACAGTATTCTCATATTAAGTGTACCATGCATGTGTTCCTCTGTGCCTCCTGCAGGTGTTCTGTGGTTGTCAATGATTGCTGAGTTCATGTACATCAGTTTGTTGGGGATGGGGTTTCTACTCATGTGGGTGGAAGTGTTGTGTGCTCATAAAGAAATGCATGCGCTCAAAATCAATGCTTTTGCAGCCATGTGCACTGTGCTCTCAGGTAAGAGAATGCTTCTCTCTTGTGGTACATTTGGGTATTGCAGTCTTCAGTAATTATTGTTAAAGAATTATATTTTGATCATTTGCATTACATAGATACCAGGCATCATATATTGTTCTAATTCCCTCTTTCAGGACTGTTAGGGATGGTGGCTCATATGATGTACACCACCGTATTTCAGCTGACTGTGATTGTGGGGCCCAAAGACTGGAGACCTCAGACATGGGACTACGGTTGGTCATTTGCGTGAGTACTCTTGCATGTTTACACAATATATCATTTTGATTTGATGGGGATACGATTAAAAGTGTAGTTTGAACGTTAAGTATAGTCAAATCAAATTTAATTGTATGGTGCTTTTCACAATATATATTGTGAAAAGCAGCTTTACAGAAAATCATGATGTTTATGTTCATCATATCTTTAGTATTTCCATGCCTTTTAGTTATACTGAGCAGATTAGAACTGGGTGAATTCCTAATATAGTTTATGTTGTGCAAGGATACAAGCAATCAAGCAGTCGAGATTTGCTATTTATGTATATTGCTTTATTTGAGTGTACTACATTGTATGTGGGCACATAGTTGGATATAATGTGCGATAATACAGTTTATAATTTGCAGCAATAAAAAAATAGCCGAAGCAGGCCCAGGTCAGGAATAAATTTAAGAAACATGCAAATGTTTAGGCATTTTTATCAGTTCATGGATTGAATCCATGGAATGAATAGGTTGAAATTGAGTGAAATTAATTGAACATGTTCAAATCATTAGATGCATTTTTCTGACTTGACACAAAGCATTCATTCTGTTCTGTGTGATTTATTTGTGTGCTGTTTTCAGCACGTTTCAGATGATTCCATCACTTTTACAAAGCCTTTAAAATGTTTATAGTGAACAAAAATTCTGTCATCTAGGGATGTGTCCCTACCAATATCCGGTGACTCTGATATATCCCTAGCAATAATTTCGATAAAAAACAATGATTGTTGTCCCCGTCCCCACCAATTTCAAAATCAAACCTTCGCCAATTTAATTAAAAATCACCATTTATTAAAAAATATCCAAATAATATAACATGATGTAACTATACAAATATATAATATAATATTTGTAAAGATTTTTCCGCATTCCCTATGCTAGATATCAAATATCGTTCGAGTTTTCATATATTACAAATATGAAACATCAAAGCTATGATATACATACATTATGTTAATATATATCCAAGTATAGAAGACACGTTGTGCCCTGGTTTGTCCATGATGTTAAATACCACTTGAATATCAAGAATTATTAGATATTTTTGAGTTCACTGACTGTTGACTAAAGCCTGAATCATGTCTAGTTCTTTGTTATTCCAACCCTAAATTTTGCATGGTCCTTTCTCTCTCTTCTCAACTCCAAGGTTGGCATGGGTGTCTTTCAGCTGCTGCATGGGTGCTGCGGTTATGACCCTTAATTCTTACACCAAAACAGTCATTGAGATGCATCACCGCCAGAGACTTCGATTAGAAGAGGCCCGCGCTACAACCCACGCTCCATCCTACGATGAGGTGGTCCCAGGGGGCGGGATCTACTCCGTGAGTGGCCTGTTACAGTGCCCGAATGGGATGATGGACTCTGTGTGGGCATCCAATGGGAACATGAGAATGGTGCAAGAGGAAGATGTGCCCACCCTGGTACTGGTTGGGGGATGCAGACCGGATACGTGTGAGGACTGTGAGAGAGAGATAGATGAGATGAAGGAGGCCATGAAAGGAATAGATTCCCCTTGCTGATTCACCCAAAAATGAAAAATCTGACTTCATTTACTCCAACACATTTTGCTCCTAAGCTCAGTTAATTTTTTTTGTCGGTGGAACACAAAAGAAGATTTTTTGAAGAATGTTGGTAATCAGATAGTTTTGGTTGCCTTTAAAAAAACTCTGCAACATATCTATTTTTGAGTCATGCGGGTTTGGAACGACAAGAGTGTGAGTAAATGATGTCAGATTTTTATTTTGGGTGAAATATAGCTTTAATGGGTTTTTACAACAAAGGCCTTGTCTGTTTCGTTTGTCTGATTAACTGACTGACTTGCAAAAATTGTCTATGCAAAATGTCCCTATAGATGATTTTTTTTAGGTATGTGTGTGGCTGAAATTCAGTCATTATGAGTGAGAGAGACTGTAGACATACAGCAGATGTGAGAAAGGAGAAAGGTGTGTTTAAATCATTCAGTGATTGGATTTTCAAGTGTGAGGATTCCAGGAAATTGTATTTATGTATTGATGAGACTCTTGAGTGGATTACGTTGAGATTGTTTCAGATCACAAAGCCTGTTTTATTTTTAGTTATGCATCTCATCTGTTATATACAAAAAGGTGTTCTGTTATATCAAATCTTTTATGCTATATTTGTGTTATTTAATAACTCTGTTGCTCAGAAAAGCATCTGATACCATAGCTAATGTACAGACTTGCTTAAAAGAGCATTATTACTAACAAAATCTAAAATGCTTGAATATTTACTAAATGTGGAATTGTTGCAACCATCAATTGTTGAGATTATTTGTCAAGGGGTTTTCCGCTACTTCTGAGAGTAGAGTCAATACTGAAAATACTGAGATTGTAACTTACATTCACTGTTGACATTATTTGTGTACCTTGTAACAGTTCAAGTTCATTATCACAAATGTTCAATATGGCAAAACAAAAGAAAAAAATATAGGCTATATTAACTCTGTCCACGCCAGCGTCTTTGAAAAAAGTTGCCCGCCACCATTTTGGATCATATTCATAAGTTTCATGGCCCCCAGAATAATACGAAACCTGAACATGCAACGTCTGGATCAGATTCAGAACGATGATCAAAATGGAGTAGATCGAGTCCATCAAAACCCCTAAAGCTTGCTCAGTCATAGCTCGGCATGGGTCGACATTTCATAGGACATTAAGCAGTTTGGATTTATATGCAGTTTAATATTGATGATCACGTTATTTTTCATGCATTTGCCTATCTCTTGTTTCTGGTTCTTCCCTTCACCTGTGTTAGTGGGTTCAATTTTAATGATCTAAGCACATGGTCTAAAGTGCATGCACAAGTGCACTTAATAGGCTCATAGGCTGTGTCTGAATCCACTTGCAAGTTTAATGACGTGAAAAATGGTCTAAAAGGGTTGTCCCTATATTGTCTTAATGAGTAATGGGTGTGTTTTGCATGTAACATGCAATAAACCAATGGGCTCAATGCACAGCTGCTTCCTGAACTTCAGCCAGCTCCTTGTTTCCTGTCTGCCATTATTGGACAATTCAGGTGTGCTTGACCTCAGTAGTCACGGCAACAGTATTCAGACACACCTGAATGAATCAATGTGTCCAATAATGGCAGACAGGAAGGAGCTGTGAAGTTCAGGAAGTAGTGCAGCTGTGTATAAAGCCCATTGGAGTCTCATCTCTCTTTAACTTCCCTTTAAAAGCCAGTTGTGCCATGGCGGATTTGCTACTTACCAAGTGGAATTTGCAACACTGAATGCATCTCCACAGAGGAAAAACGCTGCTCATACGCAGTGTTAAGCGTGCAAGCAAACGGGACAAGCCGGATTCCACCATATGTTATAATTCATTTAGTTGAGATAACTTATTATTTTGAGTTTCTGATGATTAAATTAATCTCCTTCATTGTATTAACTCACTTTTTCCAGTTCAATCAACTTAAATTTTTAAGTCAACCAGGTTACTTACTTTTTTAAGTTAAACCAACAATGTTTTTTTACAGAATAGGTTTAGAATTAGTTGTGGGGGAGGGGTTAGGATTAGGGGTGGTGTTAGGATTAGGATTAGGCAGTCAAGTACTGACTTCAACAAGAGAGGTAATAATTTGGCAAGGAGTCGAAATTTGGCATAACATAATTTGCGTCAATGGCAGAGAAAGAGTTAAAGAGATGATGGATTGTGAAGTTGAAGATTTTGAAATCAATGTTGGACAGGAGATTATATTAGTAATCCTGACTTGGACTAAGACAAGGAAAGGAACGGTCAGTAAACCGTGTTATAAAGAGCATAAAGATGACATAAAGATCAACACAATATTACAAAGTACTCACTTACAGAGTCGCATTTACCTGTGCATGAAGTATATTTCTGGCCCAAATATGCCATGTGTTGACACACGCAAAGATAATCTAGGATTACGGGTAAATATTGCCACCAGAATGTTAAACCTCTCGGGTGCTAGACCATCAGAGATTAATGTGCTGCCCATTCCAGTGGTTCACTTGAACTCTTCACCTCACCAAAACAGTTACACACAAAATTCACACATACTGACACAGAATAGTGAGACTCATGGTAGCTTTTATTGTTTTAGTTTTATTCCTCAGCTGTGGACATCAAAAAATCATATTTGCACAATTTAAATGACAACCATTATTGAACATATTGTGCAATCATCCTGGATGATAATTTTTTTTTTCCTTTTCTGTTTTTCAGTTGGTCTTCATCTGCATTTTACTTCTTTTTACTGTAGATACAGCTCAATATCATTACAATTTAATCTGTCAGAAAGTCTACGTTTTTCACACAGTTCAATACATTATGTTCCCAGCAGTGACACTTTACTATCAGTTTACAATCTTTAATAATAATCACTTTAACCTATCCTCAATCCATCTAGCATGACTCACTCCAAATATATTGCAGTTAATGGGCTTTCAGAAATCGACAAAATGATTTTGCACTAATGCAAAAAAAAACAAAAAAAACAGACAGATGTGCCCAGATTAAAGGGGTAAAAGATAAAAACAAACAAAATGATAAAGAAAAGGGGCAATGCACAAAAGGAAATCACATGACAATAAAAATACAGTGTTATTGTTCTCGTTTTATTGTTACTTTTTGGGCTCATATTGAATAAGGTGGATAGCGTCTTCATTGTCAAGAATACCTTGAATAAACTCGCCCTCAGCCAATCGCTCTGGAAAAAAAGAGAAAGAGAGGGTAAGAACCTTCAATGTAACTGGACAATATCACATAGCTTTTAACAGCAGCCTTTTGACATTACCACGATTCCATGTACTATCATGAAAATTTATATTCAAGTAACGGACTTGAAACTTTTACCATGTACTATCCAGGGATGGCAGATATTTAATAATAATACATCTATTGTATTATTTCAAAAGATATACAAACTATAAAAACAAAGATATTACCATTTTCTTTTTTATCGAAGTACGACCACAGTTTGTCTGCTCTCTTCTCAGCAGTGTTCACGTCTTCTGGAAGATCCTCTTGGGCCTCTTTAGGGATCAGCTTAAAGATAGCCTGAAGATCAACAAGATGGAAGAAAAGAGAAGTTGAGAAGGGAGGGAAAAAATATTGAATACTTGTAACACTTTATTTCGATAGTCCACTTTTTTAGAGTCCACTTTTCGATAGTCCACTTTTTTTACTCGTTACAACCGAGGTATGATTAGAGTATGTTTCATATTATGATGCTCCCCTAACAGATATTCTACTGACTATAAGTAACTTTGCAAGTATGTTAACTTCTATACTAACCCATGTAAATTTACTTATATACAAATTTGCAGTGGTCATTTTTTATAATATATATAATCTGTTTTCCTTTTATTAAACAGGATCATATAGATAATTATTATTTTATAATATTATTAATAATAGTCTAGCCACCATTTCCCAATCTCAAAGCATCTTCTCCCCAACACATTAAAAGTGAACAACTTATATCACAATACAGGCTATGCAATGTTTTATTACATTATTCATTTTCAGACAGTGAAAAAAATACAGGCATAATTGGGAGAGTCAAACGAACGACCATCTGCTTGTCTGGAGGTAATCATCATAGCTTAGGACCACTAATGCCAAGGGTCATCAACATAGACTTTAGTTTTGCCTGACCACAGCTGACCTGGATCTGAGTGGTTCGGTGATCTGAGGAGATGTTTATCTCTGACTCATAAGACACGTAAGAATAATACAGATTAGATGCAGTACCAAAGCTCCTGGCAAAACCACTCGCTGGCCTTAACAAGCTCAGTCTTTAATTGGCTACTCTTTGGCATTCAGTCACTGGCATGATGACAGAGACATTTACACTTATAAACCAACAAACCAATGATCACAAAGCCTGAGTATGAGGTCAGTGCTTATCTGACACTAGCTGTGTGAAAATAATCATTTTAATATACTTCCACAAATGCCTTAATGCCATAAACAATCCCGTAAACAATGCATCCAAAAGGTAAGTACACTCACCTAAAGGATTATTAGGAACACTTGTTCAATTTCTCATTAATGCAATTATTTAATCAACCAATAACATGGCAGTTGCTTCAATGCATTTAGGGGTGTGGTCCTGGTCAAGACCAAACTGAATGTCAGAATGGGAAAGAAAGGTGATTTAAGGTGGCATGATTGTTGGTGCCGGACGGGCCGGTCTGAGTATTTCACAATCTGCTCAGTTACTGGGATTTTCACACACAACCATTTCAAGGGTTTACAAAGAATGGTGTGAAAAGGGAAAAACATCCAGTATGCGGCAGTCCTGTGGGCAAAAATGCCTTGTTGATGTTGTTGTGTAATGGTGGTGTAATGGTGTGGGGATGTTTTCTTGGCACACTTTAGGCCCCTTAGTGCCAATTGGATATTGTTAAAATGCCACGGCCTACCATTGTTTCTGACCATGTCCATCCCTTTATGGCCACCATGTCCCCATCCTCTGATGGCTACTTCCAGCAGGATAATGCACCAAGTCACAAAGCTTGAATCATTTCAAATTGGTTTCTTGAACATGACAGTGAGTTCACTGTACTAAAATGGCCGCCACAGTCACCAGATCTCAACCCAATAGAGCATCTTTGAGATGTGATGGAACAGGAGCTTTGTGCCCTGGATGTGCATCCCACAAATCTCCATCAACTGCAAGATGCTATCCTATCAATATGGGCCAACATTTCCCCTAAAGGCAGTTCTGAAGGCGAAAGGGGGTCAAACATATTATTAGTATGGTGTTATATCCTGTCCAATAGTTTCCATATTGCATCTTAGGTTTTCGTAGTGGACTCTCTTCCTATGCTTCAATTTATATTACTTTACCGATTTCCGTGACTCTTTTTTTTTTTTCTTCTTCTCATGTTTGTAATTCTGGCCATGTAATATGCAATGAATGTTCCCACTGTTTACTGTTTCCTCTATGACCTACTGATCCAGCGTCTAAAAAAGTCTCTCACACTGTAATCCCCCAGCCACCTGTCTGTCTACCCCCGAAAAGGCCTCTGTGTGCATTTATTGTTCAAGCTAAACCATTTATCAGATGGATTATTCTGGGATCTGCCAATTCCATTAGCCATGCTCTGAGGCACTGGCTTATTAAGTCAAAGTGACAGGACAAGACTTATTTTTTAATGAGGCCTTGTGTTTTGTTTGTGTTCAGTACATTGCTGAACGTAGAAAACAAAAAAACTTAGAATGAGAATAGAGAGAATATTTAAAGTCTGGGTCATTGATCAGGAGAAAGGTTAGAATGCATTAGCACTATATTGGGGCAGTTGCAAGTTGTCTTATAGGGGAAGTGGTCTGTATTAAGACTGCATATTTCACTAACTATAAGAATTTGAGTCTAATGTTTTTCAAGATGGTTTCAAACATCTTAAATCAGAATAATTTAGTCCTCTAAAATGTTAAAATTATCATTTGTAATAAGTGAAAACTAAAACCACACTGGGATACAGTCAGATATAATGAGTTTAACCGAAAAGTTGAACTTTTTTTCAGGATGAATATCTATTATAAATGACTGTTGGGTTAAGTTGGCACCTTTTTATCTTAGCATGTTGTCACTTCTTTAAGTGTTATAGATTGAAATTTTTATAACATTGTTCCTACATTCTTTAATTCTTTAATTTAATAATTGTATTTCTGAAATTATAGGTGTTTTAATGGGAGGTTCCATTATGACAACTTGCCCCTGTGTGACAACATCGCATGTTTTCATAAAAGGTCAATTTGTTCCTGGGGAACAAGGGTGAAATGTTCAATAAAATGTGTTACTCTGAGAAATTGGAGTAAAAAAAGTGTGACAACTAAAGCCCCAGTCTCCCTACAAAAATACACTCACTCATTTGTGCTATGATTTTGAAGGGAAACCACACAACTGTGCCACAAACGTTTCATATTTGTGAAGAGAACATTTGACCTACCTGGCAGATTTCTTTCACTTCTGACTTGGTGATGTAGCCGTTCTTGTCAACATCGAAGAGTGAAAAGGCCCACTCCAGCTTCCGCTCCGTCTTTCCAGTTGATGTCATATGTAGAGCGATGATGTATTCCTTGAAATCCAATGTTCCATCATCATTCGTGTCAAAGGAGCGGAAGACGTGCTGGGCATATGATGCGGCGTCACTGTCTGGGAAAAAACGTTCGTAGATCTTTTTAAATTCGTCTGGTGTGATACGGCCAGACGGGCACTGCTTCTGGAAGTTCTCGTACCACTGTGCCAGTTCATCCTCTGTGAATTTGGTGCTGAGTTTGAGATCCTCCAGGATCTCTTTGGACATAGCACTGCTTTTGGCATTCCCCATTTTTGGCAGCTGGTGGAGGGCACAGGCAGGGGTTCAGGAAATGTTCTTTGTCAGGTCCTCCTTCAGAGAAACACTCTACTTTGAAGCTGCTCTTGTTGAGATGGTCTCAGAGAATCTATTTTTTGTTGGGTGCCTGTAATTAATGTCCCCAAAATCCCGGTGCTCAGTTCTCCTTTGAAACTGATGGATTTATAAATGTTTCACCAAAGAGTTTGCAGAGAAAGAACAACGTCCGTTGTAATGTACAGGGAAGAATGACCACCGATTGACAACGGTGGCTGCTGATGGGTGAGTGAGTGAGTGAGTGAGTAAGTGAGTGAGGGTGGGGCAGGTGAACTTAGGCTGTTACCTTTGAATGCAGGTTTAAGTCGCTAAAGAGGGATTTGACATGGCTGAGCCTCTGAGCTCCAAATCAACAGCTCGGGCTATCCCCTTCCATTACAGTAATAACCCTGAATTCAATCAAAACAACATCTCATGTCTGTCTATCTATATATCTATCTATCTATCTATCTATCTATCTATCTATCTATCTATCTATCTATCTATCTATCTATCTATCTATCTATCTATCTATCTATCTATCTATCTATCTATCGTTTATCAGTGAGTTACACTTGCCTTACTAAGCAAATACCCAGTTGTCACTACATCTTTAAGGGATACTCCACTTTTTTTGGAAATAGGCTTATTTTACAACTCCCTCAGAGTGAAACAGTTGGGTTTTACCGTTTTCGAATCCATTCAGCTGATTTTCTGGTTTTTAGAAGAATATCAGTAACCAGACAGTTTCTGGTCTCATTGACTTCCATATACTATGGAAGTCAATGAGACCAGAAACCGTCTGGTTACTGATATTCTTCTAAATACCAGAAAATCGGCTCAATACATTCGGAAACGGTAAAACCCAACTGTTTCACTCTGAGGGAGTAGTAAAATAAGCCTATTTCCAAAAAAAGTGGAGTATCCCTTTAAGCTTTTCCATGATAAACATGTTATGTCAAACGAAAAAAATATTTAGTTTTTGTGAAGTATAAAGCATTATTTTGAATATGTCATACTTTTACAGTTTTTCTCAGTCGCATTTGCACAACAGATAATGCGGTTCTCAAGACAATTAGTACAAACTTCTTGATAACCTGCAAAAAAGCGTGTCACTTGCTCAAAATGGATAGCTCATTCCTTAAAAGCAAGTATTCATGTCAATAAAAGAGTCAGTGTCATCAAGATGAAATGGCCTGACACCACTGTTTATGAACAAGATGGTCAAATGGCGTAAATTAAATCTGTAGGGTAATCCTTAATAAATACTGGCAGTATTTTAGCTGCGTGTAGCAGACATTTACTTCTCTCTGGGCTTTAGTGATACACCTCTTCCATAGTAATATTATCGGCAACATTGCTTTTTCATTGATTAGCATATTCTGTCACGGTAATCTATAAATCGCTTGTGTGGGAACTGCAATAAGATGCCTACAGAGTGACATGCAATGATATTGCATTCTAGACAGTTTAAATGTTCTCTTTTAATGGGTATCTACAACTTTTAAGAAATGTATACAGGCATCTACAGTAAAACGCACTGGACAATGCACACCAATGGTTAACATACTACCACAGCTCCTTTACTCTTTTACTATTCCTCTCAAATGGCTCCTTAAATAGTTGTTTCACAGTCATTTGATGTCTTTTCAAAACTCTGTCTATAGTGGAAATGCTGACACAATTTATATTTGCAAGAACATTATTGTCATTTATGTCACACTTTGGATCTCTTAGCCTGATGGAATTGTTGGCTATGACCATGTTCTTGCTGATGTCTAAATGCTGCTGCTCTGCCACCAACATGAGGTTGTTGTGCGGATAAATAATTTTCCAAATGAGAAAATTACTTCCCATTTACTTTTCTGCTGTTATCTCTGGACGCGAGATAACAGCAGACGCGGGATGCGAGTCCCGAGAAAAATGGCGTTCGTAAGCTCCAGTTTGAATCCAGCCTCTCACGGAGACTTCAGATGGCCCAACACCTGCGACGAGACGACTCTACAGCTGTGAAGAGACGACTCAACGCCGGCGATATGTTATGCCCATAACTCATTACATGATAAACTAAATTTATTTTTTCCATATGAAGAGTTCAGATGCAAAAGCCTCTAAATGCCATTTGAAATGTTCTTCTTTAATGATGATTTTTTATTAAACTTGTATATTTAAGTTCAGTAATTTCACTTAAATGGCAATGATAATTACCTATTAATTGTTATTTAAGTGAAATTACTGAACTTAAATATACAAGTTTGATAAAAATCATCATTAAAGAAGAAAATTTCAAATGGCATTTAGAGGCTTTTGCATCTGAACTCTTCATGTACATTTCTGAAATGCACTTTCTGTAAAGCTGCTTTGAAACAATATGACTGTATTTTGTGAAAAGCACTACAAATAAATTTGAACTGTATTGAATTGAATTGTGGATATACTGTAAGTAGAATGTACAAATAGACTTGCATTTACCTTTACAATGTTGATGTGTATAAAAATGCTGTAATAAAACTAAGGTCCTCCATGTTCAAAACTGGAAGTGATCATGTTGAAGGCAAACTCCATATATATGCTTCAAAACTTGATTGGTTGATTGTGATTCCTATTTTATTGCAATGGCAGGTCATTTATCAATTCAGCCAACGCATTCTCACCCCAAGGCGTCACCTTTGACCATGCTTCAATATTTGACGTTTTAGGCGCCCTTTAGCGTCACTTAGATGACGCGATCCTACGGCGTCATCTAACTGACGCTAAAGGAAAGCGTCAGTTAGAGGACGCGATTAGGTTTAGGTGTGGGGTGGGGGCAGGGTACACGCGATCCTAGGGCGTCATCTAACTGACGCTAAAGGGCGCCTAAAGCGTCAGATATTGAAGCATGTCCAAATGCTTCCCAAGGCGTCAGTCAGGTGACGCCTTGGGAGTGAGAATGGGCTGATTCAGCAGACATTAAACATACCATGTCAGATATTTATGGAAAAGCATGCATGTCTGTCATATTTGGATAACTGAATGGATCATTTTGCATGTGATGGCTTACATGATGAAAGAATATTTAGAAGATGTGAAGAGTTTGACAGTTTCATTGAGAATCAACTCATCAGTTTTGATCAACAAGCATGTGTATTTAGTTATCATGCAAATTGTAGACAATTGTACTTTTGCACACGTGCCAAAACACTTGCAATATCCTTTAATCAATAAGAAGTTCAAATCTGACGTCAACAAGAAATTGTTCAGAGATCTAAACTTAGGCCTATTGTTTTAAAAAAAAAATCATTAAAAACTCTAATATCTGGTATAGCTTCACGACAACGATGAACTAAAAACAGAAACGTTTTTCCTTTGCATTTTTCGTGATGACAACGTTTTCAAAAAGATCCCCGTTCAAATGGATCCACAAAGCCAATTGAAAACACTAAATTATTCTGCCGGGCCTGTAGTTGGCGATGTCACTTGTAACGAAACACACATGACATCACCGTTTTCACAAAATTCGTTTTTATTAGTTAACATAGAGACGATAACGGCATCGTTTTCAAAAACGTGCACTTTGAAACCCAATTTCAAAAGCTCGCATTTTAATGCCCCAAAAATGTCGTTGTGTAAATGAAAGGCCCAAACGCATAAAAGGTTTTCCGTTTTTTGTTGAAAACGGTGTCTTTTTCAAACAGTCCCGGTCTATTCAGCATACAAGTACCTAAGCTGTTTACAGTGCTGACAGGACAAAAAAGGGAACCTTTCACATTTCGTCTGGATTTTTTCCCTCCTGTGCCTATAAATTTACCGTCATCAGGTCACACATTAGGCTCCATTTGCAACTTTCCAAAACATTCCCTTGATACAGGTCTGCCCTGCCTTTAATCACCCTGGATTTATTTAACTCCCTCGGAAACACCAGACATACCTAACCGTTCCTTCTTTTAGCGCAGGGATTTTCTCTGTGCTATTCCGGGAATTTCAAGAGCACATTTATTGGATTACTTGTCAGAGCTAATTACAATGCGCCCACATTGACAGCAAATTACAAGGATTGCTGGGACTAGTAGATATTTAGACTATAGTTGTTGTGGATGTTATGTGTGGTTGTCACTGTAGTGAGTCTAAACAAATTGCAAATGAAAACATAACAAACAATCCATCAAAAATCCTTTGTACCCCTTCCTGAAGGTGCACAGCACTCGTCAGTCATTTGAAACAACAAATGTGCCACAAGATTTGGAAGGAAACACCCTCTTATGCAAGTGTTCACCGACATAAAGGTGTTTCCAGATATTTAATGAACATCTTATGCCTTTGGGTGTTCAACGGATCAACTCGGGCTTTGAATGAGTCGATCTTTAGGAATCCCTAAACAAGAACAGATGTCACTGATAAACAAATTCAGTGTCTCTTTAATGAAAAGACTCAAACCCAACTGGCTTATGATATTTCTTGAGCTTGGAAATGAGATATCTGAGAGGTAAATCAACTAAATTAATTTCTTGAAAGAATGAGGCACGTAGACAGGATAGCGATTGAAATGTCAAAAGGGCAGGGGAAATAACTTTCCAAAGAAAAACCAAACTTTCTTCCTAGAAAACAATACCTCTTTTAAAAATGCAGCCGGTTCTTAAGCAAAGGCAGGAGTGAGGGTGGGAGCAGAGGAAGGGAGGGAGTCTTAGATAAATACAAGTTAATGGGTCATAATGATGTCTAATGACAGACGTCGCTTTCCTACGGGACACAAAGGGCGATGGAAGCAAACAAATGATAAGGAAAATAAAAACAACAGGTCACTGGCTCTGTGGTGGGTGCAGGCTGGTCTGCAAGTACTATAAGAATGGTGGTAGAGCACGGCACTCGCATTTAACATGTTCTTGCTTGAGAGAGACATGTCCTTGGAGAACATTTTTTACACTGGTGAATTTAAGGAAAAAGACTGGATTAACAATATTTTCAAATAAATAATTTTATTTGTGAAGGAATTTTTTTTTAATGCTTTGAAAACTGATATATTGGTGTGACTCTTAACATACAAGAAAAAGGTATGTATTAGCATTTGATATGTTTGTATTCAATCAACATATCTATTTATATAACATTTTAATTGTAAGGTACAAAGTTTTTTTAGGTTTTTGAAAGAAGTCTCTTTTTTGCATTTTTTTGATAGAAAATACAGTAAAAACAGTAATATTGTGAAATATTATTACAATTTAAAATAATTGTTTTAAATTTGAGTATAGTTTAAAGTGTAATTTATTCATGTGATGGCAAAGCTGAATTACTTCAGTCTTCATGGTGTCACGTGATCCTTCAAAAATCATTCGAATTTGATGATTTTCTGCTCAAGAAACATTATTACCAAGTTGTGCTGCTTCATATTTTTGTTAAAAATGTGATTCATTTTTTTATGATTCTTTGATGAATGGAAAGTTCAGAAGAGCTACATATGTTTAAACAGAAAACTTTTGTAACATAAATGCCATTACTGTAACTTTTGATCAATTTAATGTTCCCTTGCTGAATAAAAGAATTAGTTTCATAAAGAAAAAAAGGACTTTTGGACTGAGCCTAAACTAATGATTGATAGAGTACTTTATATGACACTTAATGATTTAAAAAAAAAAAAAAAAACTAGCCAAGATACTGATAGATAGGCTAATTCTGATCATTAACAGAACAACAAGTGTAATTCTTACAATGAGAGCTAAAAAAACAATCAATATGTGCGTGGTCTACATTTTCATACGTGGATAACGATTCACTTAATAGTAGTCTTTTTATAATTTATAACTTCATTTGTTATCATCACAATGCCATTTTCTATGCATATAGGCTATCATGCTGATGTAAATTGTGCTCTTGTATCATTTATAGTGAGTATAGAAATGACTGACACAACCCTATGAGGAAAGATAAGAATGACAACGACAGAAGAAGCACATCCTGGGTGGACAACTGCTTCCTAAAATATTTATTGTGTCAAAATCATCAATATTTAAGGAGTTTAAATCAACTGAAGAGGCAGGCAACTTCAGAAAGATATTACTTTTGTGGAGAACATTAATAATGGCAACATCCGAGGATCTTTCAGGCCAGCCTAACCCGTCCCAAACTGTGAAATATGATCCAAAGTCTCAAACCGTAACGTTACCAAATGGGTTGGTTTCTGTGTCCGGAGTCACGGTGGTGACGGGGGGAGCGGAGCTGTCCTGTGGCACCTGTATGTTGGCCTTTGGGGTGTGGGGCACTCTGGTTGGTTTGACTGTTGTGTCATTGGGATTATGGGACCATTTTGAGTACAAGAACAGTGGTCCGTCACACCTTCTGGCCCTTGGACTGGTACTGCTGCTCACCAGTGTGAGTCTGGTAGCCGTGATCTTCGTCCTCCGTTTCTTAATGAAAAAGAGAAGAATGATGGCCAGAAGAGAGAGGGCAGAAGCAAATTTAGTGTTGATTAATGATCATGTGGAAGTTGTTTTAAAAAGAGTCACAGTGTAAAAGAGCAGTTTTGTTCTCTTTGAATGAGTCAGACTCCCTGCTGCTTCATCCTTCTTTTCTCCATCACTGTTTGCTTCATCGTGAAGGAATGTCACAGGAAATTCATTGGATTCACTGCTACAGGAAACACTTGGCTATTTCCTGTGTGATTTCAGAACGCTCAAGAGGCATCGCGTCTGCATTTGTGTGTATTTATTAAACACAGTTTATTTACCACTCTTCAAAGGACTGTTAGACTTCAGTTTTTTATTTAAGTTGGAATGAATGTTATTCCACAGGTTTTTAACTTTTTAACTTCATCCCATAAATCCATTTTTTTGTACTTATTTTGATTAATCAATATATTACATAAACTGCATTTTCTTCATTGCCATGAGCTGTCAATGAAATGACAACAGGTCCAAATATATCACATCTGCCTATAGCATATTATATATATGTTATGGCCTATGTTATGTAAGTCATTTATCAATGTTTTTCTGAAAGCTAGCAAGGTGGATTTTATAAAAGATGATCCACTACAAAAGAAGCATTACAGATTTTTTTCAAGCCTATTGTTAAGTATTATTTTATTTAACATTGTTATTTTAAAAAATTTACTTAATACCATGTGCCAGTACAATGTGCTATTTTAAATGAATTGTAAATAAAATGAATGAATTGTAACAATGAAATGGTTGAACAGACTTCAAATGATTTTTGTTGTTGTTGCTCTAAAGTATCATAAGGGAGGCAAATTTACAGTAACTGAGAAACGTGTAACTGCATGTTATGTAAAAGCTCATGTTTGAAATTTACAAATGAATTGTTCGGTGTCAAAATGGTATGTCTGTCTCCATCTGCTGGTCACCTGTATTATTCCATTATTCTAATCACTTGTATGATTTTCTTTCTTTCTTTCTTTCTTCTTTTATTGGCGGTTGGCATACCAATTTGGTGCATTAACAGCCACCAACTGTTTAGGGTGTGGAGCTTCAATGCGGATTTCTATAATAAAAAAAATAAATAAAAAAAAGGATTAAATTATCTTAAATTCGATTAAATAAGTCTGTTTCTTACAGGTATCTTATGATAGCTGGCCATGCTGATGGTTTTAATGTAGATGGCTGATGCCGATGCAAACCAGACAGTAATGGATGCTGAAAGAAGGCTTTCCACAGTGGCCCTGTAAAATCTAGTCCGAACAGAGCTGGAAACGTTCAGTTTATTTAACTGTCTCAGAAAAAAACATTCCACTATGAGCTCTCTTAAGAATGGAGGAACTATTTTCCTCCCATTTGAAGTCATTTGTGATAACGGTGCCTAAAAATTTAGTTGACTCCACCCTCTTCACAACAGAGCTCTTGATAGTTAGAGGTGGAAGGGAGGTGGGTGCCCTGCGGAAATCTATCACCATTTCCACAGTCTTTTGCTGATTAAGCTCCAAGTTGTTCTCATCACACCATGCAACCAATTTTGACACTTCCTGCCTGTAAGCAGACTCGTCATTTCCCTTAATAAGGCCAAATAATGTGGTATCGTCTGCGAATTTAATCAGCTTGATGGAGCCATTGTTGGAAGTGCAATCATTGGTGTTTAGTGAGTAGAGAAATGGTGACAGCACGCACCCCTGCGGTGCTCCAATGTTAGTGGTCTGAGGATCAGACATGTGCTGGCCAAGCCACACATACTGTACTGTTGTCGGTCACTAAAAAAATCCATAATCCAGCGGCAGATAGAGGATCCCACCCCCATCAGTGACAGCTTCTCCCCCAGTCGCTCAGGTAGAATAGTGTTGAAAGCTGCCCTGAAATCCACAAACAACATACTTACGTAAGAGCCAGGAGAGTCAAGATGGTCCAGAGCATAATGCAGTCCTAAATTGACCGCATCATCTACCGAGCGGTTTGCCCTGTAAGCGAACTGTAGTTGATCAAGATAAGGAGCTGTGATAGGTTTGAGATGTGACAGAACCAGCCTTTCCAGACATTTCATGACCACTGATGTAAGGGCCACCGGTCTGTAGTCGTTTAGGTCCACAGCTTTGTTTTTCTTCGGCACTGGGATAAACTGGGGCTAGCTGACTAGCGCAGTGCTTCAGGGTGGCAGATGAAATCCCATCAGGGCCACTCGCTTACATTTTGTCGGCGAAATAGCCGATACACGTCCTTCTCCTCAATGACAATGTCAATGTCAGCTTGATCCTGAGGGGCAATGTTCTCAGATTTTTCTCAAATCTTGTATAAAAAAACATTAAATTCATTGGCCAGTTTAGTGGATGGAGTGACTAGTTGTTTTTTATTTTTGTAGCCTGTCAAATTCCTCAGCGACCTCCAAGCTGAAGAGGAGTCATTAATGCCAAATTGTTCCTCCATATTCATTTTATAGGCACTTTTTGCTTTCCTAATGGCTTTATTTAACTTTTGTCTGGCCAGTTGGAGGCACCACCATTTCTCAATACCAGTGAACGCAAACTTCGGAGAACGAACTCCCCGAATGATTGGAGTCATATCTTTAAATATTATTCTGACTAGTCAAATTATATAAAGCTCTTTCTGATTCTGATAAGTAGTCAAAATACATTTGTGACTATCCAAAATATATTTATATATTTGGTAGTCAAAACATAGTTCTATATGCTTGCCATATGCTTATATGCTTAAGCGGCTTGCCATAATGACGTGTCCCTCTCTCCCCTATGTTATGCTATGAGATAGTTGGCCAAAATCTGATAGGTTCATTTGGATTCACTCCAGCTTTTGCGTCCTGGATCGTTTCTTCTCATTGGCTAATTTCTCCGGAGCCCATCCTCGTTCGATTACTTCAGCCAATGGATGTACGTGATGTCATATGAGCTTTTGCTTACACGCCCCAACAGATCATGCGCAAAGCATTTCGGTACATGAAGTTTAAAAACGAAGACTTTAAACCGAAACAAATGTACAGAAAAACTACAATATGCGTTACGCCTTCGGTATTTATGGGCCGTCTTGACTTTTCATACGGGAGGTGAAATAAAAGAACACAGTCATGAGTGTGTCAGTTTTCTGAGCAAGGATAGATTCCCAATGCCAATGGTAAGTCAAAGTAAACCTCTTACATGATAAAAGTGTAGCCTACAGTGAATACGTAAATCTTAAATACTATGTGAATGATGTTCATATTGCGAAGCTAGCAAAGTTTATGTTTACATCTGAGAGTTGCATTGCTTGTTATGATCGTGCATGCGAAGTAATTTTCGTGTTATTTCCTAAAATTTGATTTACGTTAATTAGCAATGTAACATAAAAGCAATCATGCGATACCAGGCTTTTACTGCGGAATAAACCCAACGCAGGAACAAAGCTGTCTGTTGGTTTTTATGTAGGCTATGGACCCTATAATATTTTCATTGTTTCCAATCCAAATCATACAGTAATCATGTTGTCAAATGTTTACCTATTTTATGTACTTATGTCTATTTCATTTGTACATCTGTGCACTGTATTTGTGTGCCCTGTCACTTCAGGGTGACAGCAGGTGCAGTAACGGTGTCCAGCAGAAAGCAAAGATGTTGTCGGATGCTCAGCTCTTTGATGGGGAATTTGAAAAGCTGGTGTCTGAACTAACAGAGCAGGACTTCACGGATCCAGTTCTCACTGATGCCCTCAGTAGACTCAGAGAGGTAAAGTAAACTAACTTTCACAAACATGGATAAGAGATAAAAAGATGGCACGCTGCACTGGTTATTTAATGTGAAATGTATTTTAAGAATTACATAGTCAGTACATGGAGTTGAGACAAGTGGAAACCGGCACACAAATAATAATAATAATAATAATAATAATATTTGCCATTTGCCATTTAAATCTCCAGAACATATCTAAAACAATACTTAATAAACTCAGCCTTGAATTTATTGTGTTATTTGTTAGTTTTGTGAAATGTGTCCTTTTTATCTAGGTGCTTCAGTACAATGCCCCTGGAGGCAAGAGAAACCGAGGCTTGTCTGTGATTGGTTCTTTACGGGAGTTAGTTTCTCCCTCTGAACTGCCACCTGAGGAAGCTCACAGAGCCCTTTTGGTTGGATGGTGCATTGAACTGGTGTGTAAAATTGATAATATTAATTGCAATGGGGAGAGAAAAAAAAGAGCAGTGCAAACCTTTTTGATTTCTTCACAGCTTCAGGCCTTTTTCTTGGTGGCTGATGACATCATGGATGCGTCCATGACAAGAAGGGGTCAACCCTGTTGGTATAAGAAGGTAATTGATTTATGATCATTAAAAAAAAAAATAAGATAGATTAAAAAAGACAAGAATATAGATTTTTTTTTTTAAGATTAGATTTTTACTGTTAAAGGCATTGTCTAGCCATAAAATTATGTCATTATTCCAAACTTGCATGACTTTATTTCTTCTGTGGAACACAAAAGAATATAGTTAGAAAAATGTTGGTAACCAAACAATTTCTGTTCCCATTGACTTTCACTTCATAGTCAATGGAACACACACCTTTTGGTTGCCAACATCCTTCAAAATATCTTCTTTTGTGTTCCACAGAGTTTGTGTCATACAAGTTTGGAACGACATGAGGGTGAGTAAATGAGGACAGAATTTTCATTTTGGGGGGAACTATTCCTTTAATAACAATACAAATCAGAATTCTTGTGTCTGATTACAAAAAAAAAATGGTACAGATCACGGGATTGACAAATTCATAATTGTTTAAGAGAAATAAGTATTATATTTGTATGTTTATTAGGTTATATTATTTAACAGTAGTGTATGTGTGGAGTATTGCTTAGTGCTTTCTTTTTGAATTTGCCAGGAAGGAATTGGTCTGGATGCCATTAATGACGCTTTTCTCCTGGAGGGGGCGATCTATCGCCTTCTTCGCAGACATTGCAGAGGGCAGGGCTACTATGTCCATCTGCTTGAGCTTTTTACTGAGGTAACACACACAAAGGTTCATTAGTCAGCTATAACACATGTAAATACATTTTAATCTTTCGTGCAAAGGGTACACAAAACTGTTAAGCTATTTCAACCACATTATGCATATTGTATAATCGATAAAGCTGAATCTTTTTTTCCTCAAGACCTCTTTCCAGACAGAGCTGGGTCAAACTCTAGATCTGATGACTGCACCTCCACATAAAATTGACCTTGATCGCTTCACCATGGAGAGGTGAGAAGTTCTGATGGACTTTTTAAACTTATGGAACAGACTATTTAAATAATTGCTTGCTGATTTATCTATAGCTTATTATTTGCCAATTGCCTATCGTTCATTTATTTACATTGTATTTTCCTCAGGTATAAAGCCATTGTAAAATACAAGACTGCATTCTACTCGTTTTATCTCCCGGTGGCTGCAGCCATGTACATGGTGAGTTTGGCATACATGTGTTCTGTGTATATTTAATGTAAATACTTATTTTTGTGATCTTTTTTATTGATTACAGGCAGGGATTGAGAATGAGACTGAACACAACAATGCTAAAACAATTTTACTTGAGATGGGAGAGTTCTTTCAGATACAGGTATTAGTATAAAGCAACATTTTTGAAGCCCTAGTATCCTTAGTCAGATCTGGTTGCAATATCTCAAAGCATTCATAACATGTTTGTCACTGACAGGATGACTACCTGGATTGCTATGGGGATCCTGCAGTGACTGGAAAGATCGGCACAGATATACAGGACAACAAATGCAGCTGGCTGGTGGTGACCGCACTGGGCATTATGACACCTGAACAAAGGGCAGAACTAGAGGTTAGAAAGTGTGGGGCTGCTGAATGCCAAAAAAAAAAAAATATTGAATGCAAAAATAGAGCACATTAATGTGGGAGAGTTAACAGATTCTTGTCTTGTCTACTTTCTCTCAGTCATGTTATGGGCGTAGTGATGCTGAAAGCGTTGAAAGGGTCAAGGCTTTGTATGATACTCTGGAAATGCCTATCCGATACCATCAACATGAGGAGGAGAGCTATCACCGCCTTCAAAAACTCATCCAGTTTCATGCCAAAAATCTGCCTCATGCTGTTTTTCTTAATTTTGCAAAGAAAATTTATAGGAGGAACAAATGAGGTGTGGTTCAGGGAACTGGGGGGACTTGGCAAATGGAGTTTAGTATTCTAGGTACAAAGACTTCAGGCTCAAATAAAGATGCAGTGTGGGATTTTAGTTGTATATGAAAATTGTAGATTTTAACTGCACTTTAAACATACTGTCAAGAATTTAGCATTGCATTAAAAAAAAAGATAATTATGTCGCATCATTATTTGTTTTTCCCCTTTTATTGAAGCAAAAATGCAATTTGCTGATTCAGAGGACAGGAATTATACAACAGATAGTATAAATTTAAATCTGTTTAAATTGAGGTACATATGTATAAACCATATATTTTCATCAGCTTTTGCATTGTATTTTCAATATTTTTGGAAGAATTGGGGAGAGTGAAGAAGTAATGAAAAAAAAGATTTATAGACAAAAATAAGTAAATAGTTAAATTAATTTTTTTAAATATGAGAACCAACCAGTGGACACTGGACAGATGCATATATTCCTTTAATATTTAAATATTATTTAATAAGAAGAAAATACCCTAGAGAAAATATCTTCCCAAGCAGAACACAATGGCACGTCAGGGCAGTTTCATTCAGAATCCTAGCTTTTTGTTTGTTTGTTTTTGTGAAACCGGTCACAATACCAGTTGTACTGTACATTTATAGACTATCAGAATGTCTGTTTTAAGTGTCCGGTCAGGTGATCATCAATACCCAATATTGCTGTAAATGTAGAATACAAAACGACATAAATGTGCAAATAAACAAATCTGATCAACTCTTTTTACTATGCATTTCTCTGTGTGAGCTGTTTGAATGAGTGTGTGCCGTGCAAAAGAAGTGTCGAGTCGTAAATTGTGAGAGCCGAGCAGAGAGATGCTGCTGAGGGAGGGGTGTGGTCTAGAGGATGGGATGAGAGAGAGAGAGAGAGAGGAGGGGAGGGTTAGATGACGGAGCGATAGACTGGAGGAAAGAGAATAACGGCATAATAATTTCAGAGTCATGGCTTTTGCGGTGGAATAGAGATCGAGATCAAGAAGAACGCATCATTTGTATCCTTCTGGAAATTGGGTAAATTCGTTTTCTTTTTCTATTGCATTATATGCTAGATTTTGAAGCATTTTGTTTTATTGCCGAATTTTCTGATTCTTTTCCTATCTTTTTTTTCTTGTAAAGATAATTATTTGAAGCTATATCATAACCCAATACGTTATCAATGTGAAATTTTAGGCTACCGTATATACAGTAGCGTTAAAGTCTGCGGAGGTGCACAACTCGAATAATCTTTTTAGATATAATTTTATAACTCTCTTTAAATATTTATTAGGCCAACATTAAATAGTACACAATGGTGTATTAGAGAACGGGATGTTCATGAATTAAATATCAATCATGATTTTATTTACTAAAACGCTCGCTAGGCCCGATTTACATCCTCTGTATCCAAGGACATTGGGCGCGAGCAGTGCATTGCCCACTGTGTTTATAAAGAGCGAAAACAGCGTTGGTTATTGCTACGATTTTCTGCTCCACATGGCTCCCGCAGAGAAAAAAACATAAATATTATTGGTCGAATAAAGAGATTTAAGGATATATTTTGCTACAGCATGTTCTGCTCTAGGCATGACATATATTTAGATCAGGCTATTCTCGAAATAATGTAAGAATTGCAAGAGTGAAAACAAATTTGTCCTGAGGCCATGGATTGGGAGAATGCAATTAATGACTTTGAAATAATGCTATATAATTGATATAATAGGCCTACAGTACATAAAATACTGATCCAAACACACACACTCACACACACACTGTAGATAAGTATTTTATTTATAAGGATGGTGTACAGTAGGTATTTGTGTTTCAGTAAAACAGAATAGTGTATACAGTATATTTTTATGCTCTGAGAAACTGGAAGAAATAATGATGTTCAATATGTTCAATGATGTTTCAGGAACTATACAATTTACCAAAATTATGTTAAAGCTGCAGTCTGGCGTTTTTCCTCTTTGTCGCCATCTCTGTTCGAAATCTGCAATTGCAGTCATACGCGCAATTATCAACTTTACGTGAGTTGTACCTCATCATCCTCAACACCGCACAGCGCGGATGATCACAATGTTTGAGGAGACTGTGCAGCTGTCAGTCACCGTGACGATGTGGATATTGTCATTCAGAATCACAGATTATTCTTTTTGGAAGTATGACCAACATTATAATTTTTACAAGAAATTGTCATCTGAACTAGTAAGAAACATCCACATTTGTTCTGGTTCTGACATTGCAGTAAAACGCGCTGATTAAATCTAACAATCGCTTATAAGTTATCATATCACGATTCACGCAAAACCGTGCAAATTATACTTTGTTCTCAAATTGTTAATGTTAACAATGTAAGCAAGCATTGCGTGACTAATGTCCTTCCGATATGTATCCATGTTTTCGCATGGGTCCGGTTGCAGTCTCTTTTTTTCTGTAGCCACTTCGAAGTCCGAACAAAGTGTTTTGCATTTTACAGCGGGTGAATCTGTTGTCACTGGTGATTGTCGTTTTAACCTTTCTGGATCCACCATCAAATTGCTAAGTTTTATTATATCAAGTGCTGTGAGAAAAGGCTATAAATCTCCACCTCAAACATCCTCACACGCAATATAGCCTACTAGCCGAGACTCCTTCTTTGTGTGTTCAGATGTGACGTAATGACGCAATGACATGCTTGAATCTCCCATGGAAATCCACCAGTACCACTGGAATTAAAAACATTATTACAAGCTTACCGCTTCGAATCGAAATAAGGCAAGCACTGTCTGGTTATGTATTTCGGATCATTTTTGACCCAAAAAAAAGCTACGGACTTCAGCTTTAAATTATGAAGAATGTTTGTCGGACCTCTCAAGCAAGGTGTTTTTTTTTACTTTTGTGTTTCTAAACAGAATCTGTCTTTTTGATATTTCAGGTACTAACATAGTCCAGGATGTGACCCCATATGTTTACAGACACATTAGACAAACATCAAAATAATAATCAGCACAAACAAACTATACCACCATGCATCCCTCCTCTCGTCCCTCTGTGCCCCCACGTTCCCGCAGGTTTGACAATAGGCGCTTAGAGGCAAAACCAAGCCAAGGGGCTAAGAGGGATGACAAAAACATGAACACAGCATCTTCATCCCCTCGGCGTGGCACTCGAGGACCACCTGAGTCTTCCAAGTTAAAAGGCCCTGGTCAAGGTGCACGAGCCCCAGTGGTTCAGTCCAAACTGGTGCGGCCACAGAAAAATGGTGCTCATGCAATTCCAGCCATCTCAAAACCAAAAAGTGGACACACTGTATCCAACCTGGCCCCAGCTGTGGATCCAAACTGCAATGAGCCCAGCCTACCTTGTCTGTGTTGTGATGGCCATTCACCTCAGGATAGCAACAGCCTTTTCAATCACAACCATAACAACAATAACACTGTAAACATCAGGCAACAAATGAAGCTACCGCCGCCACCTCCTCAGAAGGAATTGGCTGTTTCAAAAGAAGACATCAAAGAAGACTTGAAGTGTGATCCAGAAATAAAGCAACCTCATGCCATCCCAGTGAAGGAGATAGAGAAGGAAAATGACAATTTGGATGAAAAAGAGGCTGGTGACCTTAAAAATGATGACTGCAGTGTAAATGTAAATGGCAATATTGATGTCAATGGCAACGGCAAATATGATGGTGAAGATGATGATGATGACGAAGAAGAAGATGAAGATGAGGATGATGATACTCTTGTCCCTTCTTGCTGCAACTGCCCAGAGTCCATGCTAGACTTCTCCCTCACATCCTCTACCTCATCTTCTTCCACATCCATTAGCAGCTGCTCAGATCTGGAGTGTGACTGCCCTGACACATTTTCATTGTCATCACAGGAACAAGAAGCCACTGAAAGCTGTCCATCTTCTCACTCACTGGTCTCCAATTGCCCTACCCTTCACTCCAATGTCTTACCATTAGATCCCAACCCTGCAAGATCGCCTTGCTCTTCTGATGAAGGCTATCCCTCAGCCCCGTGCTCTCCTTCCTCTGACTACACAGAGAGCAAGAAATCAGAAGAAGGAAAATGTATCAAAGTGGATCTCCTCCATTTTTTAGACTCCATAGAAGAATTGGGCAAAATGGATCTGTTCTACCGCATTGTTAGGCTGGCACATTGGGAACTGGGTGGTGAGCTGATTGTCAGAGATAGATTGGATCACCAGCAGAAGCTTCAGAGGGTCAACAAAGAGGTTAAGTTGGCATATCTTATGAAACTTCAAGAGGAAGGGTTAGACTTTGACAATGAGGATATCGCTGAAGTTTTGGATGAAATGGGCAACATTGACATTGCATGGAATTTGTATAAAAGCAACAGATCAAGTGACTCCCAGGAATTTTCTGATGCAGGGGTAGATCTGACAGCTCCTTCTGACCTTGATGAAACCCCTGCCTCTGATTCACCTGCTTCATCGCCATTGGATCCTCCTCCCCGGCCCCCAAAGCCTCCAACAAGGCATGTGAGTGCTCACTCAGAAACGCACACTTATGAGAACATCATTGGACATGCCTTCTCAGTCTCATCCACCAACGACACTACTCCTTTCTCTTCAAGGGTCCCTGTTCCTACCTTGCCTGCACTGTCATCCTCACCCCCAGCCTTGAAACCTCCCGCCCTTCCTCCTCCTCCTCCATCACAGCCTGTGTCCTACTTCTCCCTAAATACACCTACTCTCACCTCCCCCACACCACCCATTCCTCCTCCAAGAAGACGTCATAAAGCCCGTCTAGAGGCTCAAAGGCTTGCTCAGCTTGAAAGAGAAAAGACTCCTCTGTCCCTTCCACCACCAACGTCCAGACCTCCTCCATTGCCACCTCCACCTGCAATGTCCTCGCCTCCAGCTATCCCACCTCCACCATCACTCCTGCCCCCTCCATCATTTCATGCTCTGGATGTGGAAATCAGAAAGTTGCTTGCACTTGCAGGCCTCACCCAAGCTGAATTGCTTAAACTTAGTCCCGAGTTGGGTGTCTGTGTGGATGTAGTCCCGGAGAATGAGCAACCGCCAGTGTCTGATGTCTCTCAGTTTGGAGAAATCAGTGCAGATAAGGGGTTGCACTCCATATTGAGAGAAGGAACCAGATTTGGGGAAGACAGATCTACAGGTGTAAAGGAATTAGATACTCTCGGTGAAAAGGACATTTTTAAAGATGAACAGAAAGAAACAATCAGGACAACATCCTTCACTGAAATGTCAAGACGACGTAAGAGAAATGGTGGAAACTGTAATCATAGCTGCAGTTGTGGATCCAATGTTAGCCTATCTCCCAACTCATATTACAGCACTAATCTTAGCAATACAAACATCCCGAATGTTAGCTTTGGGAGTTTTGATTATACTTCTATGATCTCAGACACCCCTCCTCCTCCACCTCCACGACCATTGCCCCCTTGTCCACCAATTGTCTCCAATCCTCCTGAACTTCCCCCACTTAAGCCATGCACTCTACCTGCCAATGCATCTCGCCCGGATAGATTTGATTGGCTGATAGCCTTCACCCCAGAAACAGAGTCGCCACCTCTTGAGATGCAAAAATTGTCCAATGATGGCACATTGCAAAAAGGCTTAACTTCAGGCTTAAAAGTCACAACCTTTAAAGAATTACGCAACAGAAGCAAACAGAACTCCAATCCTGCCTCTATTCAACCAGAACCCGATCCAACTGTCGTCACCCCAGACCCTGATTTCCTGTACAACCTCAAATGGAGAAGAGAGAAAATTGATGGGGATGGCTGGGAATATACTTCCCAAGCACAAGCCTCTTTTCTTCAGCCACCACCCACTCCTGCCTCATTGTCCCTCTTTAGGGAAATGTGCCGACTGAATATACAGGATGTTTGCCCTGCAAAACCCAAAGTGTCCCAACAAATTGGCTGTTCAGGAAGCGAAGGCAGCCTTAGGACTATTTGTGATGAAAGCGATAAAGCTGTTCACACCAAAATGATGGAAGATGAGGATGAAGAGGAAGTTAGGGGAATGGCAGATGGAGCTTGGACTTTGGAATCGAGGACAACAGGTAAAGTTGATTTCATAAATATATATTTGTTTTCTCTGACCTGTTTTGTCTTGAAAGGGTTCATCAACATCATAAAACAGTGCAAATTCAGTGGAATATTAAAGAGAAAGTAAAAGAACAATGCTCTGATGACATGGAAAGTGATGAGCCAAATATGAGACTCACACAGGCAGATGGGTAGATGAATCAGCAGAGCAAGACTGGAGGGACTCTCAGAATGCAGCAAGCTTAATGCTCTGTTGTTTTTTCATGATGTCACAAAGCCTTTTAATTATTCATCCTCTCAGCAAGCTAATTCCCCTTTTCTGTCATCCTCTCTTCCCTTGCCATGCCACACATTCTGTCATAATTTCATCAGTCAACGTTTCTATTTTTCAGTCAATAGTTTCAATGAATTTCTAAGTCAAATGATTTGACATTTCCCTTAAAATTATATTACCATCACAAATATTGTCTCATACAATAGTCATGATGCACATTCCAAACCTTCTGCTTCTGTCTTCATCTTTCTGACATAACTCTCTGTATCCTTTTATTAATTGTCACTTCTTCTTTTTTTTGTTATTTCCTTTTGCTGTGCCCCTTTCTGCACTGTTAATCTGCCCAATGGAAAAGATAAATTTGCTTGGATCAGGTTACTTCACTGACAACAGATATAAATGGCCTCTAATGCGCCTGTAAATTGAGTTGCAAATACATTTGGATTAGCCTTCATTTTTGTTTACAAGTTTATCATGCAACTCTGCTGATCCATGCATTGGCAATATTTGTAATGTTCATCTTTTTCATGGATATTATTATTTATAAATTAAACACTTGTGTTTAGTTCTTCAAGTTAGTTTGTCGAGTTGTGTGTCTGTTATCATTTTGTGTTACTAAATTGGAGTTTAGTGAATCATTACACTCATCATCATTCAAATTTTTGACTTAATCAGTTAGCTCAAGAAAATGACCATATGCCTTTAAGTGTAGGAAAGGCGTGACTCACCTTTACACCAATCACAATACAGCAACAGGGAAACAGGAAATACTGAGTCAAAGGGACTTCACTTGAGAGAGAGAGAGATATCAACACATGTTAAGGTAACATAAAATGGTTTATGAGAGTAAATCATAATACTCTATATATACTGTATGTATTTTAACACTTAGTCACCATAATCCATTGAAATGAAACATGCAATCTACTGATTAGAGTCAGAAAGTTATTGTCAATAGTGTGCATATGAAAGGGCATATCCTGAAACGCCTAGCTTATCCTGAATCTCTAGCTTGCCTTTTAAGTCAAAGTTGCCATTGCAGGTGTAATGTGATCCATGTACATCTCCTAGTGAGATCCTAGATAGAGAGTGCATGCTTTTCTGCACCCGGTCGGATGTTGAGGGATCAGATATAGTGCTATTAGGCTTTGCACACCATATACTGCCATGGAAGATTGTGGGATGTTTAAGTAGCTAAAAAAGACAAAGAAAAGATATAAGGGTGTGGCACTCTTTAACTCTGTGCAGTTGTAAGAAGGAATTTGTGTATTAAATTTGTGTATTAAAAATTTTATACATACTTTGGAAATTGTTGAGGAACAGTTTACCTTTTCAATTAATGCAATTTTTAATTTACTTATTTAGGCTAAAACAGTTAGTCTTCTCTTTTTTCTCTCTATTAATTTAAAGGAATAGTTCACTTGAAAATTCTGTCATCATTTACTCACCCTAAAGTTGTTTAAAAACCTGTATGAATTTCTTTCTTCTGCTGAACATATTTTAAAAAATGTCAGTAACCAGACAGTTGATGAACCCCATTTACTTCCTTAGTAAGAAAAATACTTTTATCTTTTTTTCAATATTTTCATTTTAAGTGAACTATTTGTTTAATGTTCTGTGAAACACTTAAGAGAAACACTGAGTTGCATAGCACATTAAATGTATTATCTAAATGTTCTCATCTTTGTACAGTAAACAATATACATACTTTCCCCTGTGTACATACTGTGTCGTGTTGTGTTGTGTTCTAATGTTTGTATGGTTATTATAACAAAGAAAATACTCTCTTTAGCATATTGAATGTTTGAAGGAGTTCTCTATCATGTTTCATCAAGAGCATTCTCTCTCTTCTTCAAAATGACACTAACATTTTTCCATTCTCTCTTTTTCTTCCTCTTTCTTTGCTGTTTTACCATTCTGCCCATCCTTTCGATTCTGAATCTTCTCTATTGTTATACTTTCATAATTCTTCACCCCATGTTCCTATAATACTCCTGTTAAAGTGTCCTCACCTCCCCTGTCCCTTTCCCTGTCCTCACCTTATTACCTGCACTCTGCTCCCCTGTCACAAGCCTCCCAATGTTACCACACTGACACTAACTGGAATCATGCCGTGGCACACTGTGAGGGTTCCATAAACACCTCAAACCCATTATGCATAAATCACAGCGAAAATGACTATACTGACTCCCTGTATTGTGCTGGGCCAGAAAACAATGCGTTTTTGTCCTTTAAACAAGACAATGATCTCAGTGGTAACATGAATTCTCTGTACCACCGCTGTAATCATGCTGACAGCTTTCTAGATTCGTTATACATCTGTGGGCATGATCCCGACAGCACAAAAAACAACTTCTGTCCTGAGTATAACAATGAAGTAGATTCAATCATAAATGATGATTCACTCTACAGTGATGCCAGATCCACAAGAAATACCCTGAAGCTGTTCACTGACCCAGAACCACCAACTAACATGAACACACTCACTGAGGGTGACATAACACCATACAAAAACATTGACATGCAGACTTACATTACTATGCGAAACCTCAAAAATCGGAGCTATGTGAACAAAAACAGTCCTAAAGAGGACTCGCTGTTTGATTTGAACTTAGACAACAACATTGATAACTCAAAACCACCAATCAACCCATTTTATGACAGCAATGAAAACACACTAATGAACAAACAGGAGCTAGTGTCTTTCCCTGCCTACTACCTTTACCACCCCAAAAACTGCCCCTTGCATAAAGGCGCCCCACCACGGCTGTCCCCCGTAGGAGCGATCTCACCTCCCCACAGGTGCGGGCCTCCAGTTCCAGGCACTGATGTTGCCCGTCTCTGCTCACCCCTGTTTCCTCGTAGTCACACCCTTCCTGCCCTTGCTGCACCCCTTTATTACCCTTATCTGTACACCCCCCCTGTTCAAGTCCCTCCGCGGGAGCCATCGGTTCCCATACTTCACTCTCAGAGTCCACCACCGCTCACTTCGAGTAAGAAATCAGTCCATTCCCATTTCTCTCACTTTCTTCCACTTCTATCCCACTTTCTTTGATTGTAAAGCACTATGTCTGTTTGTCTGTGTGTCTCATTCATAATCCTGTGGATATTGTTGTCTATGACAGTGAGAAATATGTGGCTGTCCGTTGCATGATGACATCACAATCTCTTTCTGAAAGTGATCAAATATGGCTTATTTCATGTTATTTTTTTGCTGTTCAACTGTTAGTGTTTCTTTTTTTGTTGTTGTTATAAATTCTGTTAACTAAAACTACACTACAGTATGTAACTTTTGACCCAGCGGGTGAATCATACAAGTTACTTGTTGAGGAACATTGTTTTGGTAATTGCATGAGTGGTACTTTGCATGGATAAATCTGATCACTTGAGGCCATCAGACTGAAACGGTGTAAACTATAACTATACTAACTCAGCTAGTGTAGGCTAAAAGACAAATAGACCAAAGTAGTAACAGGTTTAGAGATTAAAAACTGTTAGTGCACCTTCCATTAGATAGTAGTATCCTGACCTTAATCCTGGGTGTTTGTATTTTTCCCCAAAAATCCGTCCCGACTCTAAAATATAAATTATTATAGGCCACGGCAAAAACATTGTTTGGAAGATGGATTTATGATGTACTCGCCCATTATTTAAATTGTGTTAATTTAAAACAAAAAAGTTACATAATGTAGCTGTAATATTTTTTATTTACTTCTTGCTTTTATGTAACCTTTGCGTTTTGTGTTTATAGTGTATTTGTATGTATATATGTATTATATGTGTGCATGTTTTGTTTTTCACTTACCTTATGGTAATGCATGTGGCAAACCCAAATACGTCTTGAATGAATAAATATATTTTATAATTTATTCATGAATATTTGTATTAGATCTATAGCCTACACATTCCTTGCGAACTGCTGTCATGTACTGCACTGGATGAATCAGGATCAACTGTAATACATTATCTTCTGTTAATCGAGTTTCTAACTCCACCCTGCTGTCTTTCCCTCCTAATAGCGGTCCGCAGCTTCTCATTTGCTGGCTCTGAGCAGAAGAAAGTGGCCTGGATGGGAGATGATGTGAGAACCTCACTGAGTGCCGAAGGGCTGTCTTCTGCATGCCTGCAAGAAAAGAAAAGTAATATAGTATAGTATACCTCATGATTATAAAAAGTGCTGGTCCATATTTGTCTTTTATTTTTCTTTTCTTTCCTTTTTTCTTTATTTTTCTTTTTATTTTTCTTTAAAGAAAATAATAACTTTTGTTTTTGTCACACAGCTCTTGTCAGTTCAGTCAGTGTGGCAGTGGAGGCCATTTTGGCTCAATTCAGTTCATCCAGGACTGTTGTACAGAAGGTCAGTTTTGTGCTAACTTTCGTTTTCAAACTTGGCATTATTAACCCCACTTTAGTTTAATAGAAAAATTCCCACAGAAGAAACAATTTGAGCTAAAATTCAAATAGTAAATCCCTACTCGTTTTTTCCCTTCTCTCATGGCACTTCCATGCACTTGGCTTATCTCTTCCTTTTTCTTTCTGCAGTTTTACTCAGTAAATAAGGTACATCAAAGTCCATAAACATGAGCTTTGCAAATTACTTATTTGCACACTAACCTCATTCACCTTTTCACCTCTTTTTCCTATTTCTTGCTCCCTCTCTCTACTCTACCCTTTTTTTATTCATTTTAAATACTTTATATCCCATTTCTATTTTTCCATTGCTTTGCACATTTTTATTTTTTCTCTTTCTGTCTGTCTCCCTTTCTTTTATCTGTCTATCCTCCATTGCCCTTTTCTTGACCTCTTTTGACAGACTCTTTCTGGAGACAGCAGTGTAAATCCCTCTCTGGGTCGTCTGGTACTGCAGTGCCTTTGTCCAGCCCTGCGCAGCCTTCTCTGTGATGGACTCAAGCCCCACCAGAGTGACCTCATTGCAGGCAGAAGGCCAAATTCACCCTGGGGATTGGTTCAGGCCTCCACCAAACCAGGTATAAGACATTTGGACTTGGATTACATGACAATTACATTAATTAAATATCTATATTTTAATATTCTACCTCTCTTTATCTCTCCTTCATCCTCAAAATTGTTTCTTTCTCTTCTTTTCTGGCACTCTGAATCCCTGCAGTATTGACTCATGCATCTCTGTCATACTTCCAATCTTTAAATATTCCACGGTTTTCTCCCTCAATGTTTTTGTTTTGTTTTTGCTGCCCATATGCAGTGTCATATTTTTTTGCAGCTTTAACATGATTTAAAATGAACCGTACAGCATTGTACACAATCATTCTCTTTGCCCTTCCTAGCATTTTGACTGTGGTAAAGCATAACTACTATGTTTGCAGTTATTTAGGAAACATGCTAAGTTCACATTCTTGTTTCTCAGAAAAAGAAAAACAATTCTTCAGCCAGTTATTCTACTTTAAAATGAGTGTTCTATGTCGGAATATATGTTTTTGTTTTGGTTCGAGTAATCCCGCCCACTGCCAATTTACCCAAAAGTATTTCGACACCCCGGGTTGCCAGTTGGCGGAAAACACTGCGTATTGCAGCCATGGAAGCGCGCAAATGAAATTGGTCAGAGATCACAGATTCTACCTGACCTAAAAACCTTCGCCATCCATCTAAAAAGCTCTATGAACAGAGGCGTATTAAAATGCAGATTAATTACCTTGTTGCCTTCCATTGTAAATTTCGCTCATTCCTGTTGCGTGTTCCAGAATTTAAACTGTTCTCATTGCAATATGACGTACTGCACCTTTGAATGTTTCTTAAAAAAAAAACTTCTCTCTTCATTTATGATGCTTCTTTAGGCCCAAGCACGCAGGCTTTGCACAACCTCCAGACTAAAGTAGCGGGGCTTCCCCAGCTTAAGCAGAACAGACATCGGTTCAATGCCTTCCTGTTTGGCCTTCTCAAGTAAGGCAGAACTTTCCTCTGTCCATCTAAGATCATTTAATTGGCAAAATGACTAATGTGTCACCTTCTTCTTTTCTCCAATGTTTTATTCTTATTCTCTTCTAATCTGTCATGTAGTGTCAAGCTTCTGGATTACTGGCTTTCGCATCTACTGTCCTGTGGTGGTAAGCATTCATATTTACTCTTGTTCTCTAGAGGTCCGTGCCTGGAAAATCCATCTTAAGCTAGTTTTTGGAACAGTATCTTATCAGCTCTGGGGTTTTGATGTCAATGATGGATTGTTAAAATACAAACATTACATTTTTATTTTCTTAAAATCATTTCACATTATTAAAGGGTTAGTTCACCCAAAAATGAAAATTAAGTCATTAATTACTCACCCCCATGCTGTACCAACCCCGTAAGACCTTCGTTCGTCTTCGGAACACAAATGAAGATATTTTTGATTAAATTTGAGAGCTGTATAACTACCACATTGGCTCCTAAGGGACTGCCTCTTGACGGCCCAGAAAGTCAATGAAGAAAATGTTTAAATATCCCAAGTGACTACCGTGGCTCAACTATATGTTTATCAAGCGACGCGAATACTTTTTGTGCGAAAAAACAAACAAAAATAACGCGTTTATTCGACTATTTCTTTTCTTCCTTGTAGGCCAGAACGAGACTTCCTTATAGATTTCCACGACGCATGCCATGCGCGAGAATTGCGACCTGCTTACACCAGCACTACTTCAGATCGCAATTCTCGCGCATGCGTCGTGGAAATCTATAAGGAAGTCTCGTTCTGGCCTACAAGGAAGAAAAGAAATAGTCGAATAAACTCGTTATTTTTGTTTGTTTTTTCGCACAAAAAGTATTCGCGTCGCTTGATAAACATATAGTTGAGCCACGGTAGTCACTTGGGATATTTAAACATTTTCTTCATTGACTTTCTGGGCCGTCAAGAGGCAGTCCCTTAGGAGCCAATGTGGTAGTTATACAGCTCTCAAATTTAATCAAAAATATCTTCATTTGTGTTCCGAAGACGAACGAAGGTCTTACGGGGTTGGTACAGCATGGGGGTGAGTAATTAATGACTTAATTTTCATTTTTGGGTGAACTAACCCTTTAATAATAACAACTTTTTTACTGTCTTGCAGATGTGTTGGAAACATATTATCGCCCCACTTCCTTCATGCGTCTGTCACTCACTTCTTGCCAGCCTCTTTTTGAGGAGCTTATCCTCCTACTGCAGCCTCTCTCTCTTCTGACCTTTAACCTCGACCTGCTGTTTCAGCATCACCACCTTGACCCCTCCTCCCCAACTCTTACCCCAGCCAGTCACACTTCTGACACACATAGCCCGCCAAATGAAGACTTCAGCTTCCGCTTGTCACCCAAGAGGATTTTCCAAGGAAATGGCCATAATCTTGGAAGCACGTTAGAGCAAGACCTTGGCATTTTGGGTTTAGACACCAACCCTAATTCAGGTCTCACAAGTCAGGTTCTTGATGTGTCAGCCTATCGCAATCCAATTTCGCTGTCATCAAGCAGCACCAAGGAGGAAGCCAATCCGCCATTATCATGGTTTAACGGGAATGAGACCTCCGCACCTCTTAATGTCGGAAGCCTTTCCCAGCAGGCTGGCCAGGCTCTTCAGCAAGGCTGGGGGGCAGTAATGCGTTTGGGGGAACGTTTAGGGCAGAACTTTGGTTTGGCCACTAACACAGAGGATGTTAAAGGTCCTAACTCACAAGATGACTTCAAGACAGACCTCTCCCTGAATCCAAAAAGTCCAGTTGAAAACAGGCAGCAACCAAGAGAGGATCTTTCCTTGTGGGATAGTGGAGCAGCGGTTCCCTGGGGTATGGGACGGCTCTTTGGAGCTTCTAAGAGCCCCAACAACCCACCAACAAGCAGGTTTGTTTATGTTTTTTTTTAAAATGTCAGTTTAGTTTGTTTCAGATGTGTCAGGTTTATTCATGCGACGTATCTTTGTATTCTGTTTATAGACGTCCATCTCAGTGGCTCTCTCCTGGCGTATCCGTCTTTTCTCGCATAGTGAATCTTGGCCAGGTTTCTCCGCCTGAGAAGAAAGAGCTCCAGAGAAACAAAGATAAGGAAGAAGATGAAAATGAAAAGATAAATGAAACCAGAGATCAGCCAAAGCCCCTGAGGTAAAGGTTTCATTGGATTATTTACATTCTTTTTTAAGTGATTTACATTTATATATTTTATGAGAATAATGTTCAAAACTTTTAGGGCCTTTTTTATTTAACTTAGTAATAAAAATAGTAAGGTGTGTGTACATCTTTTAAGGTGAAAGGAAAATGCTTTTTTCCTTTACAATACATTTGTAGAGTCATTAAGTTTGATTTGTCATGGACAAATATTATATCTCATTGTTCCATAAAGCACAATCTATTTTGTCTTTGAATATTTTTACTCAGTATTATTTTAATATTATTCATGTTCTATTGTAGTTTATATATATATATATATATATATATATATATATATATATATATATATAATATTTTCTTTTTAGATTTAATTTTTATTAAATAGTTAAGTTTTTTGTAATGTATTTTGTCAATTTTATTCATTTTTTTATATTTCTAAATAGTTTCCATTTATTATTTCAGTTAAATTTTTTATGGTTTTAGTTTCATTTTAGTAAATTTATTTCACTCATCTGATATCCACATTATATATCCACAGTATTTCAGCTTCAGTTCAAATAAGAAACCTATTTTAATTGTTTTCATAATAATAGTTATAAATAACAATATGTTTAATTTATATAGCACCTTTCCCAAGCTCAAAGATGCTTCACAATAAAGAGCAATAACACGACAATCATTCAGTCAATAATATGCACAGTCATATGGAAAATGGATATTTGCCAAGTCCAGAACAAGAGCCAATGTGGTTGCGTTTAGCAGTTATATCAAATTGTGCAAAATATTCAATTCCGTAACGATGAACACAGCACAGTGTAGACAGCATAGGAAGATGTTAGCATACAAACACAGTGAGCAGTACATGAAGCAAATACACGCTATGACTGATAATATTGCAAGAACAAACAGGTTTTAAGCTGAGATTTGAATTTATAGGTAGAGGTTTTGTTGTTATCATTTAATTTTATTTAACGACAGCAACGCTGCTATTACTGTCCATGTTCTGAGTCTTGTGTTCTGGTTGATCAGGGCAGTCAGAACTCTGTGTGACCACACAGGCACTGGAGCCGAGCTGAGCTTCAGGAAGGGGGAGGAGCTTGTTCTGTTGGGAGGTGTGGACCACGACTGGATTCGATGTCGTCAAGGTCACAAAGAGGGCCTTGTTCCCATTGGTTATGCTTCGCTTATCATGTGACTTATCTTTAATTCTGCCCGTATGTTTGTGTGGGAAAATTATCAGGGGAAAGCATTCAAGGAAAAAGAGACCATATAATAGACGTAGTTATTAGTAGCCGTGTTACGTGTTTATCCGTTTATCTCTGACCCTCTTGCCTGGTTTGTGATGTCTGGAATATTTTCTGTGATATATACGAAAGAAAACATTATAAATTACTGTATAAATTATTAACATATATATATTTAGATAGATAGATTTTACAAAGATAGATAGACAGATAAACTGGAAATAGAAATGGGAAATGAAGTATCAAGTTTAACAAAAAATAAAACCATCATATTGTATTTATTATTAGGTGTTCTGCCATAACGAATGGCTTGCCCACAAGCGTACTTAATTAAACAGCTCAGCGCAAAGTCATCAAAAAAATGGATATTCGCAAAACGACACTTCATCATAATTTTAAGTCCAATATGCATATGTGGCTTTTTTTTTATCCAAAGCCTTTCTTGTCATATCATCAGCCCAGCAATGTTTTATAAAGATGCACACAACTTCATTATTGCAAAGGAATGAGTTTTGGTTATTTGGGGGCTGCGTTAGTGCATAAATCAAAGATTTACTGAAGTTAACTATAAATTATTATACAATTAATGTTTTTATTTGAATAAAAAGCTAGGGATTTACTGACTAGCCAGTCTATAAACAAATTACTTGACAATAAAAAATATTTTTTCCTCAAAATCGTAATAATTTCTTCTCCTAATTTGCACACAAACAATTAATGGATGAACTTTGTGTTGCCTGAAGATGCACTAATTTTATTATCTCACTTACCAGAAAAAAGGAAAAACTTTTTTTTTTGAACATTTTTGACCAACATTATTATTGTCTTATTGTTATTATTGCAACTCTCAATGGTAACAGTCGAATATATTAGTGTGGTAGAGTGTAGATGATTCTTTTATATTTCTTATAGTGTGATGGCTTATGTGGTAAGATCTGTATCACCATGAGCTTGATAGTGACTATGCATACTCTGTACTGTACTGTTTATGAGGCTTGTTGCTGGGGAAACCCATATATGATTGATGGCATTGATGATTTTCTTTTGAATGGATATTCTGCATCAGTATAATGCGTTGAATCAGGGGTTTACATACTAAACCTGCATGAATGTGTATGAATGTGTGTAGCAAATGTAAGGTAATAATCATCTATACAACTTATTTGTGAGCACGGACACATTCACTCATGATAAAAATGCTTCATGCTAAAGGTATAGCCCTTTAGTGGCTGTAGTGGGAAAGGTGATTTAAATTAGAGCTTGCTAATTCTTGTTCATTAAATGGCCCTCTGTGTTTCCCACAATTGAATGCTCATGTGTAGTATACATTTGTCACACCTCTGGCTTGGCATTGCTTTCAGCTGAGCTGCTAATCAAAAAACATATTCGATACAATCGAAAGATGAATCTTGTCCCGGTAACGTGGAACAGAGCTTTTTCCATTACACCACATGATGACTTACCTTCAGGACGATTCCATCCAATTGCAGAAAAGCAGCCAGCTATACAGTATCAACTGAGTATCACTGAAAGAACTGAGCATCCACATTACTGTAAGTGTAGCGTATGAAAGCTTACAATTGAAACTTTATGTCTGGGATTTATGTATCTACTATTTTGTCAGGGACAATTGGTACTGTTTTTAGGATATAGTTTAGGCGGTATTTCGAGGAAAAAGAAATCTGAGACAGAACTTGTAAAGTTATCTTTGTAATTGGCTTGAACTTTAATGTCTCTTAAAAATGAAGAAAAATATAATAAAATGTTATGGTTTGTGAGTTAAGCAGGAGTTCGGTAGAAAATCATATTTAGTATCATAGTCTTACCTCACAGGGCAAACTGCAATGACGCATGACTTAATCGTTTATTATTATTATCATTATTATATTATTTTTCATGTACTGTAGCTGTTATTTTCATTATAACTGCATTTATAATTGTGAGATTTGAATTAAATTAGTATGTTTTGGAGAAAGAAATGGCTATGTTGCATTATAAATATAGTGTACTGTTTGTTTGTGGCCAATTTATCTGCTATTCATCTGTTTCTCTTGTCTATCTATCTCTCTTTCTATCACTTGTGTGTGTACTTTTGTGTGGTGATGAGTTGCGTAGCTCTGTGTGGTATTGCCCATCGCTGGTAGCACACTTAAAGCATAATATGTTCTGTACCAACTCTTGAGTTCTGTAATTCCCTGTGAATCAGCTCTATGCATGTTGGTGTTTGTAAATATACCCAATAAAAGATGAAAAGAAACAAGTGTGTGAGGTGCTGAAGAGTATAAGTGTTGTGGCAGCGCATGCATGCCCTATTGATGAGGCTCTATAGTGAGCGTGACAGATAGTCCACTGAAGGTGCGTATAAAGTATTTATTAACACCCAACGTGAACAGATACAAAATTAAAAACTTGACTTTATGACACTCACCGGCAATGGATACAGGGACAAAAGACTGGAAACATGAGGTCAATAAATACAAAGAGACTAATGACTTGACAAGACACCTGTGAACAGGTTTAAACAATGAACCAAAGAGAACACATTAAACAAGAAAGCACATGACAAAGGGGAGAACAAGGCAGGATAACATAACTGTGAAAACCACAAAAATAATGCATGAACATGAAACAAAACCAAAACTACACGTGACACCAATAGCCTCTATTAATATGGTGAGCTTCTAATAAACATTGTATGCAAAGATCACTTGTGATCACTTATCTCATGTTATGATTGGTCATTACCATACATTTGACTTTCTTATTAGTTATGTGTATTTGAAATTTGTCTTTGTAATTAAAGTCTTTGTGCATCTTGCGGATATTTTAGCCCTCACTCTAAAAAATGCGGGGTTGTTTTAACCCAATTTTAGGTCAAATATGGACAAACCCGAACGTTGGGTTAAAATTTTTATTGAAAATATTAACCCAACGGCTGGGTTTGTCTACATCTGACCCAAAGTTGGGTTGAAAAAAAAACTATTTATTAGAGTGGTGATGAAGGCCTGTGTGCCAGAACCTGTTCATAAAATAAACCATTTTTTTTCAGCTCTACTTTATGATTATTTTGACAACTTCATAAGTGTTACTGGTATTGTTCAAAAACTGCTTTTACTTTTTCCTTGTTGATTTTGTGAAGTTAGTTACGCCAGTATAACCACTTCTAATATCAAACAAACCAAGTCCGTTAACTATATATATATTCTATAATTCTATACTCTATATTGTTTTTACTGCAAATAACCATGTTGAAAGAATGAAGGTGACTTTATAGCCATAGTAGCTGCATCTAAACTACTTCCTATATACGTCAATTTCTGCCACATGAGACAAAAAAAATTACAAAAAAGTCATAAATATTTGATAAAAGGTTGAAATTGACTAAATTTAAGATGAAAAGATTAAAAAAATTAAAATTATGAGATAAAAGTTATAATTATCACATAAAAAGACAAAATGATACAAATCTTTTTTATAAGACTTATAATTGTCTTAGTATGTCATAATTTTGACTTTTCTCATAATTACTACAGTATCTGATCATTTTGACAATTTATGTCATAATTGTTATTTCCGAAAGCATGATTTGTTTCTTATGTGGCTGAAATGCCAGATAAGCTTGCATATACAGTATTTCCCTTGTTGTCTAAAATAAAGAACAAAATCTCCTGTGGTCTTTCTTCCTTTCTTAATAAAGTGTCTAATTGTTTCCGGGACGGATCAGTTCCAGGACACTGTCATAGGATCAGCATTCTTCCCTGCCAGATACGCTCCAGGAGAGAGGCTGAGCGAGTAAGGGATGGAGGAAGGGTATGTGGAGGTGTGCAGTAGAGTCATGTCATCGGCATTATAGAAGCACACCTGACATCTGTCGCAGTCCAGGTACAGCCCTATCCTGTGTGGTTTCACTGTCAGATCTATGTCTGTCACTGTCTCATACTCTTTGATGCAGTAGCCTTGGTCATGCTTAAGGTGAAGCCCAATGTCCTTGTTCAAGTTGCTTATACAGCCACCATCAAAGCCCACGCTCCAGTCTGTCTTCGCTCCTACGTCCACCTCCCAGTAGTGCTGCCCTGACTGGAAGGTCTTGTGGGTCCTGGCCAGAGGCCTATAGTCTTTGTGACGCAAAAAAATCCCCTTTTTGGATGTGCGGATGACGCTGCGCCCATCGCCGGAGACCTTCAGGTATGGGTCATGACAGTCATGTATGACATTACGATCAGGGACTAAGAAAGACAAAAATTTGAAAGATAAATGCAGCTTATCTTACCAGTCAAAAACTACTGGTCAAAAGTTTTGAAACAGTAATTCTTTTAAATATTTTTTTTTTATGTTCACCATTAGGTGTGCAGTATCTTTAATATACTTTAACATGTATTTTAATACACAGTGTTGCCAACATATGGATAACTGGTGTCCTCACCTGGTTTGATAGAGCCCAGCATCTCCTTCCACACAATAAACTGCAAATGAGTCTCATGAAGGCCGAGGAATAAAGAATTTGGTGTGAAATTTACGCTTTTCACTGTTGATTTGAACCTACAATGCAGGAGATGAATGTAACTGATGGGATATATACAGAGTCGGTCATGTTTACCTCAAGCATTACAGTATATTGTCATACTTGGTTGTTTGAGAAGCACTATCATTATTTTCACTGCCGCTTTCTTTTTCTTTCATCTCTTCAACTAATGCCAGCCCTTTCTCAGTCCACCACTACAGGAGAAGAACAGACAAAGCAAATGATTATCGTCATGAAAACTGCAGCTATGAATAACACAGCATTATGTTATGTACAATACATGCAATAATTATGTGCTTTTAGTCCATTCTTAACTCCAAAAAATCACATTCTTAAACCTGATTCCTCACTCTCAGAAAAATATGCAAAAATACCTTTAGGGGTACAACAGTATTTCACTGGGCCATTGATTCACACTTACAATGGTATGATTTTTGCACATTATTTCTGACAGTGTTGAGGTCATTGCAAGCAACAAGAAATATTAAAAATACATTTTTTCGAAATGTTCTATATATGCTTTATTTTAAATTTGACATGAACAAACAGGTCTCAATGCATCCACTTGTCAGAGAAAGTGTCAACAGCAGTATGAACTGACGGGGATAGCAAACCAAGCTAGTTATTTTATCCATTTTATTTTATTTTAATTAAGATCTATTTTTTAGATATCAATCTGCATGTGCTTGACATCAGTTATGGTGAGTTTTTTCTTCCTTGTTTCTTAATTATGTTTAGTCATGTCAAGTCTTTGTATTTGTTTGTCTGTTTGGTAACTGCAAATTGGTTCGTTAAACTTGTCTCCCAGTGGATACTATACAAAGATGTACCTACTATATAATTATGGTTATGGTTTGTTTTAGGGTTTATTGCTTCTAATTTACTGTTATTACTATAGTACCGGTAACTACATGTAAGATATAGTGAAAATGTGTTTCCTAATTTCTATATTATAGCTAATATTTATATAATTGTTTATGATTGTCAGTTTTGTTTATGGTGATTAAATCAGCAGAAAGGACTGTATTCAGGGTAAAAAGTCTTTACATTTGAATGATTTTTAATCAATGCAAACTGTATAAAATCGAATTATTATTTTTTAGCCAAATTATATTTCTGAATAACATTAAAAATGATTGTGCTGAAAATTGTGCTGAATGCAAAGTTTGAACCTGCAGAAACCCGTCTGGTTGATCGGACTCAAAGACTGAGTGTAGAATCCCTTCTTTCTCTCTTCCATCGTTCAGCTTCTCTTCTATTTCTGCTCTATTTCTTTTCATCTTTTCAATCATTTCCTTCTCTTCTTTCACTAATATTTTCTTCACTTGCTCCTCCTTTTTCCTCAGGAACTGGTGCATCTCCTCAAACTGTGCAGAGATCTGAGAAGAGAGCTGTCGAGACCTTTCCTGAGGGAAAAAAAAAAAGAATCACGCATAGTAATGAATCCTGTTATGATCCTTTATGGAGTCTTCAGAGTAATGTTGATAGATTGTTTCACTATTTTTTGTAAAGTGTATTGTTCACCTCAGTTTTAGAGATCTCATGTGTCTGTTTCTTGACAAGAGCCTGCAGGTCTTCATTCTCCTTTGACAGGAAACTCAGAGGCTCTAACAATAAATTCTACAACACACAAAATATTCCATATTTCTGTCAGGTCTATTAAGTCAAGAACACACATGACAAAAAATGATTAGGAAATTGTAAAGCAGAAAAGCAAATGCCACGTTATACATGACAAGGAGGAAATGGGTTTCAGAGAGTGAGCAGCGAGCAGTTAGGAGCGAACTGAATCTGCTTAATAGGGCGCCCTGATTTGAGTGTGGTCATTAGCTGCGAGGGGAAATGAACAGCAGATGTGCTGATGTAGCTCTGAGCGATCACTGATGAGACCGTGTAGTCGGCCGACAGCTTTTCTCAGCATCTTGACTACCTGGGCTGCCAGAACTGACGCTGATGTTCAATTTCACTCAAAAAGATTGAAAAAATTATTTCAAAAGGCCCTCTATCAGAATCCAGAGTTTTGGGAAGATTGGAGAAACTTAATTTTTCGCCCAAAAAAAAAAAAACGTAAGGGGTACCACTGTCGTTTTTTTTTCGGGCCGAATTTTTGAGTTTCGATATCTCAGCTCTGGAAGGGGCTAGAGCCTCCATTTTTGCACTCAGGTCTAAGTCTCATGGCCCTCTATCAGAATCCAGAGTTTTGGGAAGATTGGAGAAACTTAATTTTTCGCCCAAAAAAAAAAAAACGTAAGGGGTACCACTGTCGTTTTTTTTTTCGGGCCGAATTTTTGAGTTTCGATATCTCAGCTCTGGAAGGGGCTAGAGCCTCCATTTTTGCACTCAGGTCTAAGTCTCATGGCCCTCTATCAGAATCCAGAGTTTTGGGAAGATTGGAGAAACTTAATTTTTCGCCCAAAAAAAAAAACGTAAGGGGTACCACTGTCGTTTTTTTTTCGGGCCGAATTTTTGAGTTTCGATATCTCAGCTCTGGAAGGGGCTAGAGCCTCCATTTTTGCACTCAGGTCTAAGTCTCATGGCCCTCTATCAGAATCCAGAGTTTTGGGAAGATTGGAGAAACTTAATTTTTCGCCCAAAAAAAAAACGTAAGGGGTACCACTGTCGTTTTTTTTTTCGGGCCGAATTTTTGAGTTTCGATATCTCAGCTCTGGAAGGGGCTAGAGCCTCCATTTTTGCACTCAGGTCTAAGTCTCATGGCCCTCTATCAGAATCCAGAGTTTTGGGAAGATTGGAGAAACTTAATTTTTCGCCCAAAAAAAAAAAACGTAAGGGGTACCACTGTCGTTTTTTTTTCGGGCCGAATTTTTGAGTTTCGATATCTCAGCTCTGGAAGGGGCTAGAGCCTCCATTTTTGCACTCAGGTCTAAGTCTCATGGCCCTCTATCAGAATCCAGAGTTTTGGGAAGATTGGAGAAACTTAATTTTTCGCCCAAAAAAAAAAAACGTAAGGGGTACCACTGTCGTTTTTTTTTCGGGCCGAATTTTTGAGTTTCGATATCTCAGCTCTGGAAGGGGCTAGAGCCTCCATTTTTGCACTCAGGTCTAAGTCTCATGGCCCTCTATCAGAATCCAGAGTTTTGGGAAGATTGGAGAAACTTAATTTTTCGCCCAAAAAAAAAAACGTAAGGGGTACCACTGTCGTTTTTTTTTCGGGCCGAATTTTTGAGTTTCGATATCTCAGCTCTGGAAGGGGCTAGAGCCTCCATTTTTGCACTCAGGTCTAAGTCTCATGGCCCTCTATCAGAATCCAGAGTTTTGGGAAGATTGGAGAAACTTAATTTTTCGCCCAAAAAAAAAAAACGTAAGGGGTACCACTGTCGTTTTTTTTTCGGGCCGAATTTTTGAGTTTCGATATCTCAGCTCTGGAAGGGGCTAGAGCCTCCATTTTTGCACTCAGGTCTAAGTCTCATGGCCCTCTATCAGAATCCAGAGTTTTGGGAAGATTGGAGAAACTTAATTTTTCGCCCAAAAAAAAAAACGTAAGGGGTACCACTGTCGTTTTTTTTTCGGGCCGAATTTTTGAGTTTCGATATCTCAGCTCTGGAAGGGGCTAGAGCCTCCATTTTTGCACTCAGGTCTAAGTCTCATGGCCCTCTATCAGAATCCAGAGTTTTGGGAAGATTGGAGAAACTTAATTTTTCGCCCAAAAAAAAAAACGTAAGGGGTACCACTGTCGTTTTTTTTTCGGGCCGAATTTTTGAGTTTCGATATCTCAGCTCTGGAAGGGGCTAGAGCCTCCATTTTTGCACTCAGGTCTAAGTCTCATGGCCCTCTATCAGAATCCAGAGTTTTGGGAAGATTGGAGAAACTTAATTTTTCGCCCAAAAAAAAAAACGTAAGGGGTACCACTGTCGTTTTTTTTTTCGGGCCGAATTTTTGAGTTTCGATATCTCAGCTCTGGAAGGGGCTAGAGCCTCCATTTTTGCACTCAGGTCTAAGTCTCATGGCCCTCTATCAGAATCCAGAGTTTTGGGAAGATTGGAGAAACTTAATTTTTCGCCCAAAAAAAAAACGTAAGGGGTACCACTGTCGTTTTTTTTTTCGGGCCGAATTTTTGAGTTTCGATATCTCAGCTCTGGAAGGGGCTAGAGCCTCCATTTTTGCACTCAGGTCTAAGTCTCATGGCCCTCTATCAGAATCCAGAGTTTTGGGAAGATTGGAGAAACTTAATTTTTCGCCCAAAAAAAAAAAACGTAAGGGGTACCACTGTCGTTTTTTTTTCGGGCCGAATTTTTGAGTTTCGATATCTCAGCTCTGGAAGGGGCTAGAGCCTCCATTTTTGCACTCAGGTCTAAGTCTCATGGCCCTCTATCAGAATCCAGAGTTTTGGGAAGATTGGAGAAACTTAATTTTTCGCCCAAAAAAAAAAACGTAAGGGGTACCACTGTCGTTTTTTTTTCGGGCCGAATTTTTGAGTTTCGATATCTCAGCTCTGGAAGGGGCTAGAGCCTCCATTTTTGCACTCAGGTCTAAGTCTCATGGCCCTCTATCAGAATCCAGAGTTTTGGGAAGATTGGAGAAACTTAATTTTTCGCCCAAAAAAAAAAACGTAAGGGGTACCACTGTCGTTTTTTTTTCGGGCCGAATTTTTGAGTTTCGATATCTCAGCTCTGGAAGGGGCTAGAGCCTCCATTTTTGCACTCAGGTCTAAGTCTCATGGCCCTCTATCAGAATCCAGAGTTTTGGGAAGATTGGAGAAACTTAATTTTTCGCCCAAAAAAAAAAACGTAAGGGGTACCACTGTCGTTTTTTTTTTCGGGCCGAATTTTTGAGTTTCGATATCTCAGCTCTGGAAGGGGCTAGAGCCTCCATTTTTGCACTCAGGTCTAAGTCTCATGGCCCTCTATCAGAATCCAGAGTTTTGGGAAGATTGGAGAAACTTAATTTTTCGCCCAAAAAAAAAAAACGTAAGGGGTACCACTGTCGTTTTTTTTTTCGGGCCGAATTTTTGAGTTTCGATATCTCAGCTCTGGAAGGGGCTAGAGCCTCCATTTTTGCACTCAGGTCTAAGTCTCATGGCCCTCTATCAGAATCCAGAGTTTTGGGAAGATTGGAGAAACTTAATTTTTCGCCCAAAAAAAAAAACGTAAGGGGTACCACTGTCGTTTTTTTTTTCGGGCCGAATTTTTGAGTTTCGATATCTCAGCTCTGGAAGGGGCTAGAGCCTCCATTTTTGCACTCAGGTCTAAGTCTCATGGCCCTCTATCAGAATCCAGAGTTTTGGGAAGATTGGAGAAACTTAATTTTTCGCCCAAAAAAAAAAACGTAAGGGGTACCACTGTCGTTTTTTTTTCGGGCCGAATTTTTGAGTTTCGATATCTCAGCTCTGGAAGGGGCTAGAGCCTCCATTTTTGCACTCAGGTCTAAGTCTCATGGCCCTCTATCAGAATCCAGAGTTTTGGGAAGATTGGAGAAACTTAATTTTTCGCCCAAAAAAAAAAAACGTAAGGGGTACCACTGTCGTTTTTTTTTTCGGGCCGAATTTTTGAGTTTCGATATCTCAGCTCTGGAAGGGGCTAGAGCCTCCATTTTTGCACTCAGGTCTAAGTCTCATGGCCCTCTATCAGAATCCAGAGTTTTGGGAAGATTGGAGAAACTTAATTTTTCGCCCAAAAAAAAAAACGTAAGGGGTACCACTGTCGTTTTTTTTTCGGGCCGAATTTTTGAGTTTCGATATCTCAGCTCTGGAAGGGGCTAGAGCCTCCATTTTTGCACTCAGGTCTAAGTCTCATGGCCCTCTATCAGAATCCAGAGTTTTGGGAAGATTGGAGAAACTTAATTTTTCGCCCAAAAAAAAAACGTAAGGGGTACCACTGTCGTTTTTTTTTCGGGCCGAATTTTTGAGTTTCGATATCTCAGCTCTGGAAGGGGCTAGAGCCTCCATTTTTGCACTCAGGTCTAAGTCTCATGGCCCTCTATCAGAATCCAGAGTTTTGGGAAGATTGGAGAAACTTAATTTTTCGCCCAAAAAAAAAAACGTAAGGGGTACCACTGTCGTTTTTTTTTCGGGCCGAATTTTTGAGTTTCGATATCTCAGCTCTGGAAGGGGCTAGAGCCTCCATTTTTGCACTCAGGTCTAAGTCTCATGGCCCTCTATCAGAATCCAGAGTTTTGGGAAGATTGGAGAAACTTAATTTTTCGCCCAAAAAAAAAAACGTAAGGGGTACCACTGTCGTTTTTTTTTCGGGCCGAATTTTTGAGTTTCGATATCTCAGCTCTGGAAGGGGCTAGAGCCTCCATTTTTGCACTCAGGTCTAAGTCTCATGGCCCTCTATCAGAATCCAGAGTTTTGGGAAGATTGGAGAAACTTAATTTTTCGCCCAAAAAAAAAAACGTAAGGGGTACCACTGTCGTTTTTTTTTCGGGCCGAATTTTTGAGTTTCGATATCTCAGCTCTGGAAGGGGCTAGAGCCTCCATTTTTGCACTCAGGTCTAAGTCTCATGGCCCTCTATCAGAATCCAGAGTTTTGGGAAGATTGGAGAAACTTAATTTTTCGCCCAAAAAAAAAAACGTAAGGGGTACCACTGTCGTTTTTTTTTTCGGGCCGAATTTTTGAGTTTCGATATCTCAGCTCTGGAAGGGGCTAGAGCCTCCATTTTTGCACTCAGGTCTAAGTCTCATGGCCCTCTATCAGAATCCAGAGTTTTGGGAAGATTGGAGAAACTTAATTTTTCGCCCAAAAAAAAAAAACGTAAGGGGTACCACTGTCGTTTTTTTTTCGGGCCGA